AAAGTTATTATTAATATAAGAAAAGTTTCAATAACAAAAGGAGAGCTAAAGCTCCCAGAGAGTTGTTTCGTTAGCTGTGATACCTGTCCGTCAAAATATGAAAAGCGTTGAAACACTTGAATAAAAGTTTTTTTAAACGTTCCAACACCAGTTTACTGCTATCATATCATGAGAAACACCAAAAAAGAACAGTTAAAAGATAATCTAGACAAGTAAACCCAACAAATATCTTATAAACCTATCATGAGATAAGTATACAACAAAACAAAGGAAAACAGGAATAGGAGCAATGACAGTAGAATTCTTTAAAGGTGGTCACCGAAACAAAGAAAAGACATCAACTATATGAATTTCAACCCTAAACGATTCAAGTGCCTGTGAAAAAAGAGGTGTTGATAGAACACTTCATAATAAAATCTCCATTTGTTAGAAGGCTAAACTTTAGAAAGCAAGTTATGATCTTAAATGTGGAGGAATGTATTTTGGTGGTTCAGCAGCATTTGAAGAAGATGAAGTTGAAGATGAAGTAGGAGCAGGAACTGGTCGAGAAATTGTTGGAGCTGGGGCTACTGGACGAGCAATAGAGGCTGTTGGAGCTGCCGATCGAGCATTAGAGAAGTCGTTTGCGGCAGCGAAAGCCTTAATTCAGAAATTGTTTAACAAACACAATCGGAAAAAGCATACTTTAGCAGCTGCGAGAGCTTGTTCCCTATCCCTACTAGCCGAAGCTGGAGCTCCGGTCATCCTTGGCAAGCTGCGGGTATCACTGCTTCCAGTTTTTATCCTATCAAAGAACCATATTGAATTAATCATGAAAAAGTTTTACCATCCACCACCAGTCTTGTCTTCTTTCTTATCCTTCTCTATCTTTGTGGCATCAGCTAATGATGGGAACATTTCTTGATTCGAAACATCTATATCAGCTCTATGAGAACGCTGAAGCTGACAATGATTCGGCGATGTGAACAAGTTGACATACCTCATATCCTCCACCACCACCACTTCTCAAACAGGAAGGAACGAATATGTCAGGACGAGCGTTTTGTTTTTGATAATTGGCCATGTCGGTGGCTGTTTCGATCTCACCTTCCTCTTGTTTCTGGACAAAAAGGCAAGTTCTGCACGTATGGAGAATAGGCAAACCTTGACGTCGACTTGTCCCCAAGTACGAACAGCTTCCTGTTGTTCTTTCTGGTCTTCACTTTCATGTTCCTCTTCCTCAATATGCTCGGACTCTGCTCCCATATCTTTAATCTTAAGACCTTCCAATCTGCAAAAAAACAACACAATACAAAGGTCCACAAAACTTCTCAAACCTTCCTTGAGCGGACTCTCCGTACTCAATCCATTCACTCTCTTCACCATTATTAGCTCTTTTTGGTTCATCAATATCACGTTTGTCCAAGTCAGCAGCTTGTTGATCATGTTCCTCCTGCAAGCAACAAAAATAAGAGAAAATTGATTTTCTACTCACCTGTCTCTTAGCTTTACGCTCAAGAATTTGGCCAACTTCATCCATTTTGACTACAGTCTTCTTTTTTTTGTCCTTCTTTTTGGCAAAGAAAGCACTTAAGTCGTCCGACATTGTCTGATCTGATCAAGAAACCTTAAAAGAGCGAATGCAGATTGTTTCAAATATGCTCGTTACGACCGTTTTAATCGAGACAATCTATTAGTGGTTAGCTTAACAAGTTTTGAGATATACGTAAGTGTATGATACAAATAAGAAAATTCAATAAGAGTACAGTACATATTTTCTGATTATTGACAAGATGACAAAAGGAAAACGATAACTCCTCTATTTAAAATATTTTACTCCGTTGCGTCATCGTCTGCTATTTACAATATTGCTCAATCGATAAAGAAAGAATTGATGCCCTTACCTGAGAATTCAATATATTTAGCTCCGAAAGGAGAACAGCTTTATCTAATAATGATGCTTTCACAAGTTTTTGAAAGCCTATACTCATGCTCCAGAGACGGATTTAAACATTAGCTAACAAAGAACACTCGACAAGGGTTCGTTCTGCGCAGGACCAATTGCATTATCAGTGTAAGCCGCCCTTTATTATTAGAGACATAGAAGGCTGTAGCAATTATTAGACTTCTTTATTTATGTATTTTAATTATATTTCAACATCATAATCATAAAACCAGGATCACCTGAGATGCGAGATCATACTCGTAAGTCATGGAATATATACATCTGTTAAAGTGAAAAATACAAGTTAATTAAGATTCAACGCTCACAGAACATTGAATCGTCACAAATTTACAATCATTTCAAATAAAAAAAATAAAAAGAGATCTTGTGGGTTAGTTATATTATCTAAGAATGTACATAGAGATAGAAAACTGAGCGATTTTACCAGAAGTTTGGCATAGGAGCTTGATAAACCTGGGGATGTGGCATGTACCACATAGGGTTCATATCATACCACATGGGATTAAACAACCATTGAGATTCCTGGAAATCTTTAGGAAAGGGCATATGGCTAGGGAAAGGATACTGAAAATTAAAACTGAAATTGAGAAAAAAATGAAATTTCATACCTTCTGAGCTACTTCTGGGCTTCTTTTGGGCGAAGGTTCCTCATTGTGTGGAGGACTTCTAGAGTTTCTCTTTCTGTCTGATCCGTCACGGAATCCTTTAGCGAAAGGATTCATGTCAATTTTCAGTCTGAAAATTTACTATGAAACTTGCCAATTTTTAATATCCTACCTTGTAATTTCCAGATTCTGGTAAGCTGTAACAGCCACAAAGGAGGTGAATGGATGTTTGATAGATGCTACAAGATGGCAACAATCAAGATTTGGCATAGTTGAGTCAATCCAGACATCAGCTTTGCAAGGTACTTCGTAAATCTTGAGAACTGGGATGTACTTATGCATGGACTGGAGAACAATCTGAAATGTAATTCATCATTTAAAGGATAATCCAATTATCATATAATGAGTAATATACATGCTCTTATTGTTTAAGGACATTAAGCGATTACATATGAATCTCTTGATCCCACCTATTGGCAACGAGCTAAGATACAGATTGCTTTAAGCAAAAATCTATTGTAGTCAGGTTTTAGAGTAAACATCTTTGATTCTCTCTTTTCTTAGTTTTTATCTTAAAGTTATGAACTTACAGCACAATAGTCTGAAGTATTGGCGTTGTTCGTAAGACGAATGCGATCAAATGAATTTTTTCTATCCATCCAGTACTCTCCAGATTTGACTCCATCGTAATGAATAACTGGTCTTTCCATTAAACGAGGTTCGGCCATTCCATTAGTGTGCCATTCACCTGCACTGAATTTGTATCTAAAAAATTATTCGAAATACAACTTAAACCACAAAATGAAATTACTTGTGATCATCAACACGTTCCATCGTAACTGACATAGCATATAAAGCAGAAGGGTTCAGTCCCGTGACGTTGTATTCTAACTTTGGAAACATTTTCCTGGAAAACATATGCTGTTGCAGACGAAGATGAAAAGATACTTACCTTCCTGACTTGGTCACAATCATTTCCATGGTAAACCGATGGAATTTTCTCCACATTTCTTCAGTTGTAACTGTAGCAGAAATTGGAAGAGGCATAGAACTTGCTGGGCAATGAACTGGCATACACATAGCATTGTTCATAGTAGAAATCATTCTATAAACAGAAGAATAAAAATATTAAAGAAGTTTTTTCTAAGAGCTCAAGAAAGGTAAGGAGAGGCTGCTGGAGCCAAAGACTGAAGTAGACTGACGATATGACAGAAACATAATAACCGTACAAGGTTAAACTCCGCCTTTTTGCTTGAAGCAACTTACAAGGAACGCGTGAGAAATACCTCTAGCTATTTCCACACCTATTCTAAAAAGCCAAGACAACGAAAACATTTGGGGCTCGTAAGAAACACCCATTCTGACCTGAACATGCGTATCGTACGCAAATTCGTACGTAATAAAAGTTTAATCTCTGATAAAGTTATGATAATTTTTATGAAATTCTATTATTAAAGTGATGAAAACAACACTGAAGTGCCGTTCTGGAAAAACATAGAACATATAAGCTGAAGAAGATTTGCCCATCATAGTATTCTTCTTCTGTGTGCCTTGGGCGCATTCAACGAGATATCTCCAGATTGTTTCCGTTTTTTGAAATCTGGAAGGTGTATGACAGAACAGCGCTCAAAACTAGTTTAATCCTCTTCGCTGATAAACAATTCTTATCAGGCAGAAAGATTTCATAATCAGCTAAAAGGTGGAAAAGTGAACTTTAGTGAATCTGACAGCTTTTGACCTAATTCATGGTGAATGTTCATAAGCTGTAAAAATTGAAACAAATGAAACCAAAGGAGTTTCAACTGCGAGATCATTGTAATGAGCAACATGCATAAACTTTTAACTGCCCATTACTTATCTCTCTCCAACTGATATCATATTAATTTGACGAACGAAGTTTCTTTCATCCTTGCGCGACAACCTCCAATTTGAGAGTAACAACGGAGCAGTCTTGAATGTTGTCTCTTCATTTTTAGCTTCTCTTACTGCAGTAATTTTTTCTTCCACCTTATAGAAATAATTATTTTTGGTGTAAAATTCAATTACATACATTCGAAAATTGAAATTATTTGATACGGTAAGCAGGATATATTGGGTCATAAGAAGTGGGGGCATTAACAAGTATTTGGGTTATATTCTTACAGCCTGTTTTCACTCTGGCTCTCCTAGACATCGACACTACGCGTTAGCATGAACGAATTGCCAGAGGTGCTGGGTGATATGTGAACACTGTTGTTTCATGATAGGCGTGAAACAAGTGCGAACGGAAAGGAATTGACAACATATTTCAATAAGAAGAATAAAAATCAAATTTTTAATCCAAAACGAATCTTTCATAATAGTCTGAAGAATGATAATCATTGTTTGATCAAAGTCGAACAAGTGAACATTCAAAGAAATCTATCTTAGCCACCTCAGTGATTATCCTCCGTTATATTAATTGTATTCGTTTCCCTCTGTCTATTCAAATTGGTATTCGCTTACTGCTGTTAATCTTGATTTTCTTATCTTCTTGTTGTTTTCTTTTTCGAACGCCGCGGTTGTTTCAGTCTGAGACACAAATATAAGGCTGGCAAATGATATACAACCACTCTCAACCTCATCGTTGTCGTATTTTCTTCATCTCTTAACATCATTTATGGCTCTTTTCAAGGGTCATCTCAGCGACAGATGTATTGATATTTAACTTGAAACGATCTGGTAATAATCTGAAATAAAGCATTGTTTACATTACTTTATGCTAATTATCAAAATCGCGCATGATGATGGCTGCTGCAACAGCATGAAGAGAAGGCACATATTCATTTCTGAGCTACTAGATACATAGAGCGGTTGAGTCTGAGCACACAAAAATCATCAAATGATATGAAAAATTTATTAAACATTGATATTAATTAGTACAATTTCTATAATTAAAATCACGGGATTGAAGTAGACAAAATGAAATGAACATGATCATTTCAATCTATACAGTTGAATAACAAAGGATGCAGTGACAGGAAACTTCCAAAAAGAAGAAAAAAAAAGAGAAAAAAAAAACGAAAAATCGTATGGATAAGTTCTATAATGAGAAATAATGATTATGAAGTATAATGTTGATTTATTCAAATGAATTAACATCAAATTTCCAATGTCACCTGAGTTGTGGCAAAGAAATGGTGAAATCCGTATTGACTATTAGAGATCGCGATTCGTCTTAAAGATTGAAATATAACTTCTCAAAGTGTTATTATATAACAAACTGATGAACATATGATTATTCATATAGCTTGCTAACTATAACTCAATGAGATAGGAAAGAAAACGGAGAGAAATAGCTCTAATAGGCAGACACCCGTTTTCATAGATAAAACCAGGGATATTTGACTATAGTTTGAGGAGCAGAAAAATGGCTTATTTTGAGGAATTCAATTCTCATTTACATGCGCCTACTGTGAGTTGAAAGAACATTAAGAGAGAGAGAGGGAGGGAGGGAGAGAGAAATAGAAAGAAAGTTTGGAGAAGGTGTAGAGGGTTTTCATATAGAAGAGTAAAGGAAACCTGGAAGCTTCTGGGATGAAATCTTAAGAATTCTGATGATCATCTTGAGTTGATTCATCACTATCATTTCCAATGGTTTCACCTTCACCCTTACTTTCCTTTTTGTGTTTCATTCGCCTGTTTTGGAACCATATTTTAACCTGCAAAGAATTCAGATTGTGCGATCAGTGATGTATAGGTTCTTACTTGTCGTTCCGTTAGTTGTAAGCTCTCACTGATTTCTTGACGACGTTTACGTGTTAAATACTTATTATAATGAAATTCTTTTTCTAATTCTAATGTCTGATTCCTGGAGTACGTCTGTCGCGTACGCTTCGATTCGCCTGTCTTCGTTCCGGCAACAGCAACTGAAAAGAAAACATTGTACACGTACGGAAAGCTCAATAATGCTGTCAAGTCCCCAAGCCCGAAAAAAAGCAAATGTTTTTGTCCATGTTTTTCTTAAAAATTCTCATTTTTCTTGAAGAACTCAGTAGCTTTTAGCACCAGAAGAGAAACCAGCACGTCAGCCGTTAGCGATTGAGCTGAGACAGGAAGATGCGTGGCGGTCGCATCGCGGCTACACGGCCCTGTGCGGTTTCTTTGATCTGGCCGGCCAACGAGAAATCTGGTGGCCGAGATTTATGACTATCGACACGAGAAGGAGAAATAGCGAAGACTACGAATTACGATCACAACTTGAGTCAACCAGGAATCTTGTCTTAACAGAGAAACATCACATTGATAGAAGGTAGTAGCTTGAAGAAGAAAAGCAACAGCAGCACGAGCTGACAATCAGCCGACAATAAACGAACAGAGAAGATGAGAACATTCTCAAGCTTCATCACCTACTAATCCGTTTCCGACAATTAAAAATATGCAGAGAAACTTCAAATTAGGCAATCTCAATCAATTAGGAGAAGACAGTCAAGGCAGATCGCGATGATAAGACTACCGTAATCTTCAATTTAACCTCAGTAGAAACAGCATTTAATTTTTGCAAATATCGAAGCAGTGGCTAAGGATTAAAAGATAAGTGCTATTTATGGGATAAGAAGATTAGATGGCTTAGCACGGTCTTCTGCTTTTGGCAAGTTAGCTAATTTTTGTACTTTCATATTCTGGCAGAATGAACAAAACGCCAGTTAGTATTCAAAACAGTTAAGGGATATACTTTCAGTGTCAAACGTTCAAAAACAAATTCCATAAATCTTAGTTCGAGCAGCTTCAAAACAGATCCTGACCGGCATCAGAAATATCTACTCACTTCCATTTTCTCTGCCACCCTCTACATTGGCCTTACTCTCTCGAATCAGATCTGGATTACGGTAGCGAGAAGACTTAGAATTTTATAATAGATGATGTTGAAATACAGGTGTCATCTTAATGGAACACATTTCAAATGCCAAACACACACACACCCAGTGGTCCAGCACCATGCACCATGAAATCCATCACAGGCCAGGAAAATTTATTATATATAAGTTGGTAAAACAACCAAGCATTAAGCCAGATTTGAATATTATGCGTATAGGTGAAAGCTTTACAACGTCAGTGAAATAGCTGTCAACACTCTCATTCAGCTGTGAAAAGCATACGCAGAAACTCAAATTCTCTCCGGAAAAATCATAGAAGAGAGAAGGAACATGATAATCAGATTCCTAATTCAATCATAAATGAATCTTGTGAAACAGACAGACAAAGACAGAATAGGCTATACACTTAATGATCGCCATTTCCGGAAACACATAAACTCATTAATCTTAACTTTCGAAATGTCTTTTCGTCGCCTACTCAACTTATCATTTTTCATTCCCATAACTTCACTTCCATATTTGATGTAGGGAGGATGAGAATTACTATAAAAACCCATCAGGTCACAAGAACGATAACCCCATATAGTTGAAGTTAAGAAAGAACATATTCAATCTTTTTTCATTCTGTACAATCAAACTTCATTTCTCTATTGATTTTATCTGTTACGTAGAACCGCACACAGCCTCAAGTATTACGGTAGTTGTCAAGTTGGGAATCAGCATTCTACCCCCCACCACACCATCCCCTTTTCTCCTTCCCACCCTAACACCATAGGCACATGACTATTATTCTTTCTTCCTTGCTGTTCGTACTATAAATCGTTATATATGAAGCTAATGGAAGGACATCCTAATTTATTAATTTTCAACAGTTTTACTGTCACAGCGGTGATGAATTGGATTCAGATAAAAACCAAAAAGTATGATGGACGGGTGAGCAGGCAATCTTTGAAATTCGATAAAAGAAAAAAGTTGTTTTAACACTTGAATCTTCTGGATGAGAACAGAAAAAGAATGAACTGTGAGCTTCCTGCTTCTTCTCTCTCTTACACTCAGTCCCCCCCCGTGCTCATTCAGCTTTCCAACAAACAATAGCCACAATTGGTGGAAACCGATTTGTATATTTCGCTCTCTTCTTCTTTTTTTCATGTATCTCTCTCTCTCTTTCTTCAAAATCAGAAAAGCATACAATCTGGTCAATAGATATATCAGAAAAGTGGCAGAAACTAAGATTTGTGTGTAAAGCACTGAAAACTGCCTTTTTCGGGAGCATATGTTGCATGGTTGTCGGCAAAGATCAAACGCAGAGCCGAAAAGGACAGGCAAAAATTTTGTTTTAAATTTCACCCAGCTGAACCATAATTCTGTCTTTTTCATTGAAGATAAGACTAACATGTGCTTTATTTTTGAATATTTTGCTTCAATTATACAAAAATTAGAGCGAGAATTGCTTTTGATGATCATCAAGTCATAACTGTCTGTTGCCTTTCGGAATTTCAAAACGAAAAAGAGTCTGAGAGAGTTAGAAAAAGATATATAGAGGGACAGAGAAAGAGAGGGGAAGAAACAATGGAAGTTATGAAATTTAAAATGAAAAATGAAAAAGATCAACCGCTCTTCACGTCTGCGCATCTTGGAATGAATGCGTTCTCATTAGAATTTCCACGTAGCAAACTCACGTGAAATATCGTGAGCACTATAGATAACATGTCATCAGTATACCGATGAGTTTATCGGAGGTAACGATCATATAGTACTTCTTCATCTGATGATCAATGAAGAGAGCCAATGAATGAGGATAATAAGCAGCTATAAAAGGTAACATATTTATGACCTAACGTAGTTTATTAACTATAGCGAGATAATCTCATTGGAATGATCTTTCGTGAACTTCTCTCAACCGTCTACCATCTCACCAATTCCTTTATTCTTCCATTTTTGTCCATCTTTTCATTATATTTCTTCTTTGTTTTTCTATTTCTCCTTTTTTTTTCGCGTACGAAAAGCAAATTTTTGCAAAAATTCGAAGGACATTTGGAAGAAGAGTGTAAGCGAGGTGAATAAGAATGGAACTTCCATATATGGTTGGTTGGTTGAATAATCACAAGTGTGATTGAGGATGGAATGATCGAGAAGATGTCGACGTTGCTTGACAAATCTTCACGAATATTAACTGTGCATGTTGTTAAAAATCATGTTGAAAGCTTATAAATTGCTTTAATTGAGAAGCTAATGAGAGAATTTGATTTCTCTTCAAAGAGAAAATGAATGAAAAATAAGAAAATGACAAACTGGCTAAGAATAAAGAGAGAGAGAGAGACATAGAGAGAGAGGGGGGAAATGAAAAAAAAAGAGAGAAAACGAATGAGAATGCAAAGACATTTGTTAGAATTTATCCAACCGAGATAGTTTGAGACCCTAGCAGCGGCACGGATGAAAGGATACACCGAACTAACACTGATAGATCGACTGAAAACAGTTGAGCCAGCCAATAGATGAAAAACTCAAAAAAATAACAAATTAAAAATAAGATTGAGCTATGAAAGCTAGTCAGAAATGTGTGTGTGAAGATGAAGGTGAAGGTTTAGAAGAAGAAAAAAGGTGTGGTTGAGGTAAGGAGATGGATGCCACCTGGAGTCATACTTATCTCGTCGTGAAGATGATTGAACAAGCTTGTTATTATGAGATGCGTAAAAGAAGGAGGTGAGATGATGGTCAACAAAAAAAAAGTTGAATAATCGAGAAGCTTTTGAAGAGCATGTGTGTGTGTGTGTGTGTGTGAGTTGATGAAGGACATACTATATGCTAATGTATAATTAAGTAATCTATTTCAAGTTGATTTTTGGACAAGTTTCATGCTGTGGGTAAGTGCTTATTTTCATTTTTGACTCTAATGAATACCTTGATTTTCTAATAGTCCTTTTTCCTTTTCATCAACTGACACGAAAGTCTCGTTTTTATAATAAGAATCATCTCTCTTCCTCTCTCTATCTCTAACTATCCTTCTGTATGCTTTTTCATGCAAATTTCACGCTTTGACGCTTACAGCTTTTAAAGCTACAACAATATGAGAAGATGAGAGAATCATGAAAAAAAGGAAAAAGTGATTTGAATACGAAGAACGTAAATGTCGCCGAGAAGCGAAAGTCTCTTTTGCGAATTCCTCTTCGCCGTTGAAACAATAAATTCTTAGGCCATTTTATTGGATAAATTGAGCTCAATTGTCAGCTTATGTGAGAAATGTCTTCACCTGTTGCAGATGAGAAGAAGCTTTTTTCATTAAAAATTCGCTTTTTCTAACAATTCAGAAGATGATACAATCAAATGATCATCATCATGTCATTTTTGGAAATCATCTGATTTATCAGTTTGTCCAATAATCTATATGGGAGGATTACGGTAGCTTCGTTTCTATGTTCGTTTGTTCTTGTTCTCTATTGACTAATAGAATGATTGAAGATGAGATGAATCAATTTAATAGAATAAACTGATATCAGAATTCAATAACTTCAACATCCATCGATGATGAGCCGGAATTTAGAAACAACAAGCAAAAAAGGTTGTTGGAAGATAGTTAAGAGGAGAAACTAGAACGCATGCGTCGTTCCAGAAATTCAAGATGAAATCAGTAAGAACTATATTGAACGAGAATATTATTCTAAGTCATCCAAGTCGCGTGTCAAATCTGATTTTCATCTTAAAAAGAATAACAAAAAAGGAGGAAGAGGATAGAAAAACCAAAATTTTCCTTTAAGACATCATAAGACCAAAGAGATTTTCTCCGTGAAAAGGAGGTGAAATCGCAAAGAAAACTAAAAAGATATGAAGTTATTTACTGGGTGTAAATGACAAAATCGCGAAAGCGTTTCTTCCCCCTTCTCCAACACTCTTTGTTTGCTTTTCTTGTCAGATTAGAAACCGTCTGGCTGGGATGTTGTGGCATTCGGAGCAGATGCCCAGTGATTAGTTCCATTCTGACCTGATGCGTTCCAAATATACTTCAGAATGAATCTTTCACAACGTTACAAATACAGATTATCTTTAGTCAACTTAAGAATAAAGACGAAGATGAAAACTTGGAGGCGGGAAAGGTGAACAGATACAGACAGAAGAGAAGGCTGAAGGAGATAAGCTGCTTTGATGAAAGAATGTTGTGACAGGTTGTAAACAGCAAATACACAATGTCTTGTCATTCTTTTTCTTAGTTTTTCTTCGCCTTGCCAACAAGCCGACGAAAGTCATCGACGACGTCAACCGTCCGATCACAGCGATCGGCAGCATCAACCACAACTTCGTGGGTGACGAGCAAAATGACGACAACCACGATGATCATGATGAGAGAAAGGGAAAGAATGAAAGAATAGTATACTGTAGTACGCAAGATTGTCTGACTGACTAATGAACTATCTAATCTTCATGTACAAGTTGGGTGAAAAAAATTCACAAAAATCTGCGAATGCAGCAGTTTCTCTTTGTGTAAGCTCAATTGCAATTCTTGACAAGTCACAAACGCATAGACAGTAAGAAACAGAATGTCAGAGGAAACGAAGAAAAATGGCTTCAAATAAGGTGATTTATATATTGTCTGTGAAGACAATCGATTCTCACAATATAAATCGATTAAAGCTTCAACATCAGTCCTTAACTACTCTCATGAAGATACAGTAATCAAAGTGTGATATTGATGAAGCGTAATTGGAAATGTGAAAAAAAGGAAAGTTGCTGGCGAAACCTATGATTATTATGAAAGAATAGCTTTAGGCAAACGATAAATTTCAACCAAAAAAAAATGATCAGAAAAGACGATTTCTATCAAATCATTCGACACGTGTCAGGAAGAAGAGTGTGAAAACAATAAAAATCAATAGATTTCAAAAGATATTCAGAATCAGAAACAGATACAAAATGAAAATGAGGAAATATATGTTTTGATGAAGATTATTTTGAAATAACATAATATAAAAGATTATGAATAGGGCTTGAGGTAAGACAAACAATGTAAAAGACACAACTAACCTCCCATCTTCATCCACGGAAAAACTGGCTGGGCTAATTGGGCTGCTGCTCGTTCAGGAAAGGTTGTTGAAGTGGCTTGTAACGGATTGTAGTTGAAACTTCAATTATGAATATGATAATGATTGCTTAGAGATGAAACTTACGGATTGCTATTTTCTACCCATTGAGCTGCTAACATATTTTTCATATTGTTCATATAATTTTGATTATAAAGTAATGGATCATACGGCTGCTTAATACTGTTCGTAGGTGTAGGAGCCATAGTACTCAGATTAGGACCGCTGGGAGCCCAATAGGGCTCGTCAGTAGTTGCAGACGTCCAATTGGGATACATTATTATCAGTTAATATATTATAAGTAAGTAGCAATAGATGAGCCAAATAAAAATTTTTACTTCGCACTTAAGCAGCTAATAGAACTACGCAATGGCTAGCAGTACAAGGTGGCGTGAGAGAACAAAAAATCGTTTTATGGGCTTCGTGTGCCAAGAAATTTTTTAAATTAAAACAATTAAAATTTCTGGACTGTAATTTCCTTGTTTAGATTGTAAGTAGCTAGACTGAATAGAATGACGAGCTTGCTCGATTCGGTGTCGGACCCGGGGGGCCGCCGCGGGGCCTGAAGCGCCAATGGGCGGAGCTTATCTAAGAAGGGCGGAGCATGAGGAGGAGCCAGCCTATAGTAGAAGACTTCTTTCATGTAGCCGCCCAGCTGTCGTAAACCGGCGGTCAAGTCGTAAATTCTGCCAAACGAGCCAAGGCGACATCTTCTCTTTATCTTATTCTCTCTATGTAGAACCTACTCTTTTCCTTTTAATATTCTTCAGTTTCTTCAGCAGTTCGTAGTTTTCCATTTCTCTCACTCTTCCGATGTCAGAAGAGAATACGAACGGATCAGAAGGTTGCGTGTATGTGTTTATAAATACTGATGCCGGTATTCAGAATATTTAACGATAATGAAGAGATGATGGTGATGTAGTCGAGAATGGATTGAACGATAATGAACGTACAGTAAAATAGGGGAAAAAAATTCTAGAAAGAGAACGAGTGCAGAACGCCAAACAACAAAGACATTATAATCAGATGTTGATGTACATGATAAGGGACAAAAATTTCTGGAACATAAGACAGTGTATGCTGATGGTAACTCAAAACTTCAAGCTTCTCGTTACAAGCGAGAAGAAAGAAGAAGCGGTCACATACATGGGAGAAGGAACAAGACGTTCACGTAGCACTTGGAAAATGGAACTTCACTCTAGAAATAAAAAAAATGAAGAAATGGAGAAAACTATTTAATAAGATATAAGCCAATAAGAAAATATGGAATGAAAGATAATCCGTTTGAAGTCAACATACGTAATAGGGCTGAGAGATACGGTAGAAATTACCGGTAGAGCATGAAATAGTCATTTCTGAGAACTCATTTACGGCGAAGGCATATTTCAAAGTAATATTTATGTTATTGTCACAACTATATTGACCTTCATTGAATGTTTTCATTAGAAAATCAATTAAATTTTTCAATTTTCAGACATTTTTTCACATTCACTTCTCATCACAAAGTCACTTTTTATGTTGAAGATTCTTGGTCATTATTAGAATGGACTCATCTGTTCATTTTCCATTAACAACATCCGATATATCTTTGAATTTTATGAGGTGTCCGTTGTCGTTTTATTACTTTTTTAATGAGGTTCCGCCTCCAGAAGAACTAGGCGGCTCTATCTGACAGTCAGTATTATCAAAAACCTATATGGTTAGGCATACGTTACAGTCTGATAAATGAGAAAGCTGAACCAAGCTTCCTACTTGTCGCCTCATTCACTTTGCAGCTTAGCTTTCTAATCTTCCTTCTTCTTCTCGTTTACTATTTTAAATGAAAGAAAAAGAAGACTCATAAAAGTATGCTAATTTACTGTTAGAATAACTATCGGCTTCTATGCTAATTTTACTTCGTCAGCTTTCACTGCGTGAATTATACGTCGTTTTGACGTCACTTGACGTCCTCTTTTCCATTTTCATTCTATGCTCACACACAGTACGGTCGTTCTAACCTTTGCACATGAAAATGTCTTGGAAGCAGTTGTATGTTGGTTTCATTGTTTTTCTTCGAAAAATCTCATTAGTTATTAGGGAATTGACGATGAGAAGCTAATGCTGATAAGAGTCATTGAATGGCTCAAATAGCTTTGAACAGTAGTATTTCTCTCTATAAATCAACGAAATTGTATCGTAAATGTATTGATAATGTTTCGAATAAATCTTCTTCTTCTTCCTCTCCTATACCTTGGGAAGCTTTGACTCGTGCAGCTCTTAAGCTCGTTATTACATTTAAGATTTTTATGTGAAAGCTTACCCATTCAAATCCATCCATTTCTCTCTGCTCTCATTCTTACTCTCTATCTTCTTCTCATTCTTTTTTCTCTCTCTATCTTAACACTTTTATTATCCTTCAAATAGTTTTATTGTGTTAAAATTCTATTTTTCATCTGACATCAGGCCAACTTCATCCGTTCAAGTCTTATCACATTATTTCAATCAAAGCTACAGTACTTCTTCTTCTTCCTCTTCATCTTCTTCCTCTCCAACTAAGCTCTTCTTCAAATATTCAAATAATATTATTATTTGATATCTCAAAATCAGTTTTGAATTGCAAAGCCATATAGTCTCACCTTATAGATCAGCAAATCTCTTTACAACCTATTGTTGTCTCTTCTTAACGCCATTACCGTAACCGTCTTATACAATAATATGCAGGTTTTTGCTAAATATGGACTGAATTTCGCTTTTACTCCTTCATCGTCATCACCATCTTGGTGATTACGGTAGATTTCTTGAAATGAACAAAAAAGGAGTCCAATGCCGGCAATATCAAAGAGATCAAAATGAAGCCAAGCTTTTGGTTCAACTTCGCTTGATTTATTCATGTATTTAACTATCACAATCTTGTTTTCTGTTAAATTTTCTTAGTTTGGAGTGTAAAAATGGGTAAATCAAATGAGATACTTGTTCATTTTAATTAAAGTTTAACATGAAACTGTGAGAAATGAATGTTAACAACAATGATTGTCACAGAATGATAATTGGCGCTTTTGAAATAAAAATTCTTTTTGAACTCATCCTCACATTCAGTAGTTCACATCTCAATGACAACAAAAATCATTTTTGAAAGATATTCTTTCCTTTTGAATGACAACGAAAGTACTGACCAATCTACGTTTGAACAAAATGTAGTTTTGACATTGATTAACTGCTTCTGCACAATGCTAAAGGCCTAGCAAGTTGTCTACCAAATTGGTTATTTATGATAGACAACAGACCATATTGAATACCGTATCCTTATTTGAAATTTTTTAGCTCTGGGTGGTATTGGGCAAAATCAGGAAGGTATTAAATACTATGAAACTTAGTCTTCTCACTCATCAGACTACAGTATACAAGTCTAGGCTGCAATTTTCTGTTTCTCACATCAGACCTCTAGTCTTATCATCTTTTTTTTCTTCATCTTCTTAAAAATTTGAACAAAAAAACAAAGTTACGAACAACGAATGAGAGAAAACAGATTGTTTAGGGCTAACTATGCACAGCAGGAGATAAATCCTAACTATATGTGTATTATGCGAATTGTGGATCAACTTGCTCATAAAACTTCTCTTTATGATTGGGAGGGATTGTGAGAGGAAACAACCAAACACATAATTCCAGCTGTTAAATATGAGAAAGACAGTCATCATTCTGTTTCATTCTAAACTCCAACATGCTCTCTAGCTTACTAGAAGCAGAAAAGGAAAGAATATAAAAAAAAACTTGGTTATTTATTGTTGAAGTCAGATATTCCTTTTCAAACATACGCCTTTGCTGCATTTGCTTCCAGCTTCTCTACTGGTCGCTTGTGCTGCTTCATGTTTCAAATTGTTTATTAACTTTCAAATTTCAATTTTAATTCAAATGAGCTATTAAAGAGTCGTTTTTATTTTCTCATCTTCTATTATTCATTGATGCAACTATGTCGTGACTACAAATCTCATTAATGGACCTATTAAATGCTTTTTGATGAAACGCCACTCTTTCTCTCTGAGATATGTTGTCTATTTCCCACTTCAATCAGGTGTTGTTGCTCTAATTTCAATCATATAATTAGCTAAATAACCAATGCTTACATGTTCTCTACCTTTGTTTGCTACATGTTAGTTGCAAAACTTACAAGCTCTACTACTGATCAGTCGAGTAAATGAAGAAGTTCAACTGTTTAACTATAATCATACTCATATTACTTTCCTTCATCACGTCTTCTTAGCTATCACTTATACTTTCATTAGCTAGAATGGCGAGCTTCCAACCCAGGCCAGCCAATAGCATGCCGCCCACTACAGTACTTCTTTCATTATTTCAGTCAAACAAGTGCTTCTGCCTCGTTCATTGAGTGATTTAATTCAGTTTCTATGTGCTACTTTCTATTTTAAAAATAAATAGTTTATTCGCGTTTTATATTTTGCTCATACAGATCTTGTCCTATCAACTTTCAAATAAATGTGTTTAATTAGATGGAACATTTCTTCTAGAAAGCGAAGGTGTGGTGCTATTCGCTGTTTTCCACCACGACTACACTTAGCCGATTATTCTTCTTCTTGCATACGCATAACATGGTTGATACATCCTCATTTTACTTACCTTTCCTCATATATGAACCATAACATGAACTTATGCATGTTTCTTCATTTCTGCTAAGGTTTGAGCTTACAAGGAAAGATAGAAAGGATGAACTCGAGCTGATCTGGTTTCGTTATGCTTTCAGGAACATAACCTGAAACCTTGATAATTTTTGTTCATTTCTCTCGTGTTTGCTTTCTCTCATTTTCACTCATAGCTCACAATATTTCGTATTCTTACTTTTTTCGAAACACGAAGTCCCATTGGATGAAATGGAAATGGTAAAAGGGAAAAAAGAAAATACAAACCTCAGAGAATTCATAGAAGCAGACGGTTTCTGTTAGTGAAATATTACCCTCCACGTCAATTGCTGAAGCCTTGGCAGCAGCAGCAGCAGCAGAAAGCAGCACCAATAATCGTGTTCAGTAGATCTTGAAAGAAATTGGAACATCTTTAGAGAGGGAACAACAATTTTTTAGAGAAATATAATGATAAAACTAATTCATAGTCTACAAGGGGAGAACAAGAAAGACAACATTGATCAGGCGTATAGTCAGGTCATTACAGTAATCCTTAGAAGGGCATACAGTAACCTCATTTTTGAAGGTTTCCAAATATGTCTGAAAAGGAGAATCAGATACTAATCGAAGGATAATCGAGCATGACAGCTGCACAAACAAAGCTAAAAAAAAAGTAAAAGATGAATATCTTTAAGAAAATAATGTTTTAGTTTTTGTGCGAAAAAACTGTACGAGGTAAGGGGGTTTGCTTCTCCAGCCAGTCCCGCCATTACGAAAACTAATTTTCTCAACCATCATGAAATTTCCCTTGATATGGACATGTGCAAACCCTTTTGTGAAAGTTTGCAACTTTCCAGAAATTCCCACCTATCATGAGCATGTGTTTTATAGTTGTTTTCCCCTCCTGCTCATTGAGACCATTAGAGGAGAGAACTTGAGATATTTAATTACAATGAAAGTGGCTGGAAAGTACTGACAATCAAAACATCCTCATTCATGGCTAACAATGTAGTATATGATTAGCCTGATTTGCAGTAGAACTATGAATTAACACTCTACCTTAGTTTGCACTAAATGAGCTACAAACACGCATCAGCAGCTATAAGGCTGTTCCAACTTCCACCAATTTTCGAGATAAAATGTGAACTATGCTATGAATTGAAATTTCAAAGAAAAAATAATTATTCTAAGTCGAACCATCCTAATTTCCAGAAAGAATAGTGAGAAAGCAAGTTTATGTGAACAAGACATACTACAATTTTAAAGGTCTAATAGCTAGCACAAATGGTCCCGCCGCGCGCAATAAATGGACGGTTCGCCATAGATTTGGCTCTGAATAGAGTCGTTTAATAATTTTCTTTATTTGTTATTATTTATACTTTATATCTTAATCATTTGACTAATTACTTTTCTTATGCTAGTAATGTAATATTCCCTCTCCACATATTGGTTTTCGATTTATGAAAATGCTGATTAGCTAGCTTGAAATCTAATGTAGTTTAAAATATTTTACAATATGTTTCGACTTAGATGGCCGGTTTATCTCGTCTCCTTCCTGCTGCTCGTACTGCTGTAGTTAAGACTACTCAAAGAAACTCTTCTGGAAGTTTCTATGGCTCTAACAACGTCGAAGGATTCAAGCATTCTTTGACTGCCACCTTGAAGCAAGCTGAGAGTACGTTTATTTTGGCACAATCTTCTTCAAAGTATATAAATATTATTTTTTAGCCACAAAAGAAACTTGGAAGAAGATCTTCTACATTGCTTCTATCCCATGTCTTCTTATGACAATGTATGCTGCCTTCGCTGACCACAAGAAGCACATGTCCCACGAACGCCCAGAATACATCGAGTACTCATACTTGAACGTTAGAAACAAGGTATTCCATTATTTTTTTAACGATGGTACTGAATATTTTAGCCATTCCCATGGGGAGATGGAAACCATTCTCTTTTCCACAACAAGAGTGAACAATATGTCCCCGGAGTTGGCTTCGAAGCTGAGCGTGAGCATCATTAAATACGGTAGATAGTCTTTTTTGCGATAAAGAATCTAATGTACATGTGTAGTTGATGTTTTCGACTATAAACCTAGTGTTATAACGTTTTATTTATTCTTAAGATGCATAACCGTTTCACAATTCTGAGCAAAATTATTCTCCTCCAATTTAAGGAAGGAGTGTCTATTCATGTTCTATGATATCACATACGAAGCTAATTACGCGCTTCATCTTATTATTTTTCATAGATCCCATTCTTTCTGATAAGAATGATGGAGATGTCGTCGTCTATGCCTTGTTGTGTTTGAGTATCTTATGTGAGGATCTATCCTGTTGCTAGATTTGTACTGGAAAGCTGGCATGGGTAGTTTGCATTCCTTTCTAGTCTAAATCTCATTGTTGTCATGGTTTTTATTCGATCAAACGAACCTTCATCTTTAATTGGATATTAGTTCGAAGTAATCGTTGTTGAAACTCTTGTGTGTGTCTGGTATTTGGTGCTATGAATTTGGGTTCTTCTCCACTCTTAGGCTTTTCTTTAGTTTGTAGGAGCTTTCCCCATTCTCGAAACTGAAAAATATTTTTTCGAACATGAGAAGTATTGTAAGTGATAAGTGCGTACGTGATCTTGTGAAATATGTATCGGCTGATTGACAATCATCCATGTGACTGTTTCATGACATGGAGGAGAAGATATTGATCCATCATATGTTACATAATCTCGGGTTTGAGGGAGAAGTTTCCAAGGTTTCAAGTCAGAGAGTTCCACCCTTTGGGCTAAAAATAGAATCATGGAATTTGGAAGAGTAAAGACCGAACCTTTATAGATGACGCTTGCTGTGGCTATAGTTAACTTCAAAAGTTCGTCCGTAGTTGAAGGTCCAAACTAAGAATTTGTTTTGTTTGCAAATTGGCATAAAATCTACTTACGTCTACTAGAACAGCTATAGCTGCTAAACCGTGGGGAGATTTACTGGCCTGAGAGAAGTTCGTATATAAATCGGAGTTGAAAGCCAGCATTTGAATCTAAACATTCTTTCTAAGATTTGCCAAATTTTAATTGTATATATACCTCCATAGGGTATTTTCTGCCATCTATGGTGTGCTCACTTCCATTCACAGAATCTCTCCCAAAATGCAAATCCATTCGTTGAATCCTTATTAAAGCAATCACAGCTTCATAGAGCTTCAAATGCTCACCTATATCTATAACCGTGTAGTGGACCTCCAGTCAAATTAGCTGTCGGACGAATGGCCGAGTTTCCAATTCTCACACGTGCCATTTGTCCTGTATTGACCATTTCCGCCATTACCTTAAGTAGAGAGAGTAGAATATGAATTCAAACAAGCAAAATACATGTGTTCTATCAATGACCATAGGCAGTGCGTTGGGATCAAATAGAAGTCTGTTGGGTCTTATATCAATTGGAGATTGTAACTTTCCTTTTGAACATATTTCACATTGTTTCCCTAGCATCAGACCCCAAAAATTTGGACCTGAAAAGAGTTATGAATATGGGAAGAGAGTGACGTCGAACTACTCACCACCTATCATGTCATTGTCATAGGTCCAGGGATATTCCTCGATGGCAAAGACATTTGGCAGAAAGAGAACAGTATAGAAGATAACATGAAGCATGTTTCTATAAAAAATGAATGAGAGAATTATTTTAAAAGATATTATGCTTGAGCTTCAGCAAGAATGGTAGGAAGGAAGTTTATGAAAGGGTCTATCAGGTGGGCTGTCATTATATGAACATGTAATTAGGCGAATTCAGCTGTTTGGACAAGAGTGGCATAGTGAGTAGAGATGGGAAAAAGTGGAGAAGCAAGTCAAGAATTACGAGAAAATATAGAAAAATGACGAGGGCGAAAGAGAGAAATATATGAAATCTGCTCTCAAGCTGCCTCAGTTACCATGTGAGAATTCGATGAATATGCTCACGAGCTTCATTGCTAGAAAAGATAATAAGGAAATATAGAATAATACTTCAGTTTGTTTGTTAAACTAGCTAGGTTCTCTATATTGATGATTTGGAGGGTGAAAACGAGATGAAGATGTTTGAAATACTCTATCCAAAATTGGATGAGAATCTTGAAACCAATCAACTTGTCTAATCGTATTCTCACGCTATTTACCTTGTTGGAAAGCCATCAAGTGAGGCGATAGATGGCTGTTTGGGGTCTGATGATATTCATGAAAAAATGCAAGCGATGCCTTAATAAGGCATGAGATGTTCTTAAATAATTCGGAAGAGTACTACTTCTCGTATAAAAACATACAAAAAACAATATTTGGGTAATACAACCTTCGGCCACAAAACGTTTCAATGAAATCAACTGAACCAAGTAATTTCATTAATTAGAGAACGTGTGGAAAAAGGAAAACAAAACTTTTTTAATGACTTCCGGATAGACTTAAATGAATGATGAAGAGAGGGATTAAATGCAACCGCTCATTACGCACACAATGGTTTAAATGAAATTCTCATATTGCCACGCGTCCACGGCATAAGCTAATTTGCATATGGCTTAACGCTTCATACGCACACTCGAAATAAATGAAGAACACTGCCACAAAGAAAGAAGTCATCAAACCTTAAAAGGACATCTTACTTCACGGTTTGAATTTTTCACTAAATACGGAATGAGGTATAGCAGAACCTGGTTATGCCAAAAGTGAGAGATATGGAAGCTTTTTAGTGGCGGTGCGGAACATGGGGCCACACGGAATCGGCTACTTATGAATAATTCGCATTTCCAATGAGAAATCTGCGCCTTAGGGTTGAGGCTGAGAGCGTCTGCCTACTAGTTGACAGTTGAAAAATTCGGCAAAAAAATGTAAGTTAAAAGGTTTCAGTCATGAGATACTATGAAGAAAAATAATGAAAGCCTGAGAAGTTTCGGTTATTGAGAATTATGAAAGGCTGTGAATAAACAGCTCAAAATGAAATAGTAAAGTTCAAAGGAGTGATAGAGTGCTTCGAAGTACATGCGGCAAAGAAGCTCAAAAAACGTTAAAGGAATAGTACCTTACACATAAGTGGCCGGAGACCAAATGGAGAAACTTTAAATGCACGTAAGCTTGTGAAGTTTGAATTGGATGTATGAGAGACATTGGCAGGACGTTAAATTTGTTCCACTACGACGCCTCAAATTGGCACTTGCTCATATAGGTATGCAGATTTCGGGAATTTCAGTCCGATTTCATATTTCAGGCTAGGCACTTTCTTCGTTGTTGTCCAGCAAAAATTTGCATTTTGTCAAAATTTTGCAAATTCGTTTGTTCAATCGCTTCTTCAAGATATTTAATAAAGCTTTGGATTATGATTGAGTGCTGAAAAGTTATTCTTCAAAACGACAACAATTTGTGTTTTACGTTTTAGTTTCTAAAGTGCGCCACAGGAGAAAAAAGGAGAAGAAGATGGAGCAGCCGGAAAATGTATTTTCTGGACTTGATTAAACGAAATGCTTAAACGCTTGTGAGAGCAAGAAAGCCTAGTAGCTAGAAAACTGATCTATTTTTCTCGAGTTCCTTCATAAACTATGGTAGGATAGCATCAATTAATGAGAAAAAAAATATCTATCACTACAGATTGGGAGTAGAGGGAAAATAATTCATATTTCTGGTGTTGTCGAGGTTTGTTCCAAAAAAATGGAACGTAATAGCAATGTGGTTATCCGACTTCATTAGGCTGCTTGCAAACGTTGAAGCTAAAAGAATTCCAGAAGTTGTTTGAGGAGTAGACGGACGACAAAGAGATGAGCATAATTGGCCAAATTAGAAAATGAGGAGATACGTGAAAACGTTACCGACTAACTAGTGAAGACGTCATATTTCCTTATTTGGCATCCGGAAACATGAAAAAGTTAAAAACTCGAATTGCTGTTTGAATCTTAGATAGTGTGAAGATCACAGGCCCTTTGACCATGCATGTAATTCGCGGCGTTCGTCTTTCACCGTCGGAATAACAAAGATACTGAATGAGAAAAAAAAGATGTCGAAAAGATGTTGTCTTGCCGATAAAACACTGAAAAGTTACAAATTTATTACTTTCTTCCCTAAAAACAATCATCCAACTAACTAAGCTGAGAATCGGGGATCTTGAAATATCCATATACTTACAAATCTGGCAAACTGTTTCAATGGCACAACGATACGTTATAAAGATGAATAGAATAAATCTTTTACCCTGATTTGGAAATGGCACTTATTGGTTGTTTGTACAAAAAAAGAAACAACAACATATTAGAATATACAATAAAAACATAACAATAGAAATTTTTCTATACAACCTGAGATGTAAAAACATCATTTTAAATCCTAAATCTGTGAATATCTAGACGGGGTTCTTCATCTGGTCTTTCACGTAGTCTGCTAAGCTAGCCGGACTAGTCAAAACATTCGTATGTGTGGCTAGATGAACCTATTATACAACTAATTTAATTGTATCTTCCAAACAAACTGACCAGTAAGGTGCTCGCTAGTGGACGCAATTCAGGACCTCTCCATTGCTTATTCAACCAATCAGAGCAGCTTGCTGCTAACTGGAACAAAAAAATAAATCTTTGCCAGAGATTTTTCATTACCTCTGCAGACGATGAATCATTTTGGGAAAGGACATGAGAAAACGAATTGGGTTTGCCAACAATCACATTTTGAAGCATTCGCGACATCTAATAATATATGAATTACTACTATCAACAAGCTGTATACTAACTATCCAAAACCGCCAATCAGTTTTACTTTTTTCTTTAGTGTAGCGATCATAAAAACCTTCCATGGCAGCTAATGGTTCTACCTTCGAAGTTGACGGTATTCCGCTGGATGAAGGCAAGTTCGATTGAAGAGAACTGAACAGAAAAAATTCATAGATATCCTCTCAAAATATTACAGACCTGATTGTTACAGTTAGCTTGGCGATTTTCTCTTTCAATGCTGCTGCTTTCGTCTCTTGGGTAGATTTTTGCTGATTCAACCTTCTTATATGTTCGGCTGATTTGGCAAGCACAACAGCATTAGTCGGCTTGACACCTCCACTGTACAAATCAGGAATCTGTAAATTATTTTCATTTTCATTTTTATTCTATTAATATCCTCCGCTTCACACCATAACAATTTAAACTAGCGTTTTTCAAGCTTCTACTAGGAATGGAGTGCAAATTAGCATAAAATGGATGCTTATGAGCGCGCACATTCATTAATTAGCGTAAATTCAAACTGATCAGGGAAGCAAAAGTTGTTTACATTCATTTTTCGTATGCGTTTGCAGAAAACGGTTGTTCTTCTAGATCTCGTAAACCATGGAAGATATTATTTTTTTTTACAAATTTCGTAAAAAAAACTGACCAGTTCCATGAGTTGATCAAATCCATCCTTCAATGCACTTCTTCTGTTCTGTTCAGCGTGAAGATGTAATATTCTCTTTCTTTCCTCTGGATGTAGTGTTGAATCAGCAGGTACCTGTTTTGAATGATTAAAAACTATGAAGTATTAATAACCTGTCTGCTATTCGATCTTCCCATTTTTACACTAGGTGGTCCAGTCATTGGTTCTTCTTTGAAAACAGTCATTTCCCCTTTTGATATCGGGTTCGGAAACTCTACAAATCAGAAATTAACAAGGTTTATCAATACGAAAACACACTTGTTTCTTCACGAATAGCTCTCGCTAATGGTCCCTCATCTTGCGGAGGTGTTGGATTTAATGAGGGTCCATAGCTTGGGTATATTGAAGTAGAAGGGTCAATGGGCGACCCCTGAAAACATAGTATAACTTTAAATTGGAACACTAATACATACCTTCCACTGGTTGATCTGCAGAGGCTCTGCTGGTCTACTATTCGAAACTGTAGGAGGTGCTGGCTGGTGAGAAGATGTTGACGATTGAGAATAAGGAGATGCAGCAATGCGTAACCAATCTTTATTACTCAAATGTGGGGAGAAAGATTTATCTTCTTCCTGGAACTTTAAACTCTTACTTAATGCCGCTAATCAACAACACACCTCTTTCATTGAGAAATTAACGTTATCACCCCGGTTCAAATGAACAGGCGTTTTGTTACTTTCTTCTACTCTGTCTGAAAAACAAGTGAAATTGATTCAGATTATCAATTTCGTTAGATTACTAGAGTTTCCTATTCCTAAAGGTGTTGATGGTCCAACAGAAGAGGCTTGCAGAGGACTTTGACCAATTTGGGCATCCATCCACCAAGCTCTAGCCGTGGATGTACTCTGAAGATATTGAGATATTGATGTGAACTGCACTCAAAAAATGAACCATTGTCTGAGTCCCTTGTACCATACTAGCTTGAGATTGTAAAAACTGTGGAATATAATCAACTTGATTAGCAACGTTAGCAGTGGCTTCAAACTGTTAAGAGAGAAAAAAAGTGAACAAAGTGTACTTTAATAAAATACCAAAAAGTTGCTTGGCTTCCACGGACGTTGATCATAAGTTGCTGTTGAGTATTGAGGTTGGACACCTTGAGCAGACAACATCAACATTTGCGAAGTAATCGATGATGATTGTCGAGTAGGCATTTGGATAGAAGATGGAGAAGGACTACTAAACATCATACACATTATTATGATTATTCAAGTGTTTAAGAACCTGTAGTCTAAAAGCATACTTGCCATGGCATACTCCTGATTCTGGCGAGGCACAGGAACTTGGTGATTCGGTAATCCCATCCGCAACTTAGCTGATGATGGAGACGTTACTACAAGTTGAGGTAGCGGTGGAGTAGATGAAGAGGGAGAAGCCCGCAAGCGCATGGGATGAGACGATGTTTGAGGAGGAATATTAGATGATGGAGATTGAAACATGAGCGAAGAAGTGCTATGAACAGAACCTGGATCTCTTTGAGGATCATCTAAACAAAGAATCTTTTCAGCAACCCCATTAAGCTCACCTAAAGAAGCCATGATTTCTTCAAGACTAGGCTGGAGCGAAAGAAGCCCAGGTTGCATGATGTCGGCATTCCCACTTTGCACTGAAAGATTTTTTTCTTGATACTGAAACTGAGAAAGACACTAACTCATCTCGCGAGGATTCGGAAACATATACGGTTGGTTGAGTGATTCAAAAAGACTATCGGTGAAAGAATTTTCATAATCATCCTCATCATAAAACTCATTCGAGACATTATTCTTCGGAGTTTGGCTGCGTGGTATCTTCAAGCAGGGCTCATCGGCCGATGAATGTCTGATTTCGTTGTCTATCTGGAAAAAGCAAAAAGTAAAGTATACGGAAATCAAGAGCAACCTTTCTCTTCTGCAGTGGACGGTCCCTGTTGAAGTGGCTTCTGCGCGTCTTTATGAAATGTCGCCACCTCTTATACTGAGCACAAACTGCTTCCATTTTTCTCTTCCAATACATTCCTTCCAACAGACTACCCTGATGAGCAGAAAATGATTTCGTTCACAATCTCGATTCCTACTTCTATTTTCATATGAGTTGTGTCATCATCAGGAACAGCAAAATAGCAGAAGGGAGTTCTTTTCGGCTTCGGCTTATTCCTATTTCGAACGACTGAAAACTAAATTTAGCAAAGAAATATGAAACAGAGGCCTTACATTCAATGTAATAAGCTCTCCAAATGACATTATTCAGACGAATACGTTGTTTCCAATGTAATCGTAGTCCTTTGAAATCTTTCCATTTCGGAGTTGTCATCTTACTGCAATCCAGAGAGGTTCTACAGAAGAGAATAGCGAACTTACTTATACGCTACTTTTATACATTTATTTAATTTATTGAGAGAAACATCAATAGCTATTGATTGTGTTTTTTTCGGTCCGAATTTATAAAACGTCACAGGCTTCTCTTCCTGAAAGAAAGAACCAAAGTGACGAGCTGATCGACGATTGGATACCAAAACTGCTTTCGAAGTAGAATTATTATTATCAGGTTTGTCATCGTCTTCGACTACATCTACCTACAAAGATATGAAGATCAGAAAGAGAAAGTTTGTGCAAATATTACTTCAACGTCTTCGTCTTCGTCATCAGGAGCAGGATCAGTATGCGGATTGGAGGTCATAAAGTGACCACTATGTATAGTTTCGTGAGCCATGTTAATTTATAAAACAAGAATAAATGTATGATATGTAAAAGCTGCTGCTATGAGTCTGAAAGCAGTTTGAACTAATCCCTTTCATTTGTGGCATAACCAAGAAGAATTTATGAGAAAAATATCGTCCTGATAAGAGAGCGCATTGTTTCTAAACTAACATTTGAGAACGGAGGGAAAGAATGTGAAAAGGAACATGAACATCGTTTGTAAGTTATATGAGAGAGCCACACAAGCACAAATCGAACCATTTATTGAGACGGATTATTCAACGTATGGAAAGGTTAAAATCACAAAAAGAAACGAGTTATAAAAATTAATTGAATTAATCGATGAATATGAAGAACATTCAGATGAGCGTGGTTGATAAAGGAGAGATACACAAAGATCACGTGGTCAAAGCAGACAAAGACCGGTTATGATAACAAATGTCAGTTCTCATTTTACAAACTTGTGAACTATCATCAAACCGTTTACTAAAAATTAATTTGTTTTATTGAATGAAAATGATTGTTCTGCGAGGATCGATTCAATATTTAGTTTAATATTTGCACACGTGTTGCTTTATCAATTAATCATATTTAGTAGAACAACGTCAACACGCCCTTCGCATTCGCACTGAATTTCATATTGAACTTATATTCAAATAGTTAGACAATGAATATTTACCGAATGAGCTAGGTTCTCTTCAGAGTTAGCGGTTCAAACAAAACTTTTCAAAGCTTATCACTGTTATGCATCAATTTTAAGACAATCAAAATGCGCTCCGACTGCAATTTTATCAATGGAGCAAGTTTCAACAAGCTTCAGAAAAACTAATGACGACTAGCTGCGAAACACGCAAATGAATATGGAATGAATGAAATATTAACTTCATAATTGTCTTTGTGGCTGCTACTTGTCACACTCTGATGGAAAATGAAGGAACTGCTTTTAGAGAAACATCGCTCATGCTACTACAACTGGGAGAGCGATGGTGATATCAAATTAACACACGATTACAAAGTGGAACGTCATAAGTTATAGTACTCACTGGAGTCGTTGTCAAAATTCTCTTTTTTTTCAGAGATTAAAAAGTTCGATTGAGAACGAAGAGTAGCAGAGAGCGAAAAATGACGAATAACTAGAATAAATTTGAAAAAAAAACAACCGCTCAGTGTGTCTGCACTATGGAAAATGCTTGAAGGGGCGAGTAAACTTATATTGGTTTGCTTTATAATTGGACATGAATGCAATTGCAAATCAACATGAATTCACTGCGAACATGATTTAGACCAATATTCAGCATTTGAGTCCAACAACCACGTAATTACGCATTTGAATAAGTTTCAATTTTAAGTTAGTTAAGAGCATATGAGATAAGTAGGGATGAAGGCATTTTCGAATAAACTGACACATGTATGTATTGAAAGGAAGTTAGAAAGAGAGCTAAAATAGCATCACAAACGGAAACAGCTAGTTCACAGGCAGTCTGCTCTGGAATACACTCGTAAGTTAATATCTAGTCAAATATTTATTTTTTGTGTTGTTATTAAACTTTATCTTCAAACAGAGGTTTTGACAAGTTCAACATTGAGCAGGGTTCAATGAGCTACAAAGCTGAGGTCGTTTTGCAATAATATTGCTAGTTTTGAAATTCAAATTTTTCATGAGAAACACAAGAAGCTGAAGGCTTGAGGTCTGATGAGAATACTCCGAGTATAGTTTGCTACTTCAGTTACTTCAATTTTCCATTGATCCGTATACTAATATTTGAACTTCAAATACTCCATTCTTTCCTTTCCTATCACAGGAGAGGAAGAAAGACGGTCAAGAGACGACAATAAGATAGAACGATAGAATCTTGAGATATTAATATTACAACTAGGAATATGCGTCTTACTATTTATTCATTTTTAAGACCTAAGTTGCTACTCTAGCGCCGCAACGGCTCTTCCTCACAATATTACCAACGCCAAGAGCTCTAACGCTAAGTTAAAGAAAGTTACTTAATCTTAAGCATAGGTTCTCAAAATAGCTCTTTTCATCTGACTTGAAAGCGGGGGGTAATGGATTGGGATAACTGATTCTGAAGTTTGCTCAAGTTAGAAGTAAAGCAACCGTGGTTGCATGCTCAGTATTGATTAACATCTTGACCTATTACATGTTTCATGCTTTAATGAGTTTGTTCCATTGTTCGGTTGAACCTTGATCATAAGCATTCCTCAATTTGTTTTCTTCGAAAGTTCCTAATTATGAAGTCAGTTCATGTTTCAATGATCTTTGATCAGTTGCCACATTTGATTTCTTGAAAAGATAGCTAATTCCATTCTCTTCATAGACGTTTCAATTATGACTTGGTTAATTAGGAACATCAACTTTCCTGAGATTTAATGTCTACGTGCCTATTTTCATGTTTTTAGCAGCTATCCTCGTCTCCGCCTCTTTTCCATCGATTTTGTTTGTCTAACTGCCAGTCTGTTAGGACGAGATGTAAGAACCGACTGCCGGGGCAGCCTCAGCTTTTTCAGTCCAACGTTCAAATTCGAAATGCTCAAATTTACATTGTTAGCATGCTCATTATTGATAATTTTCTCATTTAATTTTTGTCCCAATGTGAATAACCTAATCAGTTTTTTGTAGGATGTCTTCTTACGCTCAATACTTAACCAAGGAAAAGGAGGACGAGCTCCGCAACATTGCCAATGCCATTGTTACCGCTGGCAAGGGAATCCTCGGTAAATAACTTGGAGTTTCTTATACTGAACTGATCCTTCATTTCAGCCGCCGATGAGTCCACTGGTTCTATGGAGAAGAGACTCTCATCCATTGGTTTGGAGAATGTTGAAGAGAACAGAAGAAAGTACAGACAGGTATCTGAATTATTCCGAAACCTTATGTATTTCATACCATTTACAGCTTCTTTTCACTGGAAACCCAGACTTGGGAAAGCATGTCTCTGGAGTTATCATGTTCCACGAGACTTTCTACCAAAAATCCGACGATGGAACACCATTCATTCAAGTTTTGCAACAACAGGGAATCATTCCCGGAATCAAGGTTTTTGAAACCTATTATCAACATTATTAAAAAAATTTTGAAGCTTGATAAAGGTGTTATCCCTCTCGCAGGAACCATCGGAGAAGGAACAACCCAAGGTCTTGATGACTTGAATGCCCGTTGTGCCCAATACAAGAAGGTAATGGTTTTGAAATTGTGAAGTTCTGATAGAGCGTCTTCTTCTCAACCACAAATTGAAATTTGGATTGAGTTGGGATGTTGAAATTTTTGCAAGATAAGCGCAGCACTTGCTACGTGCCGAATGTGAAGTTCCATTTCGGCGAGCCCGCTCCTCAAATTGATTGAGGCTAGAAGGCAGTGGACGGAAGAGTTCTTAGTGGGATTCCTTATAATGCCTCCGACTGAAGCCAGAAATAGACAATAGTTTATTACTTTTAGAATTAGATTATTATAAATAGAAACTCGATTTAATCTTTGAAAAGTTGGTTAAAACTAGAAGGAAGTGGGGATAAGATAGCGGTATTACACTAACTCTGAGAGTGAATGAACATAACAACTGCTCTTCAATAAAGAAGTGAAAAGAAGAGTCATGATAAAAAAAAACTTTTTTAGGATGGAGCTCAATTCGCCAAGTGGAGATGTGTCCACAAGATCTCCTCTCAAACTCCTTCTCACACTGCTTTGGTTGAAGTTGCCCAAGTTTTGGCCCGTTATGCCTCAATTTGTCAACAAAACGGACTTGTCCCAATCGTTGAACCAGAAATCCTCCCTGATGGTGAGCATGATCTTGCCAGATCCCAAAAAATTACCGAAACCGTACTCTCTTATTGCTACAGGTAGAGTCTGTTTTTTTTCTCTGTACTAAAATGAGTTCTTCCAGAGCTCTCAATGAGCACCACGTTTTCCTCGAGGGAACTCTCCTTAAGCCAAACATGGTAACTGCTGGTAACACACTAATCTAAGACAATGTTAATCACGCTCGTATTCAGGACAATCTTACACTGGCCCCAAGCCTACCAACGAAGAAATCGGCCTTGCTACTGTTACTGCACTTCAGCGATCTGTCCCAGCTGCCGTTCCAGGAGTCGTTTTCCTTTCTGGAGGACAAAGTGAGGAAGATGCTACCAAGAACTTGAACGCCATCAACCAGGTACTTTCAAACTTCAATAAAGTCGAACAATGAGCAATTTCAGGTTCAAGGAAAGAAACCATGGGCTCTTACTTTCTCCTACGGACGTGCTCTTCAAGCTTCTTGCTTAGCTAAGTGGGCAGGAAAAGACGAAAACATCAAGGATGCACAGGCAAATTATTCACTTCTTTTTAATCATTAAAGTTCGAACTTCAGGCTGTCCTTCTTCACCGTGCCCAAGTTAACTCCTTGGCTTCCGTTGGAAAGTACACCGGAGATCCAAATGCTGATGCCGCCGCTTCTCAATCTCTCTTCGTTGCCAACCATGCTTATTAGATCTCTCGAAACATTATAAGCAAGGAGAATAACCCGTTTTACCCTTAAATTTGATATTTTAAGAATCTAATTCGTAGATGCCTGTTTTACAAGAAAATAAAATTAGTTTAATTAAGAATTGCTAAAGTATGAAGTAAAAGAAGACTAGTATATATGATTATGTTTTCAAGATGAAATGGAGAAAATCTGCACGTTAATCCTATGAATTTTAAATATTCTTCTTCATATATTGGTGATCAATCGTAGTCATGGTACCCATAGATTGCTTTCTAGGAGGTGGTGGTGGCGGCGCTGGAGGTGCTGACGAACACAAAGTCTCAGCTCTTTCAGAAGTAGATGTTGTTTTGACTTCTGTTCCCACGTTACTCTGAATGCTCTGTAATTCAAGCTAGAACTGAGGAAAAATACCTCTAATTTCTCGAAGATGGGGAAAACAGAAGTAGCAGCCGTGGAGTGTATTACAGGATCACACTCCACGTAGCCACAGCGCCTATAGAATTCTTCTTTGTCTTCAGTACATAGAAAAGCCTGCAAGTTGAAAGAGATCTTCAATGAATGACGAATTCTCTTACCTGATTATAGCCAAAACGCTTAACGAATTTCTCCGTTTCTAACATAAGCAATTTCCCTAAGCCTTTAGAGCGTTCTTTCCCACTAACGATAACAGACTCAATCCAACACCCTTCTCTCCTTAAAAAAAACAAGTGATAAAGCACTAGTTTCACCGTTATCACTTATTAGGCAGATTACAAACACGTGCATGGCCAACGAGTTCATCATCAATGTTCCTTATTAACAGGAAAGACATGGGAGGTTCACTCCTGCATGACTTTTTCTGAGAATGCTCTCGCGATCCATCACTCCGAGGCCATTCCTAAACCGCATATTCACTTCGAGTTTAAAGATACGAAACCTCATTAAGTAGATTAATACACTTCCTAGCTAAATCTTGCCTATCGAATAAAGGAACTAATGCATATTCTGCCATTCTGAAAAAAAAACAATTTTATTATCACATAAAAAATAAAAATAAAAGACTAATTTGCAATGAATGGCAGCTATCATAGGCGTTTGTGCTCCATTCAAAAAGAAACAACTCAATATTTTGCGCCCAATAGTCATGCATGTCTCACCAACGTATTTTTCGCATGTCGCTGACCAGTTAAACGTTTATTTCATGATTATTTCAATCTTCTTCACGAAAGTAGCGAAACAAGAAAATATGAACAATTATTTTGTTTTCATTTTGAACGTAGCAAAATTAGAGCGAAGTGCAACAGACAAGAGTTGCAAACGTACGCGAATTGTAATAATATAAATCTCGTACTCTGAGGAGAGGTTTAGCTGCTGTTAATGTTGCCGTCAATGAGAAATATAAATTCAATCTTTCCTTCTATTAGCTGTTTAATTGTTCAGAGTATTTTATGTCTACCAACACACAAGGCAAAAATAAAATAGAACGGCGTATCAGAAGTGCTACAGATACTGATATTATTCTCAACACTCCACTCTCATCCAGTATAGATGTAGATAATGATGTTAGCTCGCACAAGTTTGGAGCTTCTTTCATTTCAAATGTTTCCACACTAATTTTTCAGAGAGCGACTCTTCAAACTATTCGATTTGATTGAAAAAGAATTTGATGACCTTTACGCCGAAAACACTGCACGTAATATTTTGATTTCTATATTTTGCAAAATATATCATGTTTCAGTTCGTTTACGATTAAATAATGTATCCGGCCATGAAGTTGATTCTAGTGTTTTACAAACAGAAACAATTCCACCAACTCAAGAAGGCTTAAAAGGTAGCGGAAGAAAAGGTATGTTTTTCATGTTTCTTGATTTTCTCGTTTTTTTTATTCTTGTTTGCGTCGAGCCATTCATATATATATATAGTCGAGCGAGTGATCAAACAGTTACACCTCTCTATTGATGTTTCAAGAGTTTCTAACCGTTTAATCATAATTCAGCCATGCAAGTTGGACAACGACTACGCACTGCTTTGAGGGGACCTCCTACAAGGCTAGTCTTCAAAGTTGGTACTGATGATTCAAGATTTAAGCAAGTTTCATTTACTCATCTCTCTTATGAACACCTTTCAAGACTTTCCCGCAGAATAGATGCTCACAAAGACGGTGTTTGGCATGTAGCTTGCGATTCAACACGTGGTATTTGTGGAACGGCGAGTGCAGGTTATTTTGGAGTTGTCAGTTTACAATTTGTCATATGATTCAGATCAAACATCTTCGATTTGGTCACTAGAAAATGGTAAATGTTTGGGGACATACGTCGGTCATTCCGGATCAGTCAACTGTGTAGCTTTCAGCCCGAACACTGACAACTCTAATAACGAGGTAAGCGTTGAAGTTTTTTGATTGTTCAATAAAAATTGTTAGACAACAGTAGTTACGGCTAGTGGGGACGAATCAGCTCATATTTGGAAAGCTTCACTGAATCACTTCAACGCTAGTTCAGACGATGAAGGGGATGAAAGAGAAAATGATATTGGTTGGTCAAAAACTATAATATGTAGCAGCGTTCTATTATGCAGACTTCGATCAAAAAGCGGAAGGAAGCAAAATTAAAACTCCGCTAATACGATTAACGGGACATACTGGAGCTGTAGTTGGATGTGAATGGCTATTGGGAGGTAATCAAGTAATCACTGCGAGTTGGGATAGATTTGCACATATATATGATGTTGAAAAAGGGGAAATACTAAACATACTGAGTGGTAGGTGCTAATACTGCAACGTTATGAACTTCGCAAATCCAGGACATGAACAAGAACTCACAAGCTGCTCCTCCCACCATTGTCAAAGATTAGTCGCTACATCTTCCAAAGACTCCACATTTCGCTTGTGGGATTTCCGAGAATCCATTCAGTCTGTTGCTGTTTTTCAGGGCCATCAAGAGTATGAACTTAAGTTGGCTTACCATGATTTCTCCACTTTCAGTTCCGTTACAAGTGTTGCTTTTTCATTAGGAGATCGAATCGTATCGGCTAGTGACGATCGAACTGTAAAAGTAAGTAGTTATAACATTTCATTGAAAAATCGTTTCATGAAACAACCGTGTCTCATAACATTTCTTTTGAAAATAATCGTAACGACATGTTCAATCCGTTCTTTCCGAGCTCACGTATTCTAATTAATATCTTCAGGTATGGGATTTGCGTAATATGCGTAGTTCTATTGCTACAGTCCGACTTCCCTCTCCTTCTAATAAAATTTCCATAAGTCAGGTAAAACATTCACAAGTTTTCTTCTTCAGAATGTATTATTAAGGCTCATGGATTGATAGCGATACCTTTGGACAATCGCCACGTAAGAATACATGATTTATCTGGGAACAGAGTACAGAGAATTCCAAATCGACGAGTTGGTTCAAGTGCAACAAGATTAAATAAACAGTAGTTTGTTTTAGTGTCACAACAGATTGATCTCATCAGTTGCGTGGATCGAAGACAATCCGATGCATAATCTTGTTACTGCTGGGTTTGATCGAACGATTGCATACTGGAAAGTAGTCGTGGGGAAAGAATAACTCGAGTGAACTATCCTGAATAACATCTAATATGATCTCTTCCAAATGGATAAGTATTCTAATTATTATGAAAACATTTATTATGAATCGATACTAAAATTGAAAACAACCCGATAGTCATTTGTAATGATAAAACTTATTATAAATTAATCTTGTAAGTTGGTATGTAAAATAATGATAAAATTTTGTTTTTTTCTTCATTCTTTGCTTTTATTTACACCGACTACCTCCGGATTCACACGATCCAATGGTGTTCCGTACTCACTTTCATCAAACTCTTTGAAAGCCTCTCCAGTTGTTACTTCTCCTACGTCTAATTGTCCTCCACTGAACCCAGTGGACATCTCAGCCAACCTTTAACATTCCAAAATGATATTGCTTTTGAAAGATAACTATACTTTTTGTCGACTTTGTCAATCATTGCTTGGAAGTCATCCGCCGTGGGTTGTGGTCTTGCAGCAGAGGTAGGTTTATCGGTTAAGTCATCCCGTAAAACATCATCGAGGAAATCTTCTCCAAATGGATCTATAAATCATAATTGCTCAAATAGATTAAAGTTAGTTACCATAATCTTTTTTCTCAGGTTCTTTCTTACTAGTTGCACGAGGATCGAAATCATCGTCGAAAACGGTATTTTTCTCGGAACCAGTTGAATTTTTATCTGGGCTAACCTGCAAATACTTAGTTTCTAGTAGCCACTTAGACAGTTGAAATACCTGCGTTGATCCCTGGTTGCTAACGTTTCTTCTAGAAGCTACTGGAGGTGGTGGAGCCAATGTTGGGCATGGTGGAGGGGGGAAAGCAGGAGCCGGTCCGGAGGGAGAAGAGAATGGGGCTTGTTGTTCTATATAACATGATTGATACAATTATAAAGTTTATAATCACACCTGAACTTAGTGTGTTGTATATGGATGCTGAAGTATTTACAGTAGTAGGGAATTGTGAAGGAGCAGAGAGAAGATCTGAGAACGGATCATTTGGAAGGAGTGTGCTGCTTGACGGCATATTCTGATAAACAGGCTAAATTAATTTCGAACATCCTAACCATCCCCATGTATGCAACTACCGTATTAGGCGCTTGCGAAGTATTAGGAAGCGAAGCAGAAACTCCAGGAGGCGGAGCTGAGGGCATCGGAGTTGAGGGGAGTGCAGGAGCATCAAGCAAAGAGACTTGATTCTTTAGTGTTAAAAAAGCAGTTAACTAAAAGTAGTAAGAAAAACTAACCTTGGAAGTGCTTCTGAGATTTTCAGCTAAACGTTGACTCAAAACCTAATATGTCAACTAACAAGTTAATAACACGAATCGAGTGCAAACCTGATTCTCTTGCTCCAGCTCTGCTATCCTTTTACGTAAATATAAAATTTGCTTCTGTGTTTCAAGAGATGATTTGTTACGATCCATGTAACGCTAAACTGATGATGTAAAACTCAAAAGATGCCATGAGAGCTTACTTTATATGCGAGATCGAAAGCTTCTCCTACAGTCAATGTGATCTGTTCTGCTAACTTATCACTCAAAAAAACAAAGCAGTCATGCCTGTTAGACTCTCCTTCTGCCTTCGCAATGAAGGAGAACACACGCTTGTCCTGAAGATTTACTTATAAGGGGAACTCAAAGACTACACACCTGCTTATCGTCTGCACAAAAAGAAATTCTCTGAAGAGGATAACGATGAAGAACCATTTTAGTTTTTGAATCTGCTATGATAACGCCTTCCACGTTTATTTGCAAATCAACCTTCTGTAGCTTCGCTCCTGAATGTCCAGTCTCTGACCTTTTTACCTGAAAATAAGTTCGCAGTCATGAGAAAGTTCAAAAACTGTACCTGGAGTTGGAAACGGATGGCAGTGATGGCATCTCTGATAACTTCAGTGCCCTTAGGTTTGTCAACTTCTCGAGAGCCCAAGAATTTCACAGAATATTCGACTTTACCATTTAGAAGCACATCTAGAAAGTTTTCAAATATAATAATAATACTCAGAAAGGATACCAGGAGGATGGATCCATGTTTTGCCTGAGCCTCCGCCGTACTTAACTCCGGAAGAACTTTGTGAGAATGCCTGTTTAACACAAAAAGGTTGAGAATAAAAACGATGGAAGAACAAACATCGCCAACAGTCGCCATTGAATTGGAAATAGATCGTTTGAAAGTTTTGTAGATACCTTTGCCTTTGGATGTCATTTTTGAGATTTAAAGACTGAAAATGAAAAAAATAAATTTATATCAGTTCAAAGAAAGAACAAAAAGCCGATGAATCATCTCAACAAAAAATGGACGAAGTGCACAAACATCAACCCGTACGTCCTCCTTTTTCATTTTTTGAAAAGTAACAAGACAAGAGAGTAGACAAGTTTACAGAAAAGAATATTAAGTTATTCATTGTTTATGACTTGTCTCTCTCCAAAGTTCTGTGAATAGATTATCGATCGCTGTCAACAACTTTCTTCTCCAAAAGGTTAGGATAAATCAATACAAACACTTACACACAGACACTAACCTCTCATCAATTTCGAGAACGAATGTTGATGAGAACCGGGGAGAAGAAAAAGAAAATACTTTCCTTACTTCTCAGAGCTTTGATAAAGAAATATTCGGAGAAAAATTGGAAACCACTGATGACCAGTACAGTCAATAACGAAAAGATCAATATAGGGAAAGGTTGACCTTGGTATACAAATACAAGCAATACATACCAAAATATTCATCATTTAATAAAAAAAATGGAAATGAAAAAAACTTTTATTTTAATCCAAAACTTACTCGTCGTTATTCTACAACTATTTTTAAATTCTAGAATGCTAACGTAATAGTTTAAATCATGATCACGGAAGACATCTCTAGCTCTTTATATGTTTATAGTCTCCACCATGACATACGATAACGGGTGTGGGCATAGTTGGGGAACGCCTCAGTTCGTCCTATAACATTGCGAATGAACAATTTCGTTCATCTGGTAAGTTAACATACCGACTCCAGAAGCAGCGAAGTCTCTATCATAGACATGTCTGGAAACAGCTTCACGGACAGCATTGTGATCTATACGGGAGATAGCCTCCTCGACCTCAGCCAAAGAACGAACATTGCCAGTGTAAAGCAACTGAAATCATTAAATATACTTTATCATAACATTTCGTTTACATACCTCTTTAGCGTTGAATTGAGCCTTTTGAGTGTTAGTCTCAACACTCTCGTAGAATTTGGTACGCAACTTGTTACGAGCCAAAGCAATTTCGTCTTCACCAGCTTGGCAAGCAAGGTGCTGCAAAATTGTTCATGTCATATGCATAACAAATCTGCTCGAACAAACCTTCCATTCATGTTGAACACTCTTCATGATTCCGGTGTTATCAACAAGATCATGAGAATCAGTTACTAAGTAAACTCCCCAGAGACCAGTGTCCCTTTAATTATAAACATTAGCAACATAAATTTCTGTCTACATACTTGTAGTTGATGTTGAAATGTTGAAGGAAGTGAAGTCCATGATTGTGAGCGATCTTTTGAACAATGCGGGATGGGGAAGTTCTGGTCAAAGCGTGGGTGACGTCCCATTGGCCAATGAAGACATCAGCAGCTTGGAGAGCAAGAGCATCAGGATGAGCATAAGGTACTCCCTAGCACAAAATGGTATAAAGGAACCTATGGAAAAAAAATACCTCAACGGCGAAAGCTCCATAGAGGTGCTTGATGTTATCGTTACGGAACAAGAATTCTGATCCAGTGAAGCGGACTCCGCTGACCTCAGGAACCTTTCTGGGGTAATCATTGCTGAGATCTCCGAAGTGCTTCTCAGCTAATTGTACAAGCTTGGATGATTCACATCCACCTCCGACAGCAGAGAGAACCATGCGAACTGGGCGGTAATGATCCTCACGCCACTCCTTCAAGTCAGTTTCACTGATCTTCTAGAAACGAAACCAACATAAGAAATTAACACAGAAGAAAACTTACGGCAATAGATGCAGATGTACCTAAGGGGCTCTTAGCGTATCCAGTTCCTTGGAAAGCAGCATTGTGAAGGTAATCGAAAACAACTCCTTGGTAGTTATCCTCGGATTCTTCGAGCTCTCTCAATAAGACGGCTCTAGTATCGTTGACAGAGCTTTGGTCAATTTTGCTGTTACGAAGGACATCAGCCAAAATGTCAACAACTAATAAACAAAACATAGAAGAAAAACCAGAAAAAAAGCAAACCTTTTTCAACATCTTGAGAAGAAGACTGAACGAAAACTCCAGTTTGATCACGTCCGGAGAAAGAGTTCAACTTAGCTCCAATGGATTCAAGCTGAGATTGGAGAGCATCGCTAGCTCTCTTTCCAGTTCCCTAAAAAATAAGAATAATGCAACAGTTTGAACAAGAACACGAACTCTGTGTACAAGACGCTCTAAGAAGTGAGCAACTCCGTTATTTTGTTCACTTTCATAACGAGATCCAGTCTCAATCCAAACTCCAACCTTTAATATAATAAATAAACTTGGAGGAAAGAAAAATAATAACTAACAGTAGCAGTTTGCTTTCCGTTGTCTTCAGAAACAACTCTGAAGCCGTTCTTTAAAGTTGAGACTTCGGCGGCTGGTTGATTGTTAAGAACATCCTTGATGGAAAGAGCAGAAGCATTTCTCACCTGTACGATTAGTTTATGAAATATGAATAAATTGACCATTAACTACCTGTCCGGAAACTACAGGTCGGAGAGATGTTCCGAAAACCAAACGAAGAGCCATTGCCCTATTAAACCAAGTCCTGAACACTATCGGATGAAGTTATTGAATTCTTATATTAAAGTGTGATACAGTTTTTTTTAAGAAAATTCCATGAAATTAAATACAAAATTAATTAACAAAAACCCTTTTTAAAACAATTTTATCTTCAAAACTAAGCTATCACCGCCCAAGAGGACAAAATCTAACGTACCTCAAGTTCGCGCCGAGACCATTTATTTTCAAATTCGTATATTTTCAAGCCCCAAAGTCGGAAAATACAAGATTTTTCAATTTTTTAATGTGTTTTTCGAATTTTTCTTTGAAATATGTAATATTTATCATTTAAGCAATGTCATCCAAGCATAGGATTGATCTTGGTGGTGATCGGAATCGTGATCGTGAAAGAGACCGTGATCGTGACCGTGATAGAGATCGCGATCGTGAAAGAAAAAGAGATAGAAAAAGGTATAAAATTTGAATGAATATTATGAATAATAAGATGTTATGTAAGGTCCCGTTCTCGTTCACCAGGAAAGTCCAGCAAGGGACACAGAAGGTTTTTTACATGTGAATCTGTTGTTAAATTAGTGTTTAGATCTCGTTCACGGTCCCCCAAGAAGGAGACGGAAATCAAGAAAGAACCTGTAAGTTGTTAGAATTTTCTCTTCAATTCTTCGTGTTTTTTTAAGACAATAAGTAATCCATTGAATGGCCAGGCCTACAGTCAAAAGTTTTGGACAATATTTGAGAAACGAAAAACTTTGCCTGTATGGGAATACAAAGAAAAATTCTTTGAAACGCTCCGTAATAATCAGTGTAAGTTAAAGTGTATATGTTTCTTCTATTTTATGAATTTTTTGAGGTATAACATTGGTAGGAGAGACAGGTTCTGGAAAAACAACTCAAATACCTCAATGGTGTGTTGAGTACGCTCGTGCTCATCCTACGCAAGGAAGAAGAAACATGGTTGCTTGTACCCAACCAAGAAGGGTAGCTGCTATGTCAGTTGCTACGAGAGTAGCTGAGGAGATGGATGTTCAAGTATTATTTTTAATCATTATATTTGCCAACTGATGTCTATAGCTTGGGGCCGAAGTCGGTTATTCTATCCGTTTTGAAGATATGATGAGTGATAAGACTGTATTGAAGTACTGTACTGACGGTGAGTTCGAATTATTCATGTGCAACATATTTTCGAATGTTTCTTTTAGGTATGCTTCTGAGAGAAGCGATGAATTGCCCTCTTCTAGATAATTATAACGTTATTATCCTCGACGAAGCTCATGAGAGAACTTTGTCAACGGATATCCTTATGGGTTTAATCAAGGTTTGTTGTTGACTGATTTCCTCTGTAAAACTTATTTTCAGGAAATTGTGAAACAAAGAACTGATATCAAGATTGTTATTATGTCTGCTACACTTGATGCTGGAAAATTCCAAAATTATTTCGAGGACTGTCCTTTGATGACTGTCCCCGGTAGAACATTCCCTGTTGAAATCTTTGTTAGTTTGTTTTATTTTGCAGCAGGGTTTATCTTCTTTTTTTTCAGTTCACTCCTGAACCAGAAAAAGATTATCTTGAAGCTGCCATTCGCACTGTCGTTCAAATTCATGTTTGCGAAGAGGTCGAAGGAGATCTACTCCTATTCTTGACTGGACAAGAGGTATTTCATATTCTCTTCCTAATTAAACAGCGCTGTTACAGGAAATCGAAGAAGCATGTAAAAGAATAAAACGGGAGATTGATAATTTAGGGCCCGATGTTGGATCTCTTAACTGCATTCCATTGTATTCTACTCTTCCGCCTAATATGCAACAAAGAATTTTCGATAGTGCTCCTCCTAGAAAACCAAATGGAGCTTTTGGTTAGTAAACAAAAAATAGTTCCTCGTTGACAGGTTTATTCAAGGTAGAAAGTGTGTCGTATCTACTAACATCGCCGAAACTTCTTTGACCATTGACGGAGTTGTGTTTGTGATTGATCCTGGATTCTCTAAACAGAAAGTAAGAACCTTCGTTTTTTGGGCTGTTATAGTATTGCTTACAGGTATATAACCCCAGAATTCGTGTAGAATCCCTCTTGGTTTGTCCTATTTCCAAGGCTTCCGCTATGCAAAGAGCTGGAAGAGCTGGAAGAACTCGACCAGGTATGCCCTAATGCTTTCCATCGGTTTCGAATTGTACAAATTTTCAGGAAAATGCTTCCGATTGTATACAGACAAGGCATTCCAAAACGAAATGCAAGACCAAACATACCCCGAAATTTTGAGATCAAATCTTGGGGCCGTTGTTTTACAGCTCAAAAAACTTGGAATTGAAGACTTGGTTCATTTCGATTTCATGGATCCTCCAGCACCCGAAACTTTAATGAGAGCCTTGGAACTTCTCAATTATCTTGGAGCTATAAATGACGAAGGAGAGTTGACAGAGCTGGGATCATTAATGGCCGAATTCCCTCTTGATCCGCAATTAGGTAATTTCTTAGAGACAGCTAAAGTTATTCTATTTCTATTACAGCCAAGATGTTAATCACTTCTTCCGAGTTGAACTGTTCGAATGAAATTCTCTCTATCACAGCCATGTTATCAGGTAAGATGAAACAAAACAATTTTGTTTAAATAGAATTATTAGTTCCTCAATTCTTTGTTCGTCCTAATGATATGAAAAAGGAAGCCGATGAAGCCAAACGAGGATTTGCCCACATTGATGGAGATCATTTGACAATGTTGAATGTCTATCACGCTTTCAAACAAAGTGAGATTCATTTTTTAATTCTTAAAACTTAAAAATTCTTAGACAACGAGGAACCCCAATGGTGTTTCGACCATTTCGTCAATTATCGTTCACTCAAAACTGCCGATACTGTTCGTACCCAACTAGGTCGTATAATGGATAAGGTAGGCAAAATGGGACTCCGCAAACCTAAATTGATATATCTTATAGTTCAAACTTCGACGTGTTTCGACTGATTTCAAATCGAAAGACTATTACATTAATATTCGTAAAGCGCTGGTTGCTGGGTTCTTCATGCAAATTGCTCACTTGGAAAGAAGTGGCCATTACGTTACTGTAAAAGATAACCAGCTTGTCAATTTACATCCATCAACTGTATGTAACAATCCAATGTTCTCGTATTCAAAAACAATCATTCCAGGTCTTAGATCATAAACCTGAGTGGGCACTCTATAACGAGTTCGTACTTACGACTAAAAATTTCATTCGTACCGTAACCGACATTCGACCAGAATGGTATTCCAAATTTAGTTTTGTTTTTTCTATTCTCTCATTCAGGTTGATGGGAATAGCTCCACAATACTATGATCTCTCCAACTTCCCTGATGGTGACACGAAAAGGAAGTTGGCAATGGTTGCCCATGTCCAATCTCGTTAAGTTCTAAGTTATGTTTTCCGAAAAAAAAGCTGGTGAAAAGCAAAAATAAAATTGTTATGAATTCAAGCAAATTGTTGGTATTCAAAGTCTTAACACGTTAATAAAAGATTGAATTCTGTGTGAGTTGCAATTATTTTGGAAAATCTGTGAAACAAAAGTAAAACTCGACATTTCACCGGGTGGCCTAGTTCTGACGTAGACAGCTCAAAAGAGAACTGTAAATCGGAACAAATGGATCAGTTCTACCTTTTAGTTATCAGAATTGCGTAATGTAGTTTTACATATAAGATCGCTGAAGGCCAACACTTCGTAATTGAAAAAGTCATTTGAGGTCAAAGTCAATCCTACACTGTCTTCAAATATCACATTTCGTGTATTCAAGACTATTTCATTTGTCAAGTTGCTCCGAGAAGAATTTCTAAAGATCTCGTTTTCGTCTTAAATGTATTCCGCTTCAAATATGGGGCTCACAATGCTTAGCGTTTTTTGATATTCAGCACTTTTAAAGTATTACTCACAAGTGATAGATATTGACTGAAATGCTAAAAGTTGCAAAGTTTGTTTTCCAAAACATAGTTTGGGTCGCAGTATACATTAATTAGCATACGTGCGTGAATTTCGAAATAGGCGTGAGATGGCTTGTGCATTTTTTGTTTTGCATGCAGGAAGAACGGTTGTTCCACAAGCTTTGCTGCTTTTGCAGTAATTTTTTTTCCAGAATATTCGTGAGAGATAGTAAATGAGAGGAAGGAAAGAAGAGGGAGGAGATACATAAAGAGAGAGAAAGAGAGATAGAGAGAGAGATAGAGAGAGAAGTAAAAGTGCTCTTAATTCAATCCGAAGAAGAGGAAGAAAACATCTATTATCTAATGGTGTGATGTTAATAGTAGTTGAATTATGGTTATTATAATAATTACGGGTTATCCTCCATTGCTTTAATGCTTCAATCATTTACATCTGAAGCATATTTCTGCTAAAAAAGATTCAACTACGAATTAGAATTAGTATTCTCAAATAATCTTTCACTCAATTAGGGATATAGGTGGATTATGAATTTGCTAGTCGTTGCAGTATAGCCTTCTCTGAGCATATTAGTTTATTATATAGAATATATGCTTTTGCTCTAAAAGCAAAAATTTTTTGAAGCTTAATGTCGTCTTCTCACTCACTCTCACTCCTTCTCTGTCTCTTCCTTCCTTCATAGATATCTTCATCTATCTATCTATCTATCTATCTATACATATATCTATTTATATATATATATTTATATATATATATATATATATTATATATTATATATAGATATTTATATATTTTTATTTGATTCCTTCATTTTCAAGTCCTAGACATATGATGGTGACATGAGAAAAGAGCACATTTCAACTTGAAAAACAATACAATTTGAACTTTGTTGTGAATCTTTGCTTTTTATAAATATTGAATGTTGTACATATTTTACGACGTTGCTTTCGGAATAAGTACAACACACCTGTCACGTGCGCGATCTGCAGGAGGAGTGTTGCACGTTCAACTCATGGAGGCATAAATGAGCCTTCGACTTTTGTTCTCTTTCAATCACTATACCATGTTGCTTTTTGCTTTAGTTAAATATTTTTTTCTTCCTTCTCCCTTCTTCTTCTCTCTTCCTCTCTTTCTCCCTCACTATCTCTCTATCGTATTCACTCACAGAACTTTGGTATGTTGAAGTAGTGATTTGTGAATTCAGAGATGTTCCACAATTACAATCTCATTTTTGAATGTCATCGTATGAGCAGCATCAGCAGCGGCAGCAGCTTCATATAGCGGAAGTTGGAATGTATGCTTGATAGTTTGATTCTATGAAAATAATTATATCCGTTTTGACCAATTGTCTTGGACACAGACGCCATCTAGTCTATAATGAAATTGTATTAGATGACTGAATAAGATTATCAGCTCTATTCAAACTTTTTTTTCTCCATCTTTTCCTTTTTTTCTTCTTCTTCACACTATAAGCAGATCTTATAGCTCTGCTTAAGATTAAAAATTCTATCTCCAAGATAATTATGCGGCAATTTTCTCTATATAAATTGTTAATCTATCGTCAATAGCTCTCTAGATGTGGATTTGTGAGTGAGCAATGGTTGACAATTTCATGAAAGCTTCCAAGTCTTTTTTTTTCTTTTTTTTTGTTTCTTCACTAGGCTACTTCATTTAGTTGTTAGCCGAGAGTACTTGACGAATATCTTACGGCTTCTCCGTTATCACTGAAATCTTGTCGTCTGTCCCGCAAACAGCTCACATTTTTTAGTCATCACAACGTGTCCTCTCCCTCTCTCTCTCTCTCTATCTCTCTCTCTCTATCTCTCTCTCTCTCTCTCTCTCTCTTCCTATCTTACTCTCGCAACTAACAAGTTTATAGAGTATGTGATTGAGCTAACAGTCTCAACACATATAACTTCATTGTAATTGTATCTCAACTGCAATATGCTACAGCATTCCTTTTGTACTCTAATCAGCTCTATCTTTTAGTTACTTGAGAAAGGATTTAGTTTTCAATTCCTCCTTTTTCCGATTTAATATCATTTTTTCTTGACTAATTTCTTCTTCTTCTCTCTCTCTCACTCTTTCTCCCCCCCCCTTCTCTCTCTCTCTCTCCCTCCCTCTCTCTCCTTTTTTTGAATTAATTTCATAAATCCTTCACGTCCGAATATGATATTTTTAAATTTTGCAGCTTAGCTGCTTTGGAAGAAGCATTCAATAGCTTATTGGTATTAATTGATGATTATTGAGGGGCTAACATCTATTCTTTGACCCTTAAGCTATGCGCTTCATCTCACATCTTTGCCATTCATATATTCAGTTAGATAGATAGATATATATAAACTCTTTTTTTTCTCCTTCATCATCTTCAAGCTCTAACATCTTCTATCTTCTTCTTCAAACTGAAGTAATCAAGTTAACATATTATTTGTTGACATATTTCCTAAGAATTATGACTTTTGTTCAAAATGAATGATGCGTCTGAATTAATCAAAAGTCACCGATTTCGACCAATTGGTCTATATTGTTCCGCCAAGATTGGATCTCTCCTTTCACAATCTCCTAAGTATTCACCACCACCACCACCAAAATCATCATCATCTTCATCATCATATCATATTTCTATTCTTATTAATGTAACAAAGAATATAAAGTGGTGTTCGAAATGAAATACTTCCGATTTGTCATCTGGTCATCTACGCAGCTTGACTATGTAGTTGACCGATCGAATGATAAGTGGTTAATACGGTTGGCAGTCTTCCAGCAACGAAATGTCTATGCATGTCGTTGTCAAAAACCCCTCCATATCCGATTATGAAATTTGAGATGGAATGAAATTTGAAAAAAGAAAAAAAAAAGTTTTTCTCTGTATTTTCGCAACACATTTCACTTTTATCAGGAAAGAGTCTTGTGTAGCTGTATAATTGGGTTCTAATCACTTGCCGACTGACCATCCGTGATGAAAGTAGTTTTATAGCCAAATCTATGATCATTCTATCAGTTTTATCAGGTGAACATCGCAGAACGCTCAACTGATAAGATTTATCGTCTTTAACAGAGTTGTGCCCAATGTTGGTTAATACGTGTTCTGTGTGTGTGGTGCGTTTTATCTGTGAAGCTGAATCATCTGTGTTTCCTGACATTGGTAGATGATTGGTGATCGTGATCATTGTCCTTGTCATAATGATCACGGTATATATCACCACTGTTATCATCTACCACACTATATGATATTGTTTCGATGATGGAACATGCTTGTATTTCCCATTGACTGGTGATGAAAGAAAAAGCTACAGAGACTAGTTCCAAAGATGACCCTAAGCTACTGATCTAGACCTAAGCTTACGAATGACGTGTAGACAGGCTTTTCATCTCTTCCTCCTTTGAATGAGTGAATGCTTGTTTCTGAGTGATTTGTATCTCTGAAAAGCTGAAATGACCTCGAACTCTATAAATCTATAAATAGCTTTTGATTGTTCTAGAAATTCTTCAATGTTTTTCTTGTACTCTAAGTGCTACGTTTGTTTATTTTCCGTCATACAAAGAGGTATTATCTCTGATTTATCAATCCTGTATTCTCGGTAGTTGTCTGAAAATGCCCAGAATATTAAAACAATGAGAACGATAAGGGAAAGAACGAGATGACATCATCATCTCGCTTTGTCGCTTCCGGCAAAGGACGGTTATTCTTTGTCGTTGACAATTTCACAGATGACAGAAAGATAGGGGAGCTTATTATACACTTTCAGTAGCTTTAAGATAAACGGAGACACAAGAGAGATACGGATAGCAATCGGAACTGAAGGATATATAGGCAAAGATGGACATTATTGCGAAATCATATGGCTGACTTATCACTCTCCTTCCTCACTCTACTATAATACAATTGCCCCCACCACGTTGGAGTTTGATGTATAGTTCAAACTTCAATGCAATATAGTGTCATTGAAACAGTGATATGAGATTGTTTCATCAGGATTATTACATGTCATTGCTATAGTATATAGGATAGAATAGAGAGATGTTCTCTTCATCTCTTCATCAGCTGATTGTTTCATCATCATTTTTGCCCAGTTTTTTTGTCTGCTCCGAGAAAGCTTCTCGTATAGTTTCATCATCGCCATCGTCATCATCATTATCGCCATCATTATCATCCACACCATCATCGTGTTCTAAATCATCATCACTATGTTTAATCTATCATTTTTTTTAACAGAAATTGCATGATTTAGATAGACAGATGTCATTAAGAAAACTATCTGATAGGCGTTTCCATATATATTCTATTCAAAGCATTACTTAACTTCCTTCATCTCCTTCATTCATATGATTTCAAATGCTGGCTATTGCTCGTGCGCGGACCATAAAGCACAAAAGCATTGGCAACGTTCCATAATTTTGAAGAATGTGAGACGCAATCAAGCAAAAAACTTGTTTTTTCTTGCCTATATTTAACTTTTCTTCTTTGATCGATGATCTTCTTGTATCTGAATCCTTGTTTTATATTATTTATGTTCAATTTCTTTCCATGCTTTCTGTTGTTTTTTTTCTTTGCTGCAAAAAAAAAAAGAAAAAAAAAGAAGGAAAAACTGAACTGCCAGATGATATGACAGACACAGAGACTGCGAAAGCAGTTGAGTGTTGTTAAAACATTTTCAAAAATGGTCAAATATGAGCTTGGCCTTTGAAAAGTTTGCCGTTTTTTTTCTTTGTAAAAGTCATAGATAACCTTTAGCGGAAATATTAAAATAGATACGTTATGTTTGATGAACCTCTCATACAACGAACGTTAGGTAGTATTCATCTTCTGGTGGTATGAGCAATTGGTTTTTTTGTATATTCCATTCTCTCTATCTCTCTCACTTTCTCTCTGGTTACTAACTCTTTCTCAGCTGTTCAAATACAATCTATTATCATTCCGTAATAAATAGAAATGCCAATAAGCGCCAGAAGTTTTTTTTTTCTTGGCTTTTTCTCTCTCTCTCTCTTTCTATCTCGATCATTCTCTCTCTCTTCCTCTCTCTCTGACAGTCGGTATCTTATTTATTCGTTAACCTCGCTCACTACTCAAGTTTATGAAAATTCTGAACCATCAAACGAAAACGAGTATGTGATGAGGCTTGTAATGAATAAAAACAGGTGTGGCTTTTACTGATCTCTGGACTGCTGATTACCTATGACTGTAGACTAGCGGAGCGCCTCCCACTTTTCTCTTGTCATTACAATGCTCTATCGCGAATGTACACCTGTTATTGCATTACCAATGATTTACCCATGCGCTTACCACCCATATTCGTCTTTATTTTATGTTCATACTTTAGTCAACTTCTTCTCTCATAAGTTTGATAGTCTTCCGACTTCTCTTTCCTCTTCACAACTGGCCTAATTGGTTAGCATGTTCTGGTTGGTTACAGAGAACCTGTCTTCTACATTCTCTTCTCTCCTTCTCTCCATACCTCTCTTTATATTTCGCTCTCTTCCTCTCTTTAACTCTCTTTCATATGCATATGTTTATCATACGAACTATCTATGTATCTGAAGATACCTTTAACTCTACTTTTATTTCTCGCTCTACTTCAAGTTATTTTTCTGAAAACTGCTTGTCGTGCTTGACTCTGTAAGAGTACCGATCATATTTCCATTCATCAGCTCTCGAATTAAAAAAAAGAGAAAAGCGAGAGAAAGAACCAAGAAACGGAACTGATTTATTTCATGTCTGACCCACCTGTTTCGAAACTTTTATAAATCTTTTCGAATTCTTTATTCTCTTTACGCTTCATTTCTAATACTGAGTGATCTATAGTTGATGTTTCGTATCAATCTGTCATTTTCTTGAGTGATGCCATTGCCGTAATATTTTATTCTCAATAACCTTCTCTCTTTCAGTAATGCGTCGTGTTACTAATTCTCATCGTCGTCGTCCATCCGATGTGGCATCGGATTTAATTCGAACCCTTTTTGGTCGTCTTACGAAAAAGCAAACTCCAAATGGATTTAGAAGTCTCTCCACTGGTGATCTGGCTGATAGCACTGTAGTTCCAGTAGGCTCAGAACATTCCGATTACATGGAAATGCAATTCAATCCTACTCCAACAACCGTAAGTATCATTTTGGTTAGCCTCTTATCTATTTTAATCCTTTAGAGCAAGCTTGATCCCAATTTTGATGATGCTGATCGCGTTCCAATGAGATTCAGCAAGGATGCTCCACCTAAGCTCTTGAATCAAGCTAGAGCGTCGTCAAGAAAACTTATGTGCAGTGGAAGTGATGAGGATTTGAGACAATGTATGATTTGAAATGAGAACTTGAAATATTAAGCGAATTTACAGATCATGTTTCTGATCTTCATGATTCACAGAAATGGTTCTACCGTAACGTTGATAGCAGAAAAGCTGAACGTCTTCTTATGGATGCAGGATTCCAAGAAGGGTAAGATACATATAAATCTCCCACCGCACCTATTCCAAATGTTGTTTCAGATCTTTTCTGATTTATTGCGTTGGCGAACTTTACCAAATTTGCGTATTACATAATGGCAAATTCGTACATCTCCGCATTCTTTACCGAATAAAGAACGGAATCCCACGCTGGAATTTGGAAATCAATCAGAGCTTCAAGTAAGTATTGTTTCTCTCATAACATTACTCTCATCATTATATTCATTCTAAAACAATTATTTTTTCAGAAATCTTCTTGAAATGGTCAACTATTACCGTAGTCATAAGGGATTTGTCTTGCCCACTATGCTGAAGCACGGTGTGGCTCGGCCTGTAAAAATACCAACATCATCCCATCGGACGCGGGCTTAAGCTGTGAGCCTATGATCTATTGAACTTATGAAAAAGGCCACATTTGGCTGAATTTCTCGGTTATTAGCTAGAAGTAAGCAGTGAATTGACAGATTTCAATTCGAAACTTAATGTCACTTCGATGATAATACTTAATATTGTGTCATACAACTTCTGGCAAATTGCTTAGTATCTGACGTCAATTTGCTGAAAAGTGTATGTACATACGCATGCGAACGACCTATGAGAGAATATGATTCTCTAGTGACATATGCACCCCCATCCCCCACAGCACACACACACACACACACATCCATATATTCCCCATATAAATGGATATCATATATGAAATCATTATTCTGAAGTTATTTCACAACCAAAAATACAATGTTCCAAGGACTTTTCCTTCAGTTTTTGCGCGAAACCCGGTGTTTCATTTACTTTCCATCCCATTTCATCTCATTTTGACTTAATACGGTTTTTGACATTTATAGTTATCATTTGTGCATATTTGTACTTCTTAATTGAGTTTTATTGTTTTCTTCTTCAAAAGGTTTATGTAGGTTTTCATTCATGTTGTTCTTATTTATTCATTTGAAAAATTTAATAAAAATATTTCATTATAATTATTTATATTTTTATTTATTTTTACACACACATATATACCATTTGATATTACCATTCTATCTGGCACCCGAATAATCGTTTTAAGTTTTACAGACGGCACTCTTGAACATGCTGTTGCCATGAACATACATGCTTTTCCTCAGATTTTGAGAGACGTTCTTTAGACTCGTCGAAGACGACGAGCTCTTGCCATTGCTGGATTGGCTGCTATGCAGTCTTGAAGACTGTTACCATCAGGACAAGCGAATCTGAAAAAAATTTTCGACATCATTTGTCATTCAACAATTTATTTTCTTTTAAAAACCAAAAAAATTCCATCTTCTTCTGATTCTCATTTCAATGACGTCAAAGATGTACTATTCACCAATTTCATCAAAATTTATGAACTTCTCTATCGGAAAGGTCAGGTAATACGTTTTCAACTAGTTTTTAGCCCTCAATCGCTGATGTTCCTCTCATCTGTATGCCGAAACTGCTCAAGATAAGAAACTCTTTTTCGAAATAAATCTCAGCATGACTCATCACATTTCGTTACGGAAAGACGACGAAGAGGGAATTAATTCTTTTTTTTCTCTCGTCTCTCCGAACGTCATCCATACAATTTGAAATCAAGGTTTCTTTTGACTTTTCACATGACAACTCTATCTTATGCCTCGTGTTTTAAAGAAGTGGCAAAGAATCCTTACTTATGATAGAAAGCGGTGTTATCCACTTGATAGCAACGATGTACGAAACCGTTAATCAGCATGTCACGTCCCAAGTCTACATACATCAAATCATCCACACATCCTAAATGAAAGAATTTCATATGATCTTATGCTTTCTGAACTATTCAAGAGTTTCATTAATTGTGTGTGTAAAATCAGGAAATTGAAAAGCAAAGGCTGTATAATACACGTGCTTCCTTATCACATCTGATAACGATCAAAAGGAAAATTCAGCTTTTCGGAAATAAAAAAGTTGATTGTTCATCATTTGTTTTTTTTTAGTCTGTCAAGGTTTTTTGGAACTTAAGCTGGATAGATGAGCATGTGCCTGTGATGAGATATATATACCCCTTATCCTATGTCTGTTCGTTCTGATTAGCCGTCAGCTTGTTCACTGTCGTATTAATGAATGGGAGGTATTTGAGAGAGAAATGAGAAAAAATGGAAATTGTATGTATGTGAAGGAATTGATAAGAAAAACATAAAATTTCACTACAGAAAATGATCGGAGTGAGCTTCGAAAACTGGCCAGACCACAACGAAAATTGATAAAGCTCCAAGAATAAGGGAAAAAAGAAATTTTTCTCGGATGTTTCAACTTATGGCCGTGTTGTAATTTTACAAAAAAAAATCGGAGAAACGCTCATATAGTTGTAAGATGAAACGTGTTCATGAGAAATTTTTGTTCTTACATACCTAGAACATTCAAAGTTCCATCATCTTGACACTTGTAACGGATGTGACTTTCGGTCCAGATCTGTCCAATATTAAAGTGCTGATTCTGATGAGTACAACCAATAACTATAAAAGGAGTATCGTAAATTACGCATTTTGTAGTTAATTCATTGTTTATGAGAATCATTTAAGTTCAAACAAACATAGAGAGCGGTTGCATTCTTACCTTTGACAGTATATCTAACTCGTCCATCGCTCATACGTTGACATTCGTGACGATGTTGACCAACAATACGAGTTTCACCGCTCATTAAGAAATTGTCAAAAGTGTTTTGCATATAACATCCTATAACACATCTTTGTTTTGTATGTATGCCATCTTAGTTAACCTTCTACAGAGATTCCTTCTCTTCCACAAACTAACTTGAAAGAACCATTACGGAAAGATTCACCAATGTTATAGCTGATTCCATTTTCGTAACACATTGATTCTTCAATAAAAAAGGTTGCGTTGAAAATAATTGTTTTTTAGAGACCTTGTTCGTAAGATACTGTTTCTCCGAGAATAGTACATTTGTGACGAAGTCCATTCTTTTCAAAGACGCGTCCTAATTGAATGACCGATTGATCATCCGCAATGCAAGCTAAACAGTAAGAGAATGAGGACAGTCTTGTTGTTTACAGATAGTTTTTATAAGATAACAACGCCTAACCGACAACTTCAGCTGTTCCGTTCCGGCATTCATAGTGGAAATTATCCTTTGTGAATGTTTCTCCATGTTCATGACGTCCAGCATTAGCCATAAGACATGGCAAAGGTGGGATGCGATCACTACTTACTGGAAATAGTGTTTGAGTCTATCATAAGCTATTGTAAACATTGAATCTAGTTTGCTACGAGATTGAAAGCCAGAAAAAAGGTGATAAGAACTCTAATAGGTTGTTAGTACAGTGCATGAACTTAGAATGACCAAGAATCTTTGAATTCGATCAAATATCAAGACACGTTTAGTTCAGTACATCGTATTAGAAAAGCTTCTGGACGGCTTTCGAAAATTGAAAGAAAACAAATGTGAAAGAAAGAATGCTCACAATTCATAACAACTCTGTTGGCTTCGTCATCCATGCTCATTCCATGAGCTGTCAGTATAATTTGACGGTCGACATGATCTTCAAATTGAGCCAATCCGAAGGGAGCGAGAACAAGTAGGAAGAATATTATTGACATGTTCTGAAACGTAGTGTTTACTCAGGACTGTTGACAAGGAGTATCATTTTGTTTAAAAAAAACTGCTGAAAACAGTCAGTGGCAACAAATTCAAGGCCAATTCCATGAAATAAACTATTATTAAAAGAGTTCAGATACATTACAAGGTTTCGATTGACAAAAGCGTTCATGGCTAATAAAATCTTTAAGTTTATTCGAGACGATGGACAAAATTCGAGAAAAAGGGAATAATGAGATGGGTGGATGTTAGCGAACTAAGAATGATCATCAGCTAATTAGGACAATTCAGCTGACCTTCAGCCACAAAAGGATTTCAATGAAAAACGATTTTACCACTCTTTTTTGGTCACTTAATTGTAACCTATCACACATTTCACAAAGTTCCATCCGAATCCTAAAATGCTTTTATAAGATTCCTAAGAAGTGGTGGTCCCACTCCAGTTCCAGAATTCTCGTCAGTTCTCGCTAAATACGACGAACGAGTTTCATAACCTTATGCATGAACATTTAAAATAAAACTTTTTTTCATTTTCCCATGAACATTTATTTACAACGGGGATTATCATACTGAATTTGGCGGCATTCCAGGCATGGTTGTAATTCAAATTTGCTCGTTGTTAGTGGAGCATGACTCGTCATCTGATAGCATTCTTTCTTCCAAAGCACCACGTTCTGAATACTTTCAATACGTTTAATTCATTACAAGATCAATGGGGAACCATCTTGATGGATTTCGCTTTCTATTTGATCCGCCTATAACTTAAGTTTTAATATTTTGACATGGCTCTTGCCCATTTGATAGCCACCCAGAACGCTCCGCCCAACTCGTGAAGCGAGCGCTTTTTGTTTTTTTTTCAAAATAAGATTGAACGTTGTTAGATGAAGATGTCTGGCTGAAAAGTGCCAGTAAGAACAAGGAATAGGAAGAAGAATCTAGTAAAAGGAAAATCAGATAACATTCTCGTGATCATTCATTCAATGCCTTGTGGTCAGACACAATAAATTTATCAAAATTACAAAAAAAACTCTTCCATGATTCATGATCATAAGTAGTTTTCAGCTCGAACCTCAATTGAACTTGCTCGATTTCAAACTACTATGGTCTACCCCAACCTTTGCTACGTTTACGTACTTTATCGTTTTTGCACTTTAACTTCTGCACTTGATACACTTTTAGTTCCTCTTAGAAAGGCGCGAACGGAACCATTAAATTTGAAGAGGGAACGGATACTCCGTTCAATTTCTGGACATGGTTTTCAAGACACAGAAAAGCACTTTGAATACTAATTAATCCCATAAAACGAAACTTAATTAAGAAAAAATACTACATTAATAGAAGTACCGTAATACAGTATAAGATTTTCAAAACTCAATGACAAAACAGTGCTCATTAACACCCTCGATATACGGTTTCTGCCAAAGTATCTTAAAAGTGTACGCAGAGCAGCATAAATGCGCGCGCTAAAGTGGGCGGGGCTTTATGAGGTGGGAGGATCTTGAAGTATATATCCCCATTCTGACTACAGTTATGCCCAAAATACGCACAAATTATTTTAAACATGTAAGCTCATATCCTTTAACCTCAATTAATCTGTCTTTCTAGACTAACGGGTATATAATTGTTAACGGGCACATTTGTGTGGCGGGAGATGACATCGAAGTTGACCATACCGTCGAATGCTATGCAGAAGTAGATTTATATATTACAGTTTCCTTCTACCGGAGTCTTTTTAGAATCAGTTGGATTATTTATCTGATGTTTTTTATCCAAGATGTTCTCCCGAATTGCAACGATTCACAACCAAAGATAAAAATGATACTGAACTCAAATGTTTCAAAGAGGTCATTAAATTCTGTCAATCTGTCGGTAATTTTCGGTACAGGACTTCACTCCATGCAAAAAAAGGAAATCCGAGTTTGACGAAAGTAAAAAAAAGGAGAATAGTTGGACTTGTACATCAACACAATTCACAGATACTAATAAATCCGAAACTATCTCTGATTCTCCTCATAGTTGTTACTTCTCAGGCTCTGAGGTAAACAGACTTAGAAGTTGAAATAGTTAAGAAACAAAAAACCTGCATTATAGACCTCAGACACATCAGTTTTTGTTCTCAATAACGAAAGAGAAGTTCCGGAAGGTATTCATTAGGTTAGAATTTCGAATAAACATATTTTCGTCTTTGAGGAAACCGTAAAAGGAAGTCGAGTGGTGATAAAAAGAAGTTAATGGTTGGTGAAGCTATTTGTAAAATATAGAAGCTTCCGTTTCAGCATGTCACTGAAGATCTTCCGTCTGAGAGAACTAATAATGTACGTTTTTTTTATAAAACTATGCATGTATGATTGAGAACGCATATACTCTTCTGCAGGATTTGGAAAACATTATGTCTTTCGTTCAAAAGCTGGATTTCAGTAATTCACGCGAGCTTCAGCAAGTTGGCTAACTGCTTTCTTATGTCTTTTAGAGGAAATGTTTTCAGTTCAAGAGAATTAAAGACATGATGACATCGAGAGAGCAAGAATTCGAAAAGGCAGAAAAAGAGAACAAGCAGGTAAGTGATGTGTTGAAATTCTATCTTAAGAAGTTTATTTTTGCAGGAAGATGAGACACCCGCTCCAGTTAATCAAGTTTGCTTTCTTATTTTTACCTTTTACCACTTTATCTGTGTTAAGATTGGGGCTGTCCGTCAGAAACTTCAGAACCTACTCATGCTTGTCAAAACTCTCACGAAAATGAAGTTGATTCATGATCTTCCATATTTAACTCATATGGAAACACTTCTTGATCTCTCTGAATGTTATCAAAATACTTATAACAGAAATGAAAGTAGTTTATCAAATGTAAGTTCACAGGCTTTATCAGATTTTCTCTCTTTTTTAGCATTCAATACTACCTCCATTTATAAATAATGAAACAACATTAAAACCTTTACAAAAAAATACTTACAACGTTAGTTTGGTGTTTTTCGATTTGTCTCATTCACAACTTATCAGACCTACGACGTAAAGATAGTTGTGGAAGACTATTTTGCAAAAAAAGCGACGAGGTGCTAGAAGAGAGTTTATAATCTTCGCGCTGGTTTAACGTGATATTTTTGATGGAAGTGCATTTCTTTATGAATGATCTTTTTGAATAGTTTAATCAATAGTTTTAATGCATTCACATTCCTTTGACTCTAATACAGAATACGTTTCAAGTTGAAAAGTTTTAATTCATTTCCTTAGCATTATAACATTGAAAGTATGTTAGTGTCACTCAAACGAATGCTTTTTTTTTAATTACAGATTCATGTTAGCTTTGTGTAGTAAATACAATTTTTATATTGTTTCTCTATGTTTACATCGGCTCCCACTCCGAACAGTACTGTCCTTATTCCATGCTTCCCGTTATCCTTTTGTAGCATCAGTACACCACGTCGTCCCTCACAGCTACTGAACTCAAAACAACGATCGAATTCCTCAATGCACTACAATATTGTTCTTTTGTTCTGGTAAGGTTATCCTTTCATCAATCTTACGCTTTTACACTTCGTAATCATCAGTTTGGCCATTGATTTCATCAGCCATTGCTCACCAATAACCAAAATATAGGAAATGACGGGCATTTTCAGAAGGCCTAGTTTCCATTTCTTTCAATCATTCAGCATTATGACAAACTAGTTTCTCAAAATACTTACAAGCATGACATTGAAGAAAGCGCTCTGGACCATCGGAATATCTGTCCGGAATCCTAACAAGTTGTATTGTTGAATATTCTCGATCAAGCTCATGGTTATGTGATGCTCTTCTCCTTCAGTTAATCGTAAATATGAACAGTCAACGATGGAAACAGCTTCAGGAATGCTTTGTAGAAGAAGTTCCGTCTGAAATGAGTCGTTATCCCGGGTAATTGAAAGTGATCGAGCTTACGCAAAGTCCATTCGTTTTCAAATTGTACAATTTGAGCCGTTTCAATAATTCTTTTTCGACCTTAGCATCCCCACCAGCCTTAAATTCTCACAATATGCAAAACTGAAAAACTATTCTCACCAGTCGTAGACGGTCAGTTACAATATTAAACAGGTTTTCAGGCAACTCATTTTTGAAAAAAATGGTTTTGGAATCTGCAAACTCAAAGTAGTTGACGAGCAAAGACTGAAATAAGGAAAGTCATTTGAAATGGGTGATCGAACTTACGTAAGTGTCGGAGTATGAAGCACTGCTGTTGGAGAAATAATGATAATGCCAGAAAGCTATTGATGAAACTCGTCCTCGGAAGCCGCTTTTTCTTATCAAAGCTTCGAAATAAGAATTGGTTTGTGATAAGCGTTCCAATGCTGGTACGGAGAGCTTAAGGATAACAGTAGTACAGTTAATGGTGTTTTAGGTCTTACACTATAAATGATGCTTTTCTGTATCCCGTACGGCAATTTCATCAGTTCAATTTTTGATTTCTACATAACGTCATACAGCTGGCAGTGTAATTAAGAACCTACCTGTGGTGCGGTCACGGATTTTTCATGATTCGTGTCTGTCATACTTTGAAGTTTGTGCAGTGTGAAGGATGGATATTGAATCTTTATTAGTAAGTGTTACAAAATATATTTACAACGTGAACCGAGTCTGTTGTGATTATGCCTATAGCGTTGTATTTTATGTGACTCGCTGTAGCTCGAGGATACTATTCCTACGCATAAGTGGTCGTAACCTATAAATGCTGAACTTTCCCAGAAGTGCCAAAGTCTCTCAAATGTAGGTAGTGTTAGCTTGAATTAGAGTGTTCACATTATTTTTTTCTGAAATATAGGATTGATAGAAGACTATTTTCCATTTAATTAGTACTAACGTAGTTTCTGATTGACTGGAGCGGATCTAAGTAGATATGGTACAACCACTAGTCCACCCACAACCTATAATCGAAGAAATTGTTTTTTTTGGCATCCTGATCAGTATGAAATTTCAGAAATATAATACGATCAGATCGGTTGCATTCATGATCTTGTGGACATTCAAGGGGTTATATTCAATTTCGTTTCCAACTTAGCAAAACTCACAGGGCTCTCTTTGCCAATATTTACTTCCAAGTAAAACTGTGCGATATCAGAATCTTGGTATAGATCGGTCGCTATCTCAGTTTCTAGTTCTGATCCATCGTCATAATAATAATGCTGAAGTTATATTACATAGTTTTCTACATCTCTACAGTCTTACATTATCCGTTTTGTGATCTATTCCGGGCATCTGCATGCGGATTCTCATGATGCAGTCGTTGTTTCCAATTTTCACAGCTTTCAGCGAGTAAAAATCTTTACAGGACTCGTGATCCTAAGCGAAAGATTATTGTCTTTTCTACTAAGTAATATCTGGAACCTTCGTTCTGAATCTTGTCACCAAAAAAAGGTTGGATAGTTTTACTCCACTGAATTCGGGTTCAGAGAAAAACCGAGGAATCACAACGGATATGGCCGATTTGCCTCGAGTCCGAACTATTGGAGAAGGGAGTTTATGCTCATCTACGAATCATAGCTACAGTTTCTGTGTTCATTGTATACATTCTCACCCATTATTTTGCAAACAGTAACTACCTCCAAGCCTCTTTGGCTTTTCTTCGAGCATTTCGGATTAACCGATGGCATACAAGAACAAGTGCGATTACTTTGAGCTTGACAATAGCTAAAGAGAAATTTTATAAAGGAAAAAACATGATGTTAACCTCATCGACTTTTTTGAGCAGCTTGAACATTGGTCACATGGAACAATTAACGTTTCAGATGGAGAGGTAATGGGGCAAGACAGTATGATACAACCACCATCTACTTGTCTTAAACATATTATCAGTTTGAATACAACAGTTATAAAATACCTTATCGTATAGAAAAAGATTGTGAAGAGAATGGCAGACTTCATGACGTAAATGATATTTCCAACTTACAGTTAGTAATATGTAAAGAAACAGAAAATTGCTGTCACCAGACCAGTTCGCTAGGCGACCTCCTCTAATCGTTCTTTCATAAGAGACGACCATCGCTTCTTTCAGTCTGCCATAGTGTCAGAAAGGCCTCTGGAGAATACAAAAAAGTTTCTTTCTTGTGGCGTGTGTTAGTTGAAGCTTGATTGACATGTCAGAAAAGAAGAATCTTACGTCAACTCTTCTTTTTTCTTGAAATAAAAACAAAGCAATTTGTGAAACAGAAACTTTATTAAAGACGAAGTAAAGAAAATGACGTATAAATTGAGAAAAGTAGTCAAAACCTAACGAAAGCACCACTTCATCGAACCTTTTTCGTGTTACCGGTTTTCTCAGTTTCTTCTTCTGATGTCAATTCCTCGTCATCTACATCTACTTCTTCTTCTTCTTCTTCACTATGTTCATATTGAGAATCATATTCCACATCGCTGCCAACTTCCATGCTATGCTCTAAGGCAGAGAAAAGATCCAATAACCATGTTTCGAAATGCTCATGAAGCTCTGTAGTGTAATCTCCTGAAAAAACATCTCTTTCAGTTGTGTTCAGAATAGATAGCTCACCACTCGCTGTATCGAATAGCTCTAAAGGCATCATCTGTGTAGATCCTAGGATTTTCATCCGCTTTTGTAGAGTCTTGCCCGCCTGTAATAATTGGATGTCTATATGAAAAAATAATTCAAAGTACTTTGTTGAATAGCTTCTCCTTTTCGAGTGAGCTACCGAATGCTGCTACGCAAAATCGGATTGATTCAAAGTTTGAATTCTTCTTGAGTTTCTTATCCGCAGCCACGTCTTCAAGCCATTCTATAAACCACTGAGATTCATCTCCTGCTTGTCCATCCACAGTTTGAACCAAGAAAATACCGAGACCCTGAAAGTTAAAAGTTATTCAGAGTTACTATCTGTTTTCAACTTTGAATTTGGAGAAGTCACTAGCTTTCAGCGAAGAAACAGACCACATTTCGTATTCAACACCCGTATGATTTTGGAAACATTCTTCTAATTGTTTTTTCAATTCGTTAAGCTCACTATCTTCAGACAGTAAGGAAATGATAGCTATCTGAATTTGAGTTATAAAGAATCAAAATCTATCCAAGTAGAGATTTACTTTGTTTTTCGCTGTCCTTTCTTTTCGTTTCTCATCCATTTTTTTCTAAAAAAAAATCGGATGTAAGAGCTGAATAGAAGGCCTAGCTTACCTGAGCATACTTCAGATAAACTTTGTGAACTCGCTGATAAATGAAATATACCAAACCTGGAAGGATTACTCCCAGAAAAGCTGTTATGTAAAGTAGTAATTCATCCTAGAATAGCATATGAATACAAAGACTAGGAAATATGAGCTCACTTTCTCTAGCAGTTCTTCATACCATGTCTTAGCTGGAGCCGGTGCGGTACCTTTCGGAGGAGCAGGTCTGATGGGAGGATGAAATGACATTCCTAGAGAGTTAAGATAAAAGCATATTCAATTTTCTCCACAGAACAAACCCAATCACACCCATGCAATTCAGACAACCAATTCTGACAACACATCCGATGATACAACAAGCAAGAAATGTGAACGAGCACACACAGTCACAAAGGCTGACAATATTTAAAAATCACATATAAGCATGCATCATGTATCAAGTATTAAACGGGAGCAGAAACCGTTAGAAAGAAATATGAAAAATATAATAAATCTCTTATTTCATAAATCTTTAAATCTTCAACTAGAAAATAACATTGAGCAAATATGGTCTAGCACATTGGAACAAATCCAAGTCAGGGTCCAGAGACCGACCAAACCCTTCCAAAACCATCACAGAGAGTATAACAGTGGTAAATGATGCATCTAAAGCTACTTTATGTTCCGCTACTATTGAGAACATTTCCGACAGAACAGCAGAAATATTCAACTAAAGAAAGCATGAGTATGGTTTCAAAATGTTTCACTTACCGTGCGAAGAGAACGCTCACTCATGGCTCGGTCAACCAGAGCTTCAACTTGTTTACAGAACTTATCGGGATCAGTACAGTTTTGTTTGTGAGATCTGGTCAAAAGCATATGCCCCGCTTCATACCCCTGAAACCAGAAGAGTGAATGTGATTCTAATAAACAGTTTCTCACCTTTTTCTCTACAATAGCTCGGAAAAGGGTTTTCAAGTTCTGTAGCTTCTCTTCTGTCTCAGAAATAGCGATACCTAAAGAAACGTAGAGTAAAGTTAAAGATGAGTTACATACCTGTGTCCAACAAGACCAAAGTAGGCTCATCCTGCACATAAGGTGAATCTGTGAACTTAACTTTTGGCTTCGCTCGCCAATCAAGTAAGTTTCTGATGAAGTCTGAGCCTTGCTTGAAGATACTATCCGATGGAGGAGCTCTATGAACTCCTGGTAGATGTTCTTCATTATCGTTAAACCTCAAATGCCAATGGTATGCAAATCAAACACGTAATCAAACCGAATAAGTATATTTCCTGGATGTAAATCCCCATGAACAAAGTTATCAACAAAAATCATTTTCAGCAGAGCTCGGGCACCTAGTTGGGCTATTCGTCTGCGAACTGCTGGAGATTGCTTTGATTGTAGCTGAAATTAATGTTAAAAAGATGAACGGAAAATGAAATGGGAGCACCTCCGAATCGTTCTCTTCGGAAACTAAACGATTTATATACATTCCATTCTCGAACGTTTCAGCTAATAAGTTACTATTGTAGGCAATCACAACAGGGAAACGAATGCCCGTTTTACTGTGGTCGAAATTCGACGCGAATTTCTAAAAATCCAGAATAAGAAACTGTAAAAGAATAAGTATCATACTATCAAAGCTCGTGCTTCATTCCTAAGATCAACTTGTTTTCTCAGCACCGTTTCGAACTGTTGAAGAGCTCCAACAGGATCAATGTATTCTAACGAAGGCATCAACTGAATGAAAATTTTGATATAGGGATCTTAAGAACGACTCACAATTTGGCAGGTTTTGGCGAGAAATTTCAATATTGATAAATCCAATTCAATCAGAGAGCCAGTGTTTTCATCAGCAACCTGGAGAGAGCCTTATTGCTCAAGGAATGAAACCGGAACTTACTTTTATAGCTATGTCAATAATCTTCTTATCCTTAAGCTCAGGAAATGATTTACCCGTACATTTAGCCAACTCTTCTAGATCTATAGAAGCTTTGTAAACCTTAAAGCATCATGTTTCACTCATACATAAACTAATGGCTTACTTGAGCTATGCAGCCCGATCCAACTGAATAAGGTTCAACATGTTTTATCACATCTTTGCTATGTTTAGCATAAAATCCTTTCCCGAACAAGCTATCAAAAACATCCTTGCGCTCTTTGAAGTAACGCTTCTTCTTGGACTTTGTGTGTAACACAGAAAGCTGTAAAGTTATAATTGATAGAGAGCAAAATGAGTGATCATACTCGATCACAGAATTCTTTACTGAATATATCTCTACGAGTACTTGCCCATTGACCAAGCTTCAGGAAAGTGGGTCCACTAGTCTAAAAGAAGGTGAACTCTTACATTACCATCATCAAACCAGAACATACTTGGAGAACAAAAAGTAGAAATGACCACCATAGTTTATCAAATCCAGGCACATAGACGGCAAAAGGGTAACTAACAAGTAATGGAGTGTATAACACAAAGAAAGAAAAACATCTATAATACAGCCCCTTGTTTAAACGAGTAAGATAAATTTAACCGTTACCGCAATGCGATTCGAATGGCACGAATAATAAAATGAAATGTTTGGATGGGAGCAACAGCAAGTAGTTCTACTACACTCTTAGGATGTGAGATTGTTGGAACCTTAAAATCTCTTGTGAATCTTCAAAAGGAATACAAACTTACGGAAGGAACAAGGAGCCAAGGGTTATCATTCTGGCAATGAAACCGTTTTGTATTGAGTAGGGCATACGTTGCTGAGCCAAATGTTGTAATTACTAGAGCTTTTCTACAAAATAAGAGTACAATTACTCATATAAATTAAATACCTTGTACGTATGATATTCGTAGGATTGGCTTTGATGAAAATATTTCTAAGAGCGTTTGAAGTACTAAGAAATCTAGTTGCTAACATTACCAATCCATCAACTATAGGCTAAATAGATTTTTCAAATCATTATAATCGATTTAAGCACATTCATGAAGCATACAAATAATCCATTTTGCATAAAATTTATGGAAGTGAAAGCGAACAACTAATGCTCCACTAGGTTTCAGGGTCAGTTATTGACTGGTAAAGCTTGTTAGCATAAGATGAGCGGTAGAGTTAGAGCGCGGAACAGATGGGAGAACGGATGTCCCTCGGGCTGTGTCAAACGATTAGGAAAGCCACAACTGAACGCTACAAGAAACACTTCAGAATTTATAAATCGATTCGAGAACATGTGAGATGTTGTATTTTCTTCGTTAAATTTGGAAAAACATAAATGCTTTGTGGGAAAATGGCATAGTGAAGATGAAATAATTCGAATAATTCACCACTTAAAGCTGCTTACTATAAAATCTATAAGCTACTGCTTTCTATTTGTTACAAAAACAGGAATTTCAAAAAAACATTGCATCGAATAGTCACAACAGAAATACCATTACTATTCAAACTCCATTGATTAGTTTGAATGATTCGTCAAACCCTTGTTGTAAGATTTCAAACGCTGCTTGGATTATGCTAATGTTCATTGATTATGAATACGTGAAATAGCACTGAGCATACGTGACATTGGGTGCTCGCGATCTTAAAAAATCATTTTGAAATGGATGTTCATGGGAGGCGGTTGTAAATTTTCTCATCCTACGCATATTAATAATAATAATTGTATTTCTTTATATGGGAACTGGCCAAGCAACATATTTCAAATTTAGCCGAAGAATATCAAGATCTTCACATATCAACACGGGGCGGTCTTGAGGACAGGTATATTTCATTTTCATTCCAATCCAAATGTCGCCATTTACGGATTACGACCTAGTACATTATTCTATCAGCAATTAGGTGTATCTATTTAATCTCAGTAGGTCCAAATATAGTCTCATTAGTAATACGTTTGAATTCTTTTTCCAATATAGTTACTCTCGATAATGTCGACCATTCGCCGTTCATAACTTCTTTGATCATTTGATCTGCGCATTTTGGCAAGTATCATAATTTTTTGTTTGAATTGAGGATGGACCGGTATGCATTTCAAATCCATTTCCCGAATTTCATTTGTTTCCTGGTAGCTTGTAGAGCTACATGAATAGCATAAATAGTGAAAGGAAGAGTCCGGTTCGTTCAACTGACCGCAAATATTGTAGATGTGATGTGCAATGAGAGAATGTTGACTAGGTTGAGGCACAAAGAGTTTCGAATGATAGAGAGGAGACAAGTTGAGATTGAGAGAAAAGAGAACATCTACTACGTTAGTCTCTCGAATTTTTCTCTGATCCTCTTCGTTTCCTATCATCATTAGCATTATACCGTTCGCTCTAGATCGTAACCGAACAGTACCCTTTAGGAAGAAAGAAGAGATGAGGACATAAGCAGAGCACAATAACACAATGCTTCATCTCTTCTTCTCTTGTTATCCTATTTCGATGCCTCTCTGTCTCTCTCTGACTTCATCTTCTCTTATTTTTTCTTTCGGTTTATGTTATGCCGGTCACTCAGAATAGTCATACTGGTTATCTTTTTCTTTCATTTCCGCCTCCTTTCATTTTGGTCGCCTAGCTCTTTATGTCTTTCATTCGTATTTTGTCATAACTTTCTTTCATAATGTAGATGTTTTCTTTTTTCCTCATTCATTCAGTCCAGTTTTGATTTAATGATTTAGTTAAAGCAGCGAGGAACTAATTATTTGCTTTATTTTAGCAAGTCACTCTTCTCTCCCTGCCCATGCACAGCTTGAGTTTTAAACGATTGTAATGGTCTTATGTGATCAGTTATAACATAGCTGAATAATCCTTTCTTTATGAGGCCAGTACTGCAAAGCATTTATCCTTTGTTAGACAATATAATCCATCTGTAACTCTGTTGTAACCTTTTCTGGCCTTAATACCTACAGAAGTTTTATATACGCAAAGATGGATGAGGATACTAACACATGCATCTGTCGATTGATGATAATTATTAAATCAATACCATCTTATTAGGTCATAGTTATATCTGTAAAGGTGGTTTTACTAATATCTTGAATGTGATTTGTTTGTTTACCACCTTTTTTTCACCTTTTACAATCTTATAGTTCATAACATTTATATAGAAGACACACACTGTTTGACTCATTTTATCAGTTATTCTGCCAAACATGCAGTGTCGTTTATCATTTTGTAATGTATTTTTATCGAACAAACTGTATTCGATCGTCATTTTAGTAATTCTATAAAGCTATGTTCTCCAATAATTTTTTGAATTGTGAATCGACATTTTTTTTTTTTAGATGTCATCGGCCAGCATTGACTTTGACACTGACACTCTTCTATCAGCTAAATATAATCGGGCTGCCAGTCAGAAATTCTACAACCAGTTAATGACCACTTCATCGGTAAGCTTCTTTTCACGAATTACTTGTTCATCCATGTACTTGTCTTTATATTCAACTATATATGTAATTACTCACATAGCCTTCCTTGGGGATTGTCTGGTTTTCTTTTTTTCGAACACAGTTTTGCAAGAAAAAGAACTGCAAGACGGTTATAGTTCAGTAGACATAAGTCATGCATAAGATGCATGAAGATTGACCTCTATAAGAAGTTTATACATACCCAAAAATTCTTTCTCATATCAATATTTGCCATCGATTATAATCATCTTCTCATCCTCATGAGCCATCACCTTTACTAAGGTTGTTGATAAGTCGAAGTGTTCAAGGTATTTGCGGGTTAGCCTCTCTAGACAAGTTGCAAGTAAAGAGAGTTTGATAATATTGCTTTTTTATATTAAAATTTCAATTAAATTCGATGACATTAGTCTTACAAACGTATCTTTATGAGCATGTGAAGGTCATCACTCTCATGGCGCTTAAGTCCTTTGGTCTTCAATATATTTGCAATATGTTCATGGTTGATGTAAGATCTCAACCATTTTTTTTCTGTTCAAGAGAAAAAATGATTGGAAATGAAGAAATTTTTTTTTTGATTATGATTGATACATTTGTAATTCGCACCTACGCACATATCCTTCGGAAGGTCAGAATAGCCAATATCAATCAGATTGAAACTAATATTTTAACTTTTCTCACCTACATATTCGAGATGAAATTAATAAGAGAAGGCAAAGAAAAGAATTTTGTGAAAGAAAGATTAATGTGAATATGTGAAAAGTTGCCGAGAGAAATGGGCGATGTGAGAATAATACCATCTTCGATATGTAAAACTTGCCTCTTCTTTGGTTAGTAGAGATGAAGAGTGCAATTAAGTTTTCTCTTCTTCTTGCTACCTCCTAGTTCAATATATTACCTTTTGTCTCTCTAACTGTCTCTCATTGACTCTTTTCATTTTTCTTCGCATTTGATCTTCGTAATGTATGTATGTATGTCTCTATGGAATGTTGTTCATGGCCATCTATCCATCCAGCCACAAACAATCGCCACCTGTCTATCTGTACTCTCTTGTAAACCTTTTCTCTCATTCATTTTCCCTCTCTGTTTAGGTGACACCCTTTATCCCTCCCCATATACACTTTTCTCTTCCATATGCCGTTCTCTTAATTACGTTCAATGTCCAGCTACTGACCTTATTTGACTTACCTCCAGTCTTAGGACAATGTGAGCAGCTTTACAGATTCTCACCGAACAAATGTCTTCTTAAAAAGCTTTTTATCCTCACAACGCAATGTTATTTTAAATTTTTTTCTCTTTTCGGCTTAGCCTTCTGTCCTCTCATCGTCGTTTCATCCCTCTTTTTTCATTTTCGCCCACGTTTTCTTTGTACAGTCTTGTCACAGAATCATGTATTCTATGAAAATGCTGAAAGAATATTGTTTTCTCATTATTTAGCTTAAAGTTCAGCATAGATGGAACTGTCCGATCGGTTGCTCACACCATCTATCTGGAATTTCCTGTTGCGCAGTCAAAGAATATGAAATACGAATTGACACACGAAGCCAGATTGTTTTTTTTTAAAGCCTCCAGAAACTTCCTTCCATAATATTTCGATATCTTTCCCCTTTCCATCAGAATTGATAGTAAACGATGGTCTTGTGCAATAATCTCCTTGCCTCATAGTTATGACGAAAGTGCGAAATAGTAATCCCCTTCGGAACATCTGATGTCCCATCTGTTCTTAAATCTACCTAAAATACCTTCTAAAATTCTTTGTTCTCTACCTATTATTAATTGTCTTCTGTGAATCAAGACACCCATTAATATATTGGAGCAATATCGATTGAATTGGCCTTAGATAGTGTATACATGACTGCGTCGGGCTGCTGACTGTTGTCCTCTTCCGTTCAAAGGAAATGATGAGTCACAAAACTAGGAGGCCTTCTTCTTCATCATCGTCGTCTGTCTCGTTTACATTTCTTTTTCATTCTTTCTCTTCCTCTTATTTTTTCTTCAAACTTTTCGAAAACATTATGAACTATCTCATTGAATGGTTTGTGTTGCTCAACCGAAGTTGTCTTCAGCATATTCTCTCTGTTTATGATATCATGATTTATCAATTATACTTTGCAAGTTTCAACTCAGAAATTCAAATTTTGCTTCTCTTCTAATTAACAGAATGATATACAAGATAAGAGTTATACAGTTTTTACCTCTCCTTTTATGTATACGCTTTCTTTATAATCAATTTACATAGCCAAAACGTTAAGTTGTGCCAAGCCATCAGCAGGTTATCATTCTACAACTGCCCTTTTAGCTATTCATCTTCTTCAAGTTTTCTTCTCGTTTTTTCCCTTTTCTTTGTCTGTGTTTGAGTGTAGATTGCAACGAAAATTTTCATTTTTATGAATGAATGGAATGTTAAGCACTTGTTTTGGTGACTAACGTCTTCAAAGCCTTGTTATGAAGTTGCAAATCTACTAATTTCTATTTCCTCTTATAGTTTGTTTATTACTCTACATAACAACTATTTTTTTCAGACATTCCGACCGCAGTTCTCTTCAGAACTGCCCGTTATGCTTCATCGCAGTCCATCCGGAGCGAAGCGAAAAATCCGTCAACGACGAGACGAAAAGTTAGTTGTCTGAAAGTCTTAGAGAGCAAACAATTCAAAGAACTTCTATATTCGATACTGCTCACTTTCTCTTCCCTTTGTATCATTGCGATTTCAGTGGCTCAGTTCATCGACCGTTCATCAACCCATCGTCTTCGAACTCATCACCTTCGGAGTCTTTGAACTCATCAAATACTTCCTGCATGCAGTCCGAAGATTCAACATACAGATCTCTTATAGATTCCGGATCATATCAATCTATACTGCCTGATATCCAACCACCTCAACCCAGGTGAGACTGTTTTTATTTTGTTTATTGTTATCAATCAGTGAAGGGCATATGGTGGGCATAATTTTTTATGGCCGTTACTGTTTGATAAAACCAAAATATTGGAATCATTCGTGTACATTCCTTCCATATGAGTTACAAAACCTTCCTTCTCCTTATGACTTCCAAACAAACATTATTTTTTTCTTCTCCTTTCAGATTACGAACGTCCATATCATCATCTATGAGTTCTTTGGAAATGTCCTGCTCATCTTCATCCACGTTGTCAAATTCTTCTACTCAGTGTCATTCAAAGCCTACGGTTCAAGTAAGTTTCATGATTTTCCTCTCAGTGATAATTCATTTTTTTATTTGTTCATGATCTTATCAATGGATTAAATAATCGATTGAGTCTAAAATGCTCTTTTACCACTTTTCTGGCACTTTATCAGAAAAGGAAAATCATAATGACATTCTATGTTGTAAAACAGCTAGCACTTATTTGTATCTCTGTTTTCAAGCCATTGTGCTTTCAGGTTCATCCAATGCCAATGGAAGAGCGTTCCTTATCGAAAGAGGAGCTACCACCAGCTCGTAAAGAGAAACCTTTGGTGCCAGCAAAGCCTAAAGGTCTTCTTGTCGATCATTTAAATCGGTATTTCAACTTGAAACATTGTTTGCTTATTCTTGTTTTTAAGCTCAACATCATTATCATCTCTATCATCATATCCAAATACGTCGTCTTCAGCATTTTTATCTAATTTAATCGGATCTCCATCACTCATTTCCCTACAGGAAGCTTATGAGAAAACATCCCAAGAAAATAGCCATGAATTTTTGAAATTAGAAGAACGTAGACAAGAGGTACTAATCTACTTTTATTTTATTTAAACTTTTTTTTATCTTTTTCAGTCAATATCTCAGGTATCTCGTAGGATTACAACCTTCAGAGAAACCAAAGAGGAAATCGAAGAGGAACAAGAAGTAAACGAACAGCTGGGCAAACGCATTCTAGGCATCATTGAACGCAAAGACCCCATCTTAGCTAACAAGGTAAATTTTATTTGTTGCATTCCCTGACATTTGTATACTTCAATGATTCCCATTTTTCTAGTTACGACGCCATTTGGAAAACAATACAGAACTGGTGCGAATGGAAACAAAATTAGCATATCAGATGGAGAAGGTCGTCAACCATCTGCGTACGGCAACATCTGATCAGGTAAATCTTTTTTCTTATTATCGCTAGTACTGCCTCCAGATCTCTTTTCATACTCATTCTCTAAATCTCCTGTTTTAACCTGAATTTTATTGTAGAGTGATGCGCTGTTGGAGGAAACCCATCTGCGACGTCGCCTGAAGGACGCTAATGTTTTACGTAACATCTACGATCGTCGGGAACGTGATTTAGATTGCTTATTGGTATGTGAAAATAACATTTCGGACATTCCTTAATGTTTCTCTTATATAAAATGAAATTAATTTTGCGTTTACAGCTTCGGGTATTGACTGATGATGAATACAGAATGTGGGATTGTTACAAAGATAAATTGACGAATATCATAAGAGATGCCAAAGATGTGAGTTATTTGTTTGGTCTAAACATATGGAGCGAAGAGCACACAACCGCTTAAGCGTACAAGTTTTTGAAAATGGAAACTAGAGAGACAGCTCAATGCTTCCGTCAATTCAAGAATTATTCTAATGAGCTGACAACATGAATTTCAGATTGATGATCGCTTGGTTGATTCTAAGAATCACTTGAATATTTTGAACTCAGCTCGGTCCAGTTGATTCGAAGATCAAAATTAATTATATATTACCTTGTCTCGGTCTGGGATTTTCAAACATATCAGGATTAGTCTCATCGCGACGAAAAGCCCTTTTGTTCTCACTTGCGTACATCCCATCCTTGCTTTCTTGAATCTTCGTTTCTGTTCTTAGAATCGAACAATATGTATATAACTGACGAGCATCCTTCATATTTTTCATTCAGAGACATTCGGTGAAAAACAGATGTATAATAATTTTTAAATAATTTAATAAACTTTATGGCTTGTTGGAAAGTGAAATGAGTTATCACAAGCTACACATATACAAAGGAATACAATTTAAGCAACGATAAGTTAATTAGAAAGCCACATAACTATATAAGCGAAGCGAAATTGAAGCATTCCAAAAAAAGTAAGTTCAAAAAATCTTAACCCGTTTTTTAAATCAGTTTCTTCTATTGATTGCGTTTTGCACAATCCAAACATATTCTTTCACTCTCGTCCGACGTCATATCAACACATCTGCGACAGAAAATCTGAAAATTGGGTCTTTAGAACATATTCTTTACTCATTCATACTTTTCCGCAATTATGACAATGGATTTTTCTTTCAACATTGGATGAGAACTCGGCCATACAGCGCTTAGAACTGCAGTTGTAGACTTCATTCAAACGCTGCCAACGAATTACTCTTCGTCCCAAATGATCATCCTGTGATTCGTAATTAGATTGATAAATTCTTTTTCACTTACAACTAATTCGAGTTCCGATTCTGCCACACTTTCTTTTGAGGATGGACTTTCAAGTACTAATTTGTCGTCCACTCCCTCTGTGCTGCTTAAACCACTATCAATCATTGAAGCACTCAATCCTCGGAGCTCAGCAATCTTCTGAAAAAGGCTGACATGCATGATGTTGTTGAAAAGACTCTCATACCATCCGCATGGCGGCAATATGGCTTTCTAAGACACCGACATGTTCCATAGAATTCATCAGACTATCATACATATTCTCCCGTGGGTGTGCAGCCAAATCGAAACGATTATAGAGAGAACTCCAGACAGAGAAATTGGAGGATCTTGTGTCGAGATCCAATATTTCATTAAAAGCGAAAGGCTGCAAATAATTACTTTAGTTCGGAAACGAACAAAGGAAGAAGTACTTCATAAAAGGGATTCAAGAAATCATCCTGACGAGTATCCAGCTCGGTCCATAGAGAGTTCGTTCTCTTAGATAGCGAGAGGTCCTTAAGTACGAAAGATAATGATTCAACAGTCTTCTTCATCATACCTTTCGGTCACTCTCACAATTCCCCAAGAACGTTCCATATTGACAGGAATAGACATGTTCGTGAATCACAATCAAGTATCTTTCGTTATACTGAAGCAAGTATTTGACAATAAGAACAGAAGCACAGGATTACTTGAAAAGCTCGGGGTTGTTGGGTCATCACTTGATAGACACAATCCAAAAACTGAGTGAATACCGGTGAAATTTCTTTGGGAGCTTCGTCATTCAAAGCTCCTACATGACCACAACGATCATCAAACTTATGTCCGAAAGCTAGCCAATCTTTTTCTATTAAAACCTTGAAAACACACAAAATATTCAAAACATCTATTCTTGAATACCTGTAAACCATGAATCGTACGGAAGAAAGGATCAAGTAGAATTTGAGCAATTGCAACAGTTTGAGCAGTTCGGTCCCAACCGTCAGAACAATGAACAACACAAGAAATTCCTTGAGAAATACTATACAAAGAGATTATTATGATTGATTACCTTTATGTAATGATTGAGCAATGAAGAGAGAACATTCAACTATGGCTTTAAGATGTTTAAGCCATCCAGATGACTCGATTCCTTTCAAATACTCTGTTATGGTTCTTCCCGATGAGCAAGCTGAAAGATACTACTTATACAGCGAAAAAGGGTTCTTGAGCAGACCGTCAAGAAGCTTCTGTTGACTATTTCTCATTACATGTATGTTCTCAATATCAAATGACTTAAACTGCATGTTGTTATAATTACGAACATCCTCGTATCCTTTTCCTTGAACTTTATTCACAAACGAATTCATCTGAAACATCGTTTTGTTATTTTAACAAGCTCTATTCATAGTTTCGTCACCAGTGGTCGAGTATCCACCAAACAGATATTGTTATTGGTTGAATTGGCTTGCCCAATAAGTTCCATTAACTTTTCATCTTCCACACAACGAGCGGAAAAGCCTGCCAATGGTTGAGCACATCTCCATCAGAACCAATTAAAATGCATCAAAGTATAAAACGGGAACCTGCATAAAGCTGCTGAGGAGGGCTTATAAAAGAATGTGAGAACAGGCAATCTTCCGCGGGATCGGAATTTGCTTGAACCTTCCAAGATGTTCTTCGTAGCATTAGTAGGAACCCATAATCTATTAGGGTATGTATCACAAATCTGAAGCAACCAAAATATACAAGTTCATATGGGATGCATGTTTACAGCATAGTTTTGGTTTATATCAGTCTCCTGCCATTCAGATGAGACTCCTTGTCTGGAGAACTCAATACTGAACTCCAGTCGATTCCATCCTCCACTGTTCGTCTGAGGATTTCTGATGTCGAAAGCAGGCAAGTCTTTGACATTAACTGAATTTCCTTACTTAGTGGGAGACTAAAAAGTCGAACATACCAACTTCTCCTATTTTCCTCAGAGTTTCGTAAAGGTCTTGGCATGTTTTATCTCTTGGGACAAGTAGACTTATAACCTGTGAAAAAGGAATAATGAATAACTTTCAAGACATTTCATACTCTGAAGTGTTTGCAACGGATTGTTAATGCACAACCATTTGCAGAAATAGAACCTCTCTCTATTACACCAATCAATCCAGTGGATATCTATAACACGACAAAGTTCATAAGTTGAAAACAGTCGAATAACAAACCCAAATCTCGCGTGAGCCATCATCGGAACGGAAAATAATATGGGAAGGAGTTATATGAAGTGACCCAGTAGTAGTCGTTTCATTGCTTAAGAGATCAACCAACTGGACTTTATCCACCTAAACGTAAATAAGTTCAACACGTAATAGAGCTGAAATCGTTTATTATTTTACCTTCTTCGTCATTATGCTAATTATTTACGAATAACTATAAGTATCGCTTGTTACAAGGGCATGTTTTAGAATTGTCGTCATGCACATGTAGTGAGCAGCTAGACTTTTCGGAATATATTTAAAACTAAGAAAAATAACTATTTTTTCTTAAAATAAACTACAGGCCTGACGACAACTGACTCAAAATGTCTACAAGCTCAATAAGAAAGTAGCCAATACGTTGAACATTCCCCCCCCCCCCTTATTCGCCCCAGCCACTCCAAAATCGATAGAGCCCAGTTTTAATAAAAGAATCGAATAAGGTTTGAAGCTTCTTTTACACTTACATTAGGAATTGTAATATCCTCGAACCGCATCTAAAAGATTCCGTGTTCCAAGGTTCAATTTATATTCTAGGGTAATGCGATTATTCTGAAATGTATAAATAAGAAATCAAAATTATAATTAAAAAGACTAGCAGTGCTAGCGTGCTTCAATTTATTTTTTGTGTGAACTTTCTTCATTTCCCTTTATCACTACTCTCGTGTTCAAAACTACAAGGATGTTATTCAAACTGTTTATTTGGTTTCGAATTATCGCAACTATTCGTTGATAACGTATCAATTTCCAAATAGATTTCTGATTGTTAAACCGTTAGAGCAGTTTCGAGCTGAACGAAACTTTAACAATGAGAACCTTTTCAAAATTTTACAACTACACTTAGGTCACAGGCCTTTTATTACAAAAACAAATTGATTTCCAAATATATGTCTATGTGTATGTGTGCGAATAATGCTCAAATCAAATTTCAAACATAGCATATGTTCAATTAAATATTAACTATAAGACATATTCAAAGAAAAATGTTGTTTCCAAGGACGGTAAGCATTCAAAAACGTCAAATAAAACTACTTTCTCCGTATAAATAGATTTAATATCTCTTTTCACGTAAATTTACACAAAGCAACGAACTTTTAATATATGAAAATAACAAAATGCAAAAATGAACACAGCTTACCGGTTATAACGATAAACAGAAAGAGAATGCAACCGCTCGTGCCTAATCAATTTACAGCAAATGACAAATCCTAAAGGTTTTCAGCTCAATATGCTAATTTTCTCATCAAAATTTTTATGTGAATTGTGCGAATCTAAAATTTGAATACGAATATAAGTAAGTACGTTTCTAAGTAGGATTCTTAGAATTACATATAGTTTGCTCCGAATAATCGATTGTAAGAACTTTTTTTTTGAATTTTTCAAGACGACATTGTCTTCTCATCTCAGCTCTCATGTTGTATTTGAGCATAAAAGTTATTCAATCAATACAATATGCCGTATATGGGCAATACATAAATATATATATGAAGATGTATATCTATCTATCTATATATATATATGTATATAGAATATGGAGACGACTGTTCATTTTTTCAGTCTTCATCCTCCACTTTCTTTTGTTTTGTTTTCAAAATCTAAATGCCAGTTTGTATGAATAATCACCTTTCACTAATATTACGTTCATAAAAAAAGTCATTTCAGTTAGTTTTTTTGAAAATTTGAAAGCTTTTTTCTCTTTTGAAAGTTATTGAGAAAACCTTTGCCAATAAGTTTTCTTGGACATCGAACAGATGGAGCTTTTTATTAAATTCTATCGATGCAGATGTTACCGTTTTATCCCTTCGTTTATATACTATTCCAAGGAGATTGATATAAGCATAATTGAACTCACAATTCATGATTTCATTAGTTTTTCAATATCATTCTTCCGACACTCTCTTTCTTCGTCTGTCAGTCTCTCGCTTCATGAAAGTCTATCTTATAGCAGGGATGAGCAGGACAACACCAATACATTTACTTTTTTTGTCCTTCTCATTTAAAAACAATGTCTAGATGCGGAATTTGGACTTTTCTAGTAGTCATCTCCTTAATTAGCATAATTAGAAACTTGAAGGATAGACAGTTTTGAAGGTTACATATGGTTAGGTGAGGATGGTTAATCCAGTAACAAGAAGTTCCACTCAAACATCTGCTTCTTTACATGTAATTTACGAATTTTGAAATATTTTGGAGTGAATAATGTGTGTGAGAAAGTTTGAGAAGAAGCTGAAAACAAAAAAAGTTTTAAACTTAAATTCTGATAAATTGAATTAGAAGCCCATCTTAGTGAAATTTTCATCAAAAGAAAGTACCGTCAGTTGGCAGATTGATGATGATTCACTTAATCGTTTGCCCAAAATCTGCGGTTCGTTTGAATTTCTCATTCTCTCATCTTACATCTTTACACATGATGTCCTCTTTTCCTTATTTGCTATTCTTTCCTTCGTTTGTCAGGTGCTCTTCACACTTGTCGTTTGACATATATGATTAAATGATTAAACGCTGAACATTTTGTTTGCCTTTTGAGAAGTGTGTTTTTGATTCTTTTCAGTTCCTAAATAAGGATATGCTTAAACTACTTTCTAGAGACTTTGCTTTATTATGCAGTTGAATAGCCTTTCTCCTAGTGTTCTGTGCAAGACGTTGTTGAGTCTTAGAGATTCTAACACAATTACTCGACTACAGAAAATAGTTTGCTGTCTCGATATTATACTTTCTCAGCTTTTTTTTCTCAAAAAAGGCTATTCTCGTTCTCTTCACATTTATAGCGTCCGTTCATGAAACTGTACGTGAGAGTTTTGTGCAGGCTGCACGCTCTGTAGTACGCCCGCCCACAGTCTACGACTGTGTTTTTCTTTAATCCGATGAATATTTTTTTTAGTTTTTAAGTGCTCCCTCTTCCTTCCATTTATTTTCGTTTTGTTTTTCGTATTATTAGATACAGTGACCGACCCGATCGGCGGCGTTAAATTGGATTTTTTGATTCTATAAAAAAGGTGAATTGGATTCGATTTTCTGGCAAATCGCTCACAAGGTCTTTTACTGCATGTCATCTCCTTTTTGCCTGTTTTCTCCTGTAATCTTTACTTTTCTTGTGTTGATGACAGACTGATTTGATTTGGGGTAAACTGCAGATGTTCTGTCTCGACGCTATAGTCGCTAGGGTGTCATCTAACAAAGACTTTATATCATTGAGTTGAAATGAACTTGATGACATCCTTTGTTGGCCAATGAAACCTGGTTATATTTTGCCATATATCATAGTGGGCGACGCAGCGTGGGAACAGGTCAGATTCCATTTTGGGTGATCAGTCCTCTCATCCTCTTCTCTCTCTTTTACTCTTTCGCTTTTCTCGCTCTATCCCTATCCTTCTCTCTCGATGATACAGCTGAATGCTCATGTTTCTTCCTCTCTTCAAGCCTCTCCAGTCAGATTTGTTGTAACTGACAGCTTGATACGAAAACTAATTAAGTCAACAACTTTTTTTTCTTATAAGGCAGTGTCTATGAAGATGGATCCTGCTGCGATTTGTTCTCCTCGATTTGCCTTCTGGTGCGCCTTAAACCGAACAAAAAGAGCTTAACAAAAGTTTCTTTCTTTGGAGATGCTCCGGAATTCCGTTTGCCTTATAGTGTCAATCTGCATATGGCAAGTCGGCTCACGCTCTGTCATCTGACGAAACATTTCTCAATGACGACGGCAGAGGTCAAACGCTTAAGTCCAATGCATCAAGCTATTTCCAAATGTATTCAAAATTCATTGCCGATTTTGTGTCTATGAAGATGACATAGAAAAAGTTGTCGGATGTGATTTTTTGTCTATGAAGAATGAAGTGCAACTTGAAAGTCAAATGGTTCGTATTGTATGAGAAAGCCTTAATCTGGGTAAGCATTCAAGCGAATATATGAGTAATGAATCGCTACAGCCTTTGTCCAATCTAGCGCAAAGGTCCTGCGTCCATTTCTCTTTATCCGTTTCTGCTAAACCTCTCTCTTTCAATTCCTTCCTCTAACTACACACCAAGCTCTCCCCTGGCTACTTCACCTCCGTAGGAGCTATTGTGCTTTTCAAAAGAAAGCTCCTGTTAATCGCTCTTCTATCTTCACAGGAATGAGCGTCGTTCTGAGTGTTTTTTATGTAATCTTTATAACGAAAGCGCAGTCGTTTTTGTGTTTTATTGCATACTTGGATTCACACATTGACATTTAAAATGGCTCACTTGGCGCCCTCAGTCAACCTTTTAAACATTAAACTGTGATGACCATTGTACCATTGACATCTTCATTTCATCATTTCCGTTCACAACGTCTTTCAACGTCAACAACAACAAGACCCTCTACTTATCCAGTTAATAGATCTAATCAACAAGAATATGCGAAGTTCCTTCTCGTCCCTCTCCGATTTCCAGAAATTCTTCAGCTGCTGCATAACCCATAGCCAATTTGGCGACGTTGCATCTCCGCTGGCGCCGCTTCTGGCGTACGACTGGATCCAACAAAGTAATCCTAATTAAGTATCTGAGTAAAGAGGGAAACAAGTTCTGGAGCACTTCTACATTTGAATGTAACAAAGTCTGGTAGCTATGATGGCACAGTTTTTGAATGAATTACGCTGTAAAGTATGCTCCAGCTACAATTGCGGGAAAATGGAGCATGTTCATTTAAGTATGCAAGCGTCTTTTCATTGACTTCTGATCTTTTGCTCATTCCTCTCCACTTCATGTTGTTGTCATCTTTTTGCGCTTCAAACGAAAGTTTTAACCGTATCATGTGGGTTTGTACTTGTTCCACCAGCCATATGGCTCATAGTTTATCCCCATGTCGCCCAGGGTTTGCCATTTATGGTGAGCAGCCGATTGACCACGCCCCCTTCTGCATGTGAGGTCAGTGCAGCGTTGCTGACCAGAGGTCTTGGAATGCGCTGATCCATACGTCTATCCATGGTACTTAAGCATGAAAACGCAAGTCCTACAACTATCTTTTGAAGCTTATTTCATTTCCTTTTTTGTTGAGAAGTGGTTGGTCGGTTGTCAGCACCATTGAATCATTTTTCATTTTAACGATTTTTCTTCAGTTAATTCATTATTTCGACCGATAATTCTTATTTATTTGTTTGTTTTTGGCTTTTTTGTGTTCTCTCTTATTCAGTTCTGTTTATTTTCAGGAAATTGACATGATACTCTGGAAATGAGGAGTGTTACATTTCCTTTGTTTGTTTTTTTATTATTTCTGTGTAAAAGCTTGACCGCAAGACCAAATGAAATCCTTTTCTCGTTCACAGCACCTGTGTATAACATTTCTTTAGAAGAAAATGTTAGGTTCGTTTCTTTACTCGTTTGTAATCGAATTATTTTTTTCTTCTTCAGAGGAAACCAATTTGCTTCATGTGATGATACTGTTAAAATGGGAGTACCACTCCCTCATTCCAACTCAGTTGTGAAATTTAAGATTGTAGAGGTAGGTAGAATCTGTTCCTTTGATTGAAAAATGTTTCTCTAGGGTGATAAAAATCATCAATTCAAAGCTTTTTCTAAACAAGTAGGAGATTTTGTGTTTTTACGCATTCGACAGAAGGATACCACTACTCTAAACAGGGAGCTAAAGGTGAAACTTTTCAACATTTCAATCTATCATACTCATCATGCTTTTAGGATTTATATCAGCTGGTCGTCAAAGCTACTAGTAAACAATTGAGCAGCGGTAATGTTGAAACAACTGCTACGGTACGCTTGAGAGTGCTGGATCGTAATGATGCTAGCCCAATGTTTACTTTACTTTCCGATCGGTATGAGCAGACCATAACTGATGACGTATGTGCTTTTAATGCTTTTTTATTGGTAAACATTGGCTTTTTCAGATCCCACCTTTCTCGGAAGTGCTTAAGGTTGAGGCATTAGATGCTGATATTGGAATCAATGGAGAAATCTATTATTCTCTGGTTAATCGTTCGTCAGAATTCACAGTTGATCCTATCACGGGTAGGACACAAAGTTTATAAAGTCTCATGGGACTCTCTTTTTAAGGCTGGGTGAGGTCTCTCAAAGTTCTTCAAGCTGGAGTTTACTCTTTCCAAGTTCAAGCAGAAGATAGAGCATCTCGTTTAAACCATTACGATGATGATGATCAAAAACAGCAAACTCATAAGCCTGATGTTCAGGTTTGTGAACAGTAATCTTCATTGCTTGAATCTCCAATTCTTCAGATCACGGTGACAGAGAAGAAAAAATCTAATCCCAAATTACTAATAGAAAAACGAACAGTTTATGCTCATAAAACCAACATCGAACAGGTTAGTTGCTTGTTTCTTCCCGATTTTTTTCATAATTTCTTCATTATTATTCATCGTTTCAAGTTTGAAACTGGCTATATACTTAAAAAATGTGCTAATGCTTTATTTTCTCTGACATGTTGACCGTTTGTGTTTACTTTCAAATGTTCTAGATCGCCGGATTCATTCGTGTAGAGGGTGGAACAAATAACTCCTTAGTAACATTAGTAGATGATGACTTGAGACATTGGTTTCATGTGAATCGCACTGACAGTGTGTGGACCTTATATACGGTTATTCATTAGTTATTATTTCCCTAACTTAACTCTGTTCAGAACCGTGATCATGCAATTAGTGAAGGAATTAATGTTACCTTAAGTGTAGGCAATGGTTTATCTCAAGAAGGAAACACCACTGCAACGATCAAAGTAACTGAATTCTTAGACAAATAATGAAACAATTCATCTCCATTTTAGATTGATGTTGCTCGTCAGTTTGACATATCATTCCGTGACTCCAAACTCTTGTTTGAGATTGATGAGGATGTGCCGAAGAACTTTGTTTTAGGAAATATTCATGTTAACACGCTGTCAGAAAGTGATCAAAATTTAGCGAGGCAAGACATATTTTGAATTTGAAAATCTATCTCATATGTTCAGATTTGCGATTTTCACTGCAGATAAGAAAAATACTTCTTTACCTTTTAAAGTTGATGAGATTAATGGTGATATTCGCGTCATTGGCGAATTGGACTTCGAAAGTCTAAACAAAAGTTATGAATTCAGTATTGAAGCAAAGGTTTCTCGAAAACAATCAATCACAAATCTATTTTTTTTTGTTTCAGCTATACGGACATGTCGAAGTAAAACCTATATATTTACCTGTCACAGTTAACGTATTGGACTCAAACGATCACGTCCCTGGTATTGCTGCAAAGTGGGGTCGTCAAGGACCAATAGCTGTTTCTGATGTGACAAAAGTTGGAACTACGTTACTAAAGGTTTGCATATTACTTGAAATTTTCAATGTTAAAGGTGACTTGTTCAGATTAATGCGGTTGATCAGGATAGCGGGGAAAACGGCAAAGTGACTTATGTTCTTTCCTCATCCAAGCCTATACCTTTTGAAGTACAATCTACCACTGGAGATGTACGTGTTCACTTTTTTTTTGGCATCTTGTTTTGTTTATAGATCATGTTGAGTCGAAAACTCCCAAAAAATGAAGATGTGTGGAAAACCACGCTGTGGGCTATTGATGGTGGTAATCCTCTGCCAAGATCCTCTTCGCTAAACTTAATTTTTTATCGGAATGGCACAAAGGTTTTTCTTCTTTCTTATCTGATTCTAGAGGAAATTCCTTCAGATTCCCGCTAAGCCTCGGCCCGTATTTGGAATCCCTCCTATCAATGTAGGTGGACCAACGTTCATCGAGTTAGAGGAGTCGATCAATTTGTATGAAGACTCTGTTGTTGGAACGGTACGTCTGTTATTTTCTATTAATCATTATGATGGTAGAATAATGTTTTTACTACAAGAAAATTAATTATTGGGGAGCATTAGAAACAAACAGATGACAGCTTTATAAAATAGCATTATGTGTCTTTGTTGAGAAAGAGTGCCACAAAGCATGGGGTCAAGTGAGCTCATCGATCGTCTTCTTTATGAATACATCAATGAATGAACAAAGATATACTTGTAGTATTAGCTAGTTCTGAATAACTTATCTGAGAGAAAGTTCTTAAGTGGTTTTGTTACTGCAATAAAACAAAACGGAGATGCAATTTTAAGCACTTTTATCTTTTTAGGTTGTCACCAATGTGAAAGCCGAAGATTCAGACTCTGGCTACAATGGGATTGTGCAATATAGTACTGAAGACAAGTTTTTCTCAATTGACAGATTCAACGGAACCATACGAATTAGGCGAAGCCTCCAGTCGCTTTTACCTGCCGGTAAATTCACTGCTTCAAACCCATCTATTTTGCTTACATTAAGGTACCGAAAAGGTTAATTACGACCTAACCATTGTGGCTTCTGACCTCGGTACTCCCCGAAAAAACATCACAGGCACAATTCGTGTCGTAATCGCAGATGTCAATAATTATGCTCCTCAGTTTGATCAGGTTCGGGTTTTGTTGAGCTCCGTGCATGAGTGCTTTCTCATTGTTTTCCATGGCAAATTACATTTCGCTTTCATCTGTTGACTTCCTCTTTCTCTTTTTCTCTCAATCTCAAATGAATCAAAATTAGAAATATATCTAGTTTCTAACATCTCCACCTCTAAGCATGAAATCCGACCCCGTAGGGTTGCTTATATGGTGACCCTACAAATAAGGGCATCATATATAATTAGCTAATGGAACATGCTGAGAGGATGCAATGTCTTTAACAAGACATTGGCAAGCTTCTTAGACATCGAAAGATATCCATCTGCAACATTACCATTAAGACTATATGATTTCTCGTGCATTAGTAACCCCTAGGCTTATGCTGTCAACATAATATGCTTCTTACAGCCGTGGTATCGAACTCAAGTGTTAGAGAATAGCCCTGTAGGCCACAAACTACTCATTGTCTCTGCTACTGATCAAGACTATGGAGAGGCTGGGAGGTTCGAAGATTGAGATTTCGGATAAGATTTTTAATTTCCTTCTCTTTATAGAGTCGGATATGCTTTAATTGGGGAAGGAGAAACTTATGTGCAGATTAATGAGAAAACTGGAGAATTAAGTATTGTGAAGGGATTAGACAGAGAGTTTCAAGACATCATCAGGTGCATTTAAAAAAACTGAAACAGATCAATAATACGGGAACATTAGGTACACAATTGTTGCTTACGATCATGGAAACCCTAGAAAGTTTTCTTTCGTGAATCTAACAATTATTGTCGAAGATGTGAATGACAACGCTCCCGTGTGTCTCAACTCCGTTACATCGGTAATAACTAAAGTATAATGAAATTATGTAAGAAATTTTGATTCAGGTAACAATTCCTGAAGATTTTCCTGACATGGCGATGGTTGGCTGTATGTCAGCCTCTGATAGAGACTTAGGAATCAACTCTCGTTTACGATACTCTATTGAAGATAATCAAATTGATGTCCCTTTTCACCTTGATTCAACGACTGGATGCTTGTTTGTCAAATCTCCTAGGCGTCCTTTAGATTATCACCAACAACCTAATTATAACATTTCAATTGAGGTAATCCTTTTCTCAATTAAGAAATCTTCACAGCTGCTTTTCTTAGGTGTCGGACAATGGAGAATCCATACTCAGTACCACCTGCTTTTTTGTGGTTCAACTATCTGAAGTAATTGAAGAGAGTGTTGGTCCTTTATTTGATAATGTTGCTCATGAAGCTACTGTATATGGTATTAATCCACAAAGAACAGAGTATATGTCTTCCTCTTAAGAAAACATGCCTATTGGTACAGAAGTCTTCAACTTCCAACTGGTCATGATGCAAGGGAAACAAAGTGCAGAATATATATTCTCTGCGATTGATGGCAATGGCTTAGGATATTTCTCAATCAGCGGAGGTTAGATTGCTTTGAAATTTTATATTGAAAATTCTTGTACTCCCCGGGCATCTGTTGAGAGACTCCTTGGGGAACGTGTAAATGCAAATATCTGTCAATAATATGTGAGTAATTGGTACTCGTATCGACGATCATGTATTAGCCTCTAGCGATTTTCGAAGTATGCGTGAGGAGGTTTAGGATTGAGTCCGGAGGCTTAGTAAAGAGAAAATAAAAAAAAATATTCTGAATAACTAAAGGGAATACATCATTATAGGAATAATTAGGTCCTTGGTTGTTTTCGATCGTGAAGAACAATCGAGCTACTGGCTAACTATTGAAGTCTCTCACCCAACACGTAATTTACGTTTTGCCGTCGTTCATGTATTTGTTCGAATCTTGGACAAAAATGATCATCGGCCTTTTCCAACTAATCCCATCTATTTTGCAAACGTCAAGGAGAATTCACCCCAGGTATAAAACTTTTGAGAAAGAGGGAACATTTGTATCTAGAACACGGTTGTTGTGAAATTGGAAGCCAGCGATGCTGATGAACTTTCTGGAACACAGAACTCTCTTCAATACTCTATTGTGAAGGGAGATCCACAAAGTTTCTTCAGTATTGATCCTACTACAGGTAGAAAATAATTTTGAAATGCTTAATTAATGGACCGTTTGAAGGTTATATAACAACATCTGGCTCGAGAAAGTTGGATAGAGAAACTCAAAGTGAACATGAACTTTCCGTATCAATATGCGACAATGGAGACCCCCAACTGTGCACAGTTGTGCCAGTTGTTATTACTATTGACGATGTTAATGATAATTCTCCAGTCTTTTCTCAAGTCATTCACCATTATAATGTAAGATCAGGTGTTTCTGGAGAACTGTGCAGGTAGTTTCTATTCAATGATCTCCCTTTAAGAGTTTTTTTTCAAGGGTCTTCGCATATGACGCTGATGCTGGTGTTAATGGGCTCTTGTATTATAACATAACAGATGGCGATGGACGTTTCTCCATAAATGAGCATGGAACTATTTTTACGACAGAACCGTTAGGAGGGGATGAGGTTATAATTAGCTCTAGTGTCTATTTCAACTGTTATTTCAGGTCTTCAATATTCGGGTTCAAGCAACAGACAAGGGGTTACCCGGACATATGAGCGAAACCCCTGTAGTTATTACTGGAATAGCTGTCCCAAAATCGAATAAGAAGAAGAACAAGAAGCCTATTATAAAAAACACAACTCAAAATCTTCTAGTGTCTGACACAGATCAGGTTTTATCAATTTTTTTCCGAATATGGTTCATTGTCATGTTCAGGTTGGAGTCACCATAGCTACCCTACAGGCTTTAGACGATGACTCAGAAGTGCTTTGGTGGGAAATTCAAGAGGGTAACATCGAAAAAGTGTTCACTATCCGAAGTGATATCGAAACAAATTCTGGTTACCTTCTTCTAGCGAAATCCCTCTCGGTTCTAAGCTCGGAAATCAAGGAGATCCCCTTAACTTTATCTGTATCGGATGGAGACTCCAGCGCTTCGATTGAGGTATAGTTGCTGAGATTTCAAAAAATTCAACAAGTTCATTATACAGGTGTCCGTTAGGGTTGTTCGTAATCAGATGGATAGACCGAAATTCTCTGCTCTTTCTTATCACACAGAAATATCGGAAAAAACACCTATTGGCTCGACTGTCTACACTTTGAAATGCTACGCCAACGATGAAAGTAAAGTCACTTACTCTCTTTACACTGCAGAAGATGAATTCATGCTCAACAAGTTCCGAATCGAACCTCAGTATGTGTATAATTCTTGAGATTTTATGCAATGTTTTCTTAAGTAACGGAAATGTTATCGTGGTTGAGACTCTGGATTATGAGATAACTAGAACAATCCGTCTGATTGTAGCTGCTCAAAGTGGATCGTTGAACACATATTCATTTTTAACCATCGATATTATTGATGCTAATGATAATGCACCTCGTTTTCTACAGAAAGAATTCGTTACCAGAATATCAAAAAGGTATCATTGTACTCAGGTTTAAACTCATTAATGATGTCTCTATTTAGTGCTCCGACTGGCTATGTTGTGCAAAAACTACTCGCTTTCGACAAAGATATTTCACAGAAAAAATCTCTCCGTTATTCCATTATTAGCGGAAATGAAGAGCAGTTCTTCACATTAGGCGAAATTTCGGGTGTGATACGTATAGCGAAGCCTCTCGACCACAACTTCCGTGAATCTATTCTAACTGTCCGCGCATCTGATGGCGATCGTCATGGTTTAACCGATACTGCTCTGTTACGTATACAATTAGATACGAATGATGAAAACTCACTGAGTTTCTTGAAGTGGGTGAACTTAGTATTGTAATTCTCATTCCTTCTTTATAGATCAGTATATCAAACAACAATCAGAGACGATATTACTATTGGTAGCGCACTTTTTGCGGTTTCAACTTCTCGTTGTTGTGGAAAGTATCGTCTTCAAAATCCATGCCCTTACTTCTCGATTCATCCGGTAACTATTAAGTCAATTTAGTTCTTATGTTTCGTTCAGATAACTGGCATCGTGTCCAACAGAAAATGGCTGACTCAAGAAAGATCGAAAGTTTTAGAATGCAATGTAGTTTACGATCATGCTGTTGGATCTGCAGCTTCTAAAGTAAGAGTCCGAAATGAGAGTTTGAGACTTATATCTTCTTGTTCAAGATATCTGTTCGATTGGTGAACACAAACAAACATTTGCCTGTTTTCCAAAAGCTGATTTATTACGGGTACATTGTTGAAAACAGTGTTTCTGGAACGTATGTACTCACGGAAGATGGTTCGCCTCTGGTTGTATCGGCAACGGATAAAGATTATGGACCTAATGGACTAGTAACATACCGCATGCTCGATGATAACGATCATTTCTCTGTTGATTTCGCCACTGGAAGTATAAGATCAAAGCTTCCTTTAGATTTTGAAACAGTGAAACAGAAAGTGTTTCATGTTAAAGCCAGGTATATTCTGACTTATTTTTCTTGACTGGGTCTTTTTTTCAGCGATATGGGTCATCCTCTCCGTTCAGCAGCGATTCCTGCAGAAGTTGTTGTGAACATTGTTGATGAGAATGATGAAAAACCCTTGTTCATGGAGAAAGTATATAACGTGGAGTTAAGAGTGCCAACAACCCAAGGAGTTCAGTTGACCCAAGTATCTGCCTTCGATAAAGATACTGTAGGAAAACTACGATATTATTTGAAGGTGAATTTGAATTGAGAGTCAAGTAGTCAATTTCGTTTTTTTAGAACTCCGTTAATACTAAGCACTTTACAATTGAAAGAGATACTGGCATTATCAAGACGAGCTCGTCTATTTCTGAACTGACCGAAGGAAGTATCAAGGTAAGAGACTAACAATGTTGAAAATAAAATGGTAATATGCTTCGTACAGATCGAAGTTCTCGTGACAGACGGTGCATTCTCTGACTCGAGTACGCTTGCCCTTCATGTAGTTGATGTTTCAAGAACTGATGCATTCCGCTGTTTCGCTAATAATTTATCCCTGAGCATCATAGAGAACAAGAAAATGGATGTGCCGGAAGAAATTATATACGTTTCTGTAGAGAATGTTCCTAAGGAAGCTCCATTGACTTTCAAGTTACTGAACAATAACGAGAACTTCATCATAAATTCGAAAACTGGCCAAATCATGATGATAGGAACTGGATTAGACCGAGAAACAACACCTGTGGTTCACTTATTAATCGAAGTAATATTTTTTATCAGTTTCACATTAGTGTTTTCTTTTCACAGGTTCTTGCACACACCAATCCAACTGTGTACACGCAGTGTTTGATTGATATTGAAGTTCTGGATGTCAACGACTGTTCACCACGATTTTTATCCCAACCTTACGACGTTACAACTAGCACCAACAGTGAAGTGGGGGATACTATACTTACTATCAAAGCTGTAGATGATGATTTTGGTATACTAGACAAGGTTTCCATTTTTAATTTCTAAACCTATAGGTCCAAACGCTGTAGTCAAATACTCGAGCAAAAATATTCCTAAAGTTTTCAAATTAGATGAGACTACTGGAAAAATTACCATTCTCCATCCCATGACAGTTGGTGTCTTTGCCTTTACTGCTACAGCAACGGATCAAGGTGATAATCATTGAAATGTTGTTATCATATCATAGATTTACAGGATCAAACCATTTAAGTACATCTGTAGAAGTGAAAGTGACTGTGCTTGACAAATTAGTTCCTTTCTTCGCTAAAAGAAATCACTTGAGTAAAATATCGTCAAAAATGGCTTTGAAACAGAAGGTATGTCTTCGTTGAAGACTTCAGGTTTCTAACGTATTTAAAGATCACGAATGTTCGTGCTGTTAGCCACCCAGATAGTCATATCGTATATGCTTTCGAGAGTGGAAATGAAGAACAGTTATTCTCAATAAGCTTCAATGATGGTGATATTTTCTTGCGCCGAAACATTGATCAGGCATTGCATTCTAACTATAAACTCGTTGTCAGAGCAAGTGATGCTCTTCGCCCTGATGTGCACGCCAGCACAATTGTTGATATTGAGGTAAGCCGACTTTCGAAACTTCCGATATCAGTTTGGTTTAGGTTATATCGGAGAAGGAAAATATTCCACAGTTCGAGAAATCGGTTTATCATGTCAACGTGACTGAATCTACCAATGCCGGAACGCTGCTCTGCTCTGTCGCGACCATTCCGATAAACACTACTATTACTTATTCGCTGTCTGGTGCTCATGCCTCTAGTACGTTCTCTTTCTTGTTTGAATCACAAGCAATAATTACAGCTGTTCGATTGGAGAGTTCTTCTGGCAACATATTCTTATTAGAGAAACTAGATTTTGAATCGAAAAAGGAAATAGTTCTCAATGTCCTTGCCACTACACCTTCTGAAGTCTCTTCTGAAACTAAGCTAATCATTCATGTATGATACCAATTTTTTTCCTCATTATTCTGTCTGTTAACAGGTTATCGATGTCAATGATAATGCTCCTGTGTTTATCCAGTCATCTGCCGACATAGAAATTTCCGATGCATTCATTCCAGGACAATTAATAACGATTGTTAAAGTTATCGATGAGGTTTTGTTTTATCAAAATATTTTAATATATGTTGCATTTTAAGGATACCGTTTCGAGCTTAGCTAGTGGCCAACGCTTTTCATTTTCTTTAATAGACGGTGATGAGTCTTTGTTTGAGATAGATGAAGGGAATGGAGAAATCACTCTCGCAAGAACTATAGAAGAGGAAGATATGGTGCAATCTCAGAAAGTTTTGAATGTATCTGTATCTGATGGAATATTCATCGTTTACTCAAAATTCAACATCAAAATCTCAGTCTCAGGACTTCGCACTCCTCCACCTCGGTTCGAGCAAAGTCAATACATATTGAAATTGATAGAAAACAGGTCAGTATCACTTTTGTCTCAATCGTTAATCATTTCCTATAGCGATGTCGATAGTAAAAACTCGATCATGAGAGTTCAAGCAAGCGGTAGCTCGGAACTGAAATTCTACACGGGAGGAAATTACAATTGGCCTATAAGTATTGATGAAACCAGCGGAAAAATATACCAAACGTCTGCGGTTTCCTACTCGAATCAGTCGTATTATAGGTGGGAAACAATCCAGTAACTCTAGTATATTTGCGCTTTCTTAGAATTCCTTTAATTGTCGAGGACAAAGTGAGAAGAAGGGGATTTGCAACAATTTCCCTGACAGTACTCGATGATAATGACAACCCACCCAAGTTTATAATTCCAAAGTTAGTTTTTCTAAATATATGCAACTTATCGAGTTCCCTAGGTATTCTTGCTCAATTTCAAGCTTGAGTAAAGAAGGAGATTCAGTACTTCTTGTGTCTGCTGTCGATGAGGATACTGATGATTTACTGGAGTATTCGCTTCTAGCCGATGAAGATGTCATGTCCTACTTCACTATTCATCCTAGACAAGGACTGATCAGATTGACTCGTCGCTTACTAGAGGCAGGGTCATCCTTGTCTTTCACGGTGAAAGCTACGGATATGGCAAGACCACCCCATCATTCAACTTCTGATGTCGTTGTTAATATCGTTGGCGATGATGTTATAGTACCGAAAATGAGTAGTAGTCATTACATCTTCCATGTCCAAGAAAATTGTGAACTTGGAACTCTAGTTGGTAAAGTTCAACAATTCGAACCTGGTAATTTTCTAACCCTACTCTGTTTGTATTAACTGAATCATTCAGGAGTCAAAGGATCGCGGTTCGCGATTGCTGGTCCAGCCGAAGGTCTACCATTTTTGGTGGAGAAGCTTTCTGGTAAAATAATTGTTCGTACACATCTTGATAGAGAAAGTCGTAAAGAATGGAGGTTTGTGGTGTCGCTCACTGCTCCAAACGGAGCTTCAAGCTTATCCACTGTTACGGTTGGTTAGATCTATAATTTGAGAAATATAGATTCCTTAAGGTCAACGTTGACGATATTGATGACAATTCGCCTGTTTTTCAAACAATCGAAAACAAATTCAAAGTGGTTGAGAATAGTCCTGTCGGAACAACGATTGGAGTCTTCTCAGCTGTTGATATTGATGATTCTACTGGAGGGAGAGTTTACTACTCTGTTGTTAACGTTAGTGAAGCTATTGGATGCATGTCCATCATGAACTTTCAGGCTACAAGTTCCGATGTTATAAAAATTGACAAGGATTCTGGTTGGCTCAGCCTTGCTTCAAAAGTGGATCGTGAGAAACAATCACATTATGTGTTTGTTGTTCGCGCTTCTGATGATTCTGGCAACTCTGCAGACTTGAGTTGTAAACTAGAGGTGAATATTATGTGCTGACCGATTAATCAAGGAATGTGTTACAGGTATTGGACGAGAACGATGAAGCTCCTATATTTGGGAAACAGTTGTATAAAGCGAACATAGATTTATCAAGAACCAATGTAGGACAGAGCTTAGCTCGGGTTCATGTGAAGGTCAGAGAGAAACTTTCATGCTTCATACTCATTGTTCTGACTGTTTAGGACAAGGATGGTTCACCGTTTAACAAATCTCAGTTTTTCATCACGCAAGGAAACAGTGATGGTTTGTTCAAAATTGAAGAAGATGGCAAGGTCTCGATGGTCAATATGTATTACCCGTTACGTAAAAGCTCTTACGAGCTTACTGTCATGGCTTTCGACGGTTTGCATACTGCCACAACAACAGTCAAGGTTTTTTCTTCATTATTTTCTCCAATCTCTATTTTGAAAATTAGATCGACTTCAAAAACTTGAATATCCCCGTCTGTGAGAAGGACCCGCTCCGTTTGAATGTCACAGAGAATTCTCCGCTAGGAACAGTCATCTGGCAAGATGCTTCTCAATCTCTATTCCATGAGATCAAACCAATTGAGAAAAGTATGATGGTCTTCACTCTAAGAACTTGGAACTCAACAACTTCCATAATAACTTCTGCTGAGATTGACCGAGAGAAAAAACCATTTGTATGTCTTTTGGGTTTCGTTCATATGATATTTCATGTTTTTTCAGTACGTTTTTTCTCTTCGCACTTATATGAAGTTCCCAGTGGCTGAATGTTTACGAAAAGTTATCGTAACTGTTTTGGATGTGAACGATAATGATCCAGTCTTTGTACAGCCTGTTTACAACTTGGCAATCAAAGAGAACTTACCAGCTTCTGCAGACCATAGAAGGTTTATTGTTGCTCTTCAAGCCACTGACGAGGTAATGCTTGATGACCGTGATTGCGTTTAATCAGTGTAATTTTCAGGACGGAGGGCCTAATGGAATGATTCGTTATTCTGCTCCAGAAGCTCCTGATGGATTTGACGTCGAAGCGCTCACCGGTGTAATCACCGTATCAAGATCATTGGATAGTGAACAAAACAGCAACTATGAGTTCACTGTGATTGCCACTGACAATGGAGATCCACCACGTAGTGGAAAAGGTACCGTTACGACTTTCAACTATTTTCAAAATGTTTTTCCAGCTCTCGTGAAAATTACTGTGATTGATCAGAACGATAACCCACCGATATTTGAAATGAAAGAGTACAACATCAAAGTATTAGAGAGCCAAGTACTTGAGTCAGCATTAGTAACTGTCAAAGCCGGCGGAGGAGATGCAAATGAAACTGTAACTTACACCCTTGAACCAGGCGACCATAATGAGTTTGTCCGTTTGGATTCTAAATCAGGTGTGGTCGGTTTCAAATAATTTTAATATTCCTTCAATTCAGGAAAACTATTGTTGATCAAAAACCTTGACTTCGAGGAGCTTCATGGTTTCAAAGTTACAGTAGTAGCTACAGACTCCGGTGAACCTCCGCTCTCTACCCAATCAGTAGTAAATATCGAAGTAAGAGCTTTGAAGATCGGGGGTTTGGAAAAAGAAAAAATTGCTTATAGATTATGGATGAGAACGACAACTATCCTCTCTTTTCAAACAAAATGTACAAAGCCGAACTGAAAGAGAACAGCAAAAATGGCACAACTGTTATCAAAGTTCATGCAACTGACAAGGACAGTGAACATTTCGGCAAAGTCAGATATTCTATAGTTGGAGCAAAAGGGCCATTCGAAGTTAATTCTGATGGTACTGTGGTTGTAAACGGTGTTGTCGACTATGAAGTGGTAAGATTTATAAAAGTTATAGGAAGTCATCTCATTAATTCATCCTAGACTAAAGAATATACTTTGAACATTGATGCCAAGGATGGAGGTGGCCTCACCTCTACAGTTCCACTGGTTGTTACTATAATCGATGTTAATGATCATGAGCCAGTTTTTTCCCCATGTAATATGACTGCTGTAGTCCAGGTTCACTCATATTTGAAAGAAATTCTTCAGCTTTGCTATTTAGGAAGGGGCATCTATCGGTCATTCAGTATACCTTTTGAACATCAAAGACTCTGATGGACCTCTATTCGCGGAACCGTTCACTATCAAACTGAAAGGAGAACACCATCAGCACTTCAGAGTTGTTGAATCCAGCATAGTTACCGCTTCGCCTTTGAGTCATTCTGAAAGAAACAAATACGATCTGACAGTTACGGCCAAAGATAAAGGAGGATTAGAAACGGAATGTCCGTTGACAATATTTGTCAAGGAAGAGAGTAGACACGCACCAAAACTTATCCCATTGCGTGTTCATTTGAATACGTTAAAAGGAGAATTCAAGGGAGGAATAATTGGAAAGCTTCAAGGAACTGATGAAGTGAGAATAACCAAGAGTCGACCATCTCTATATTGAATAATCATTTTCAGGACAAGGCAGATATGTTAAGATACTCTTTAATAGAGGGAAGTAACGTGGGGCCAAGCTATTCAGCAACGCATCATCATCACGAGTTCACGATTGATCAAGAAACCGGTGATGTGTGGTGTGCTCATGGAATACTACCCGGAGTTCATGCTTTCAACGTCAGCGTGACTGACGGAAAGTTTGAAACATTGAGTTATGTCCAAGTTCAGGTAAGCTTTGTTCTCGGGGCTACCTTTACCAGAACTGGCTTCAGGTTACTCTGTTGAATTCGGACGTTCTCGAGAATGCGGTTGCCATCAGCATTTTAGACGTTTCGCTGGAAAGTTTCTTCAGAAAAGGGCTTAGTGACTTCTTGAAAGTTTTCTCTGATTGCTTGAACGTTCCACCTGAAAACATAAACATTCTTAGTATTCAGGAAAGAGAAGGTATGTTATTGAAGTTGTAAAATTTAAAATAAGGGAATATAGGGAAGAGACAAAAACGTTCTGATCGTAACGGAGTTGATATTCTCTTCAACGTTCAAAGAGGTTTCGGCGGAGTGGACAGAGGTCATCTTAAACCTACACATATCTACTCCCGCCTGAAGAGCGATTTCGATGAGTTAAAGCATGCAAGCCGATTGGTAATAATTAAAAAAGTTTGGCTTATCGTAACATAAAAAACGTTCAGCAACTCGAGTTGGTCACGGAAGTGTGTATGCCTGGAGTTTGTGAAAGAGGAGAATGCCGAGAGAGAATTGAGTTTTCCGACGATGACTCTTCCGTGTTCTCTTTCCAAGGAACTTCGTATGTGACTCCAGAACATTCACGTTCTGCACATTGCTCTTGTCATGATGGGTTAGATTAATTAAAGTTTAGAGGAGTAATTGGATAGTAATTTAGATTCGCTGGAAAGAAATGCAACATGGAAGTCAATAAATGTTCCAAGTCTCCATGCAAAGCTGATAAGATCTGTGTCCCTCATTCCACGGGGGATTATGCTTGCATATGTCCTTTGGGAACTATTGGAGAACGTTGTGAACAATCAGAACTATGCTCTGATGAAACCCAGTGTTCTGAAGATTCGGAACTGTCCATGGATGGCTCAGGCTATTTCGAACTCACTTTGCCATTCGATGTAGAAGACCAAATGCAATTTGTTGTCGAGCTTCGAACTGTTTCCTACAATGGAACCGTATTTTTCGGTCAAGGATCAGAGGACTATCATGAGCTTCTTTTATCCAACGGATATTTGGAATATCGATGGGACTGTGGCACCGGTGTTGGGATAATCAAATCGGATATTCAAATATCTGATGGAAAATGGCATAGAATCAGAATCCTGAGAAATGGAAGTCATAGTCGTCTCACGATAGATGGAACTGAAAAACAAGAAGGATGGAGTGTTCCCGGGTCAGAAGTCTTGAACATGCAATCTTTCTCGAACCGGCTCATCTTTGGAGCACGGCTTGAATTTGCGTCATTCGGTTCTGATAACTTTACTGCCGGTATCGCAGCATGTTTCCGTACAATATCTCTTAATGGAAGGTAAGGTTTAAAAGCGAAGAACGAATGAATATTGTATTGTCCCAGGTCCATTCCGAAAACCCGAAGTAATGTTCGTTTATACGGTGTGGAAGCCGGGTGCCAAGCTCTCGCTTCAACACCTTGTAGTGAATCTCCATGCAAGAACGGAGCATCTTGTATCCCACAAGGAAAAATTGCTAGGTAATTTAGAAATTATGCGCTGATTACGGAAATCTGAACATTTCAGTTGTATCTGTCCTGAAAGATACGATGGTAACTTCTGCGAGCTTGATAAAAGGCCTTGCGAAGATGATCCATGTCCATTCTCTATCCAATGTGTTGCTTTCACGAATGATTACATGTGCAAATGTCCTGACGGATACACAGGAAAACAGTGTGACGGACCCCGGCAAACAGGTACATTTCAAAGTATTAACTCGATTGACAAGAGATTTTAGCACCTGTCGAAGATGCTTGTCGTTCCAACCCTTGCGGAGACGTTGAATGTGTGCCTATTCCCAAACAAAGCTTATCTTCTTCTGGTTTCCTGTGCAAGTGTCCATCTGGATTCAATCCAGGACCTTGTGGTGCTTTTGGTTTCCCTATCAGTTCTGCCGAACTGATTGGAGTTCTAATAGTCTTCTTCATTATTCTGATGTGTTTGATGGGAATAGTTTGCGTGTGTCGATGGATTAGTGTCAAGAAGTTAGTTCATCAATTAAGTCACTCTTCTAATTATCCACTTAGTACTGATCCTAAATATGGTGAACATGTGTCTTATAACAACCACATGAGAAACCCTAATGTTTCTGCTGGTGTTAATGAGTCAACATCTGCTCCGCCCCCATTACCACCAAGAGTATTCCGTGGTAACAAGCTGAGTAATTTAGAACAAGCTCAGTTGACTGGTTTGCCAACTGTTCAAGTAATTATTACAGAGCTGTAAATGACCTAATTAGTAACTTATAGGTTCGTCCATTCCCAATGCAAGAACGGATTTCTTCTTCGCAAGCAGATTCGAGATCGCCTTCGATTGTTGGCCATAAAATGCGAGCTGATATTTGTGAAACTGAAGATCTTCTGAGTGTATGCCAATTAATTATCTTCGTACTGATTAGAGTTTTTTGTAGGCTGATATCAGAGCATCACAGGATGCACAGGCTATTGAAGCTCTTCGTCGAATGGGAGTGAAACTTAGTGATGACAACATATCATCCCCTAAGACTGCCGTAAGACATCAGGAGCCTCGTTTATCTGGTGGCAAAATCCGAGACCATCGTGACCTTTTAACTCAGGAGAGGTACAAAAATTGAGGTCTATGTGTCTGTCAAGTAAATATTTTCAGATATCCTATGGGTGATTCTATCCAATGTTTGCCAACATCTTATGAAAACTCACACTGGGATGACGGAGTAGATCGGATAGGTGCCGCTGTTCTCCAAGAACGCTTGAGGTTTAATTTTTCTGCCAAAGTAACCGTTGAACATGAAATTCTTAGATTGCAAGGATTGAATGGTCGAATGCATATTGGTGACACCGTCCTTAGTCCATTAGTGAACGACGACGATTACATGACCATGAGACCACGCAAAGTGACAGATTCCACTGAGTCACACAAGCGACCTTTGCTTGCTGATCAAGATGACCGAGGTATTTGCAGAACTTGAATGTTTGAAACCAAACCCACAATTTCAGCCATATATGACCAGGCTGACAGTGGACCACCATCTCCTCCAGCTCATAAACATTTTATGGATGATGAGGATATGCGAATGTATGACGATCCCATGTGTGCCTCGACTTCTGAAGCCGTGAGTATCGTGAATCGACATGCTGACGAGAAGTTGTTGGATAACGAATCGGATTAGCTTCATGTGTGCCAGGAACACTATCTATTTTTTAAAATTATACTAATTCTCTCAAGAGCTGGATTTCATCAGATGTTTTCTTCTAATCTTTATATTTTAAATAATTTTCTGTACTAACAAACATTGATGACGGGTGATCATATAGCATTCAAATGCTCAGATTACGAACTTTATTATTTCTGTATATCTTTCTTCCAACAAAATTTTATTTTGAGATCATTCCTCAGCCATACTTACGAGTGTTCCTAGTTTTATAGTCCTTAACGGGTATATCTTAAGTCAAATTTAATTTGTATGAAGGGCTAAATAAATATTATTCAAAACATGATCTGTGTTACTTAGAATGATGTGAACTTGTTTCAATTCCTGGAAGATAGTATGATAAAACTGTTTCTATGACGACGTTCAAGTTCTCCATTTCTTAGGATAGTTTTTTCCCTCATAATGTTAAGTTTAAATTGTCTTTCTTTGGCCCCCATTTCCCTTTCATCATCTCTCTATATCGACCAATTTCTCTTTCTCTTTACTAGCAATACATTCACTGTTTTCTTCTTTCTCTTTTCCTCTCTTCCACATTATTCTTTCTCTCATTCTGCACGGCCTTCTGACTCCACTGGAATATTTCTCTTTCTCTTTTCTCTGTTTCTCTGTCTCTTTGTCTCTACCTCCTTGTTCCCAACTCTCTCTCTCTCCGTTCTCTAATCAATATGCTTAGTCGTCGTGTCTCGCAGGTAGGGTAGACTATCTATCTCTAACCCTGTACCTCTGCAGCCTCGGTTACTCCATAGTCTAGAGAGATTGTTCTGCTTCTCTAAACCCTCCTTGTTCTGCGCTATCTCTCATTCAATTTCTCTTTGTATATAGTCCTCTACGTCTGTTTCAACGCGTTCAGGCGCAGAAGACATAGAGAGAAAAAGAGAAACTAGGTCATACGAAGAGATATCAGACGTCAGAGAAATTTCTAAAGTCTGCGCAGATGTAGAGTGTTGAGAGAGTTAGAAAGCGTATATGGAGGGAGCGCTCACTCTCCTTTTCTAACCTTTATACATTGGCTTTCTGTACCTAAAATAGCATTCATATATTTCATTTTTGCTATCGGTGTCGATAAAGCTTACGCTGAAGAATTCTTGTCTTTCTCACTGTTGTAATTCGCATTCAAAATATATTCTGCTACGGCTTAAAACTATAAAAGGAATACCAAGCAACCAGAAATGCGCTCGAGCAAGAGAGCAGCTGCAGTTGCTGCACTTATCGCTGTTACGGAGCTACGAGAAGCAAGGGAAGTGAGTATTACTAAAAACTAAGAATGATAATGTTAACAACATTTCTAGAACCGTAAAAGGAAAAGTTCTCCACACCAAAAATCGAAGCGTAAGCCTTCTCACGGTCACTCATCCCGTGCATCGAATACATTGACAGCTACACAGGATGTCAAACCAGGAAAAGCAGATTCTTCGTCTGGAACGAAATCTAAGAACGCTTCACCTGTTAAAGCCTCCAAAAATCATAATGTTTCATCAAATAACTCAAGTTCCCACCAGAAGAAAGCTAAAACTGAACCGGAAACTCCTGAAAAGACTGTTCAAGTTCAAAAGACAGCCACTGTTGTTGAAACCCCACAAAAGCCCACTGTTGAAGACCACAGTCTCAATGCTTTGAACTTAAGTTCAGCATTCACTTCGCAATTCCTTGCATCGGCTCTGGCTAAGCTGGATGCACCGATGTCTAGCTCTAAACTCATCCTTGTCAGTATCCTATCTCTTAGAAAAATGTAATTAATAACTTCAGGAAAATCAAGAGCAACTGCCCTCTTTGAATGATTCTGAAGCGATTGATGCCTTTTTCCGAAGGAATCGCCGGAAAACATATAGGGACTTAATACCGGAATATGAACAATTAGTAGGCCAGGTGCGTTGCTTCATAATTCATTTCATTTAATTTCTACTCCAGATTAAGATAGAGCCAGTCACAGATGATTCAAGCTTTCTGAGTCTTAATGGTCAGGTGCCTGATGATCATCCTATGAAGCATTTTGTTGATCAGTCAGACAAGGAAATGTCAGTGAAGGTTTGTATCTTTAATTATCTGTTATATTGTTGTTGTGTGTATGATTTCAGGAAGCGTTGGCGAGAGGCTTTCGGAATTACAGAGTACGCTTGCCGAAGCCTCGACGAGCAGACGACATGACTGGCCAGTGCCCGTCAAGTGAGCTTTATCTCACTCTTTTTTCTCTTGCTTATCACCACATTCTTACTTTCCATTATTTACAGTTTCTGATTTGTCTTCACTGTTCTCGAATCAACCTCCGACAAATTACGAAGACGCATTATGTTTCAACATAACCGAAACAACCACGTTAAACGATATTTTGACATCAGCTTGTCAGCGAATGAAAGTTGATGAAGAAAGTTCATCATCTAGTCCTAGCTTACCAAATATTTCTGAAACATCCAACGTTGGTTTCATAAAAAATTATATAAAACTATTATCACCTCAGATATCCAATAATAATAATGATGATAGAAGTTCGGACGGCGATGAAGTCAGCAACATTTCTCTTGAAAACTATCCTATCGCCCCTTTTTGGAAGAATAAAGTAGATGTGTCGAAGGGTTACAAAGGCGGATTCTACATAATGGGTATCAAATACATTCCTATTTCGTAAGTCGTTTTTTTTCATAAACAAGCAAAGTTATTCGCTTCAGGAGTTTGATTGAAAAAGGAGCTTTCATAGTTCCATTACAGAAGTCGATTCGCTGTCTTGTAAATGAAAGCATATGCGACATTACTTTTCATCAAATGCTTTCCTTCAATGGAATTAAAATCTCCAATCCTAACCGAGTGGATGAGTTGAGAGGTACGGGCATGAAGAATCTATAAAGCATATCATTAAACGCATTTAAGAAATATTCGCATCCTCTCTATTAGTTGTGCATCATGATATTGTTGAAGTTCTACTTAAAGCATCAACAGCTCTAACTTCCTTCGGCGGTGGCCAAAAACATCTTTGTAATTTGCTTTCATTACTTCTTCATACAAAATATGGAATTTCAGCCTACGAAGCCATTCGATTGTCTAAAAATGTTCCTCCTATGGCATGTTATAAACCAAATGTTTTCATTTCGTAAGTAATTATATCGTTTGCGTATTTTCCTCCGTTTGCATTTCTCACCTCACGTATATTACGCCCTATTTGGGTTTCCCATATTAAGCTTATTAACCCTTTTCAGTTATTTGGGAACTTCATTCGCTGGAAACGAGATCGTAGACTTGACAATTGTAAGTTACTTTCAACTTTTTTTTCTTTTTTGTGGCTTATAACATCATGATTTTTATACGCGAAAAGGGCTATTCGCATACATCATATACCAACCCCCTCTTCTCTTTTAACGCCAGATGTAAAGAGAGAGAGATATGTAGAGAGAGAAATAAGGGGAGAGAAAGCTAGAAAGAGAAATTTGAAGAGAATGGCGTGGGAGGCTGAGAGAGAAAAAGAGGGACGCGAGAAGATGCGGAGGGAAAAATAGGGAGAGACAGAACTGGAGGGACAAAGAAAGAGAGAGGGGGTGTTATTGGATGAGAAAAGGAAAAGGAGTGTTTGAAGGGAAAATAGGAAGGGAACTAGAAAAGAGAAAGATGAATTCGTGAGAGAGAAAGAGAGAGAGGAACGGTCGAAAACAGCGAGAGAACGCGATGATTGAAGAGAGTAGACAAGGAGAGTCAGAAAACCAAGCAGGCGTATAGAGAGAGAAAGGGAAATACTGACAGAGTCAGACCGAGCGTACACAGAGAAGGGAACAGATATAATGTGTTTGAGAGAGAAACATAGAGGGAGGGAGAGAGAATCTGAGGGCCAGAGAGAGGGGTGTTTGAAAGAAGGGAAAAGGATGCAGAGTGGGAGGGAGAAAAGGAGAGAAACACACGCGCTCTTCTCTTGTTATGTGTCGCGGTTCCAATTAGCTTGTTGTGCATTCTTTCTTACATTTTTTTCTAATCTTTCCTCGTTCAAACATTTCCTGGCTAAGGGTAAGTCACTATGTTGTGCTTATCCTGACCTCTCACATTCTGTTGTGTGTAAGTGTCATTCTCTGTAATCATAGCCATCAGCCATGATGAGAAGAGATTGTGCGAAATAAGAATTAGGAGAGAATGAATAAAAGGCCGAATATGATAAGTTCAGATGTGTGAGAAACAAACGAACGATATAAGTAAGCGAATTTTGCAACAAATTCTTTTTTTTTTGCTGACAAAAAAAAGTTTTGTTTCCTTGTTTTGACATCTCTTTTGACCACACACAACGAGAAAGTAAAGTTCTCGCTTCCTACAGAGGAAGAAGCTGGTTGATCGGCTACCAGCGATCTCTTCATCTTTTTCGTTTATTTTAACTTTATATTTTTCTAAAAATTTCATTTGAAACTTTTCTCTTTTCTTTTTGGCTATATTGGAAAAAAGAAAGGAGGGAAGGAGAGAGAGTCAGGGGCATTTTCTACGATCAATCGCTCTTTCCCCTTTCTCACCCTCTCCGGCCCTCTCTTTCTCTCTTTAGTTCCCTCTCTCTTTTTACTCTCAGCCCTCTGTATTTCTTGCGCTTTGTCGCCTCTCTTTCTCTCTCTCTCTGACAAACTCCTTATATCTCCCGTCTCGTTTCTCTCTCATTCATTCCCTCTGTAGATGTTATTTCTGTTGTCTCTCAACAGGCCATAATAACTCGTCTCTCCCTCTCTCATCCTCTCCCTATTCCATGACCTCTCATCTCACTATCTTTCTTTTTCTTTTTCATCTTCCCCTCTGTTCCTTCCCTCCCTGTTACTTGCAGTCCCTCTTTTTTCGATCTTTTTATTTCGTTTTGTCTCTCCCTCCTTCTTTCTCTCCCATCTCTCTTTGCCCTCTAACCAAGCAGCACGCCAGCGAAGAAAGAGTGAGTAAGAGAGAGAGAGAGCAAGAGAGAGACAGACTGACATACAGAGCATCAAAAAGAGAGAAATATTATGAATAGAGGGAGAGAGAAATAGAGAGATGGAAGAGTCGCTGTTCTCTCCTTCTTCTCTCCCCCATTTATCTGTTCCCTTCCCTTCATTTCTCCCCTTCTCTTTCGTTCTCGCCTACATCCATATCACTCGTCTTTCTACCCGTAATCTTACTTTTTTTTTCAATAAAACCTACTTCTCAAATATGTACTAACTGTTTTAAACATTTTTGTTTTTTTTCTTTTACATTTATTTATGTTTATATTATTTCCAGCCTTCACCTGAAGTTCAAAAAGCCCATCACGTGGAATCTGGTGAAAGGTAGGTTTCTCTCTCCTCTCTTCTTGTCTTTTTTTTCTTTTTCTCTCTCTCTATCATTTCTTCTCTTTATCAACTTCTTTTCATCATTTTTTAGCCTTAAACAATAAGTCAAATTTTAGAATTTCCTTTTAAAGTTGTAAAAAAAACTATTCTTTTTCTTCTTCAAAATTGCACTTTTAACAGCGATTGTCTGACTCTCCTCTCCACTCTCTCTCTCTCTTTCTCTTCCTCTTTTCCTTTTTCTCTCTCTCTTTCTCTCTCTCTCTTTGACGCGTTTACAAAACAATCGATTAGCAATATAGCAAAGTTTGAAAAGCGTTTGACAAAAAAATTTATTTTAAGCTTTATGATTCAAATTTACTTCTTCTATTCTCCTAAAATTTTCATTTTTCACCTCTCTCTCTCTCTCTCTCTCTTTCCTTCTGCTTGTCCTTCTCTTGCTCTTTCTCTTTTTTCAATAAACTTTTTCTTTTATTTCTCTTCACGTTCTTCAAATTTCATTTTTTCAGAGAACTCTCCTCCAAGGAAAAACTTTACGTTCTTACTAACTCGGATGCTGGTATCTCTAGAGAACTCATCTGTATGAGATACAACATAAAGTCCTCAACGGTAGGTTAGCGTCCTCCTCCTGGCCTCTGACCAACCCGCGCGGGTCACCAGCAGCAGACCCTCTTCCATCTTCCCCCCATCCCCTCCATCTCTCTTTCTGTTCCTCTCTCTCTCCCTCTATCGCGTCTCTGCTTGTCTTGTTCGCCTTTGTCATCTCTCTCACCCTCTCTCTTTGCTTTGACGAGGGCTCTAACGATTCTCTCCATTCTTCTGTCCCAATTCCCTTTCTCTTTTAGTTTCTCCCCTTTTCCTATCTCTCTTTCTATCTGATGTCATATGGTCTTTTTTCCCTCCCTTCTCTTCTTTTTCTTCTTGTGTCCCTCTTTCCACTTCTTCTTTCCCTCTCATTACTTCTCTTCTTATATCTCCCTCCAAATGTCTTGCCAGTGCTTTCGCATTCCCTCTTTAGCAATCAGACTAACACACATTTTGGGAAAATTCCTAAATGGAAATAGCACCTTGTGTTTCTTTTTTTCAAGTGAACATTCTCTTTCTTCTTTGTATGTTTATCAACTGATATCTAGATTAAGTAATCGATTATCCTCTGAAGCGTTAGAATATTTTCTTTTTAATATAAATTAATCTTTGTCCGCCATTTTCATGTTTTAAATTCGTTTTCTCTCTTCTTCCTCTCCCCCCCCCCCTCTTTCTTCTGCTGTTGTCCCATACTATCCATTTTTGGTCAGCCAGGATTCTAACTTGCTTACCATATGAAGAATCTCATGGAGTGTTTTAAGGTTGATAGAGTTCTTGCCAATCGAGAGGAGGTTCAACGAATGGCAGCATTGGTTCTTATGGAAGACGCCAAAAAAGACGAATCCAATAATTTCGATCCAGCATCTATTGCCGAAGCAATTGTTGAACAACAGAGAATCATGAAGGATGGAATTAAAAAGAAAAATAGAGTATGTTTTTTATTTTTATGCTTTTGCATTCTTCTTTTTTTTAGGTTCGTAGAACTTCTTTTGTTGGCCTAAACATTTTGATGTGGAGATTTTTCAAAGATTGTGCCGACAATGGTGTTCCCCTAAATGGAAAAATGCTTAAGGAGCATGCTATGATCATTGCCCGTCAGTTAGGTTAGTATTACTCTTTGTTTGCTACTATTTTTGAGTGTATCCAAGTTTATGCTGTTGTTGTTTAGGTTTGGATAATTTCAAAGGCTCTGAAGGATGGCTTGATGCTTTTAAAAGAAGACACAAAATTGACCTTAAACAAATGACAGGATCTCCAGCCAACTATGATGAGGAAATTGAAGATAGTCGTATGGATGCCGACGAAATAGATGATCGTACGAATATGATATGCATTTTCAATTCATTCTTCGAGCCTTTTTCAGAATTAGAGGATCGCGATCATTTGACTGATATGGGTTTAGCTGGCATGAATGCCGACGTTTCTAGCGACGGTAAGCTGTGTAACTTATTCACTCAACAGAATTTTTCAGCTTTGATTTCAGGAATGACTGCAGCTTTATTGAATTGCGTAGAGAAAGCAGCTTTACCGATGGCTGTAGCCTCAATTTCCAACACTAAGCCACTTGATTTGGCTAATCTTTTCCGATCTCAATTAGAGACAAGTAAGAGTTTCTTCACTAAATTGATTAACTTTTACTTTTTTCTGCAGATGTAGGCACGTCTCACAATGGCATTTTAAATCACAAATCAGACGATCAATCTGAAGATTGCTCATTAAACAATGTCAATAATAATCCCTTGCCCTTCATGCAGGTAATTCTTTGACCTTCCAGCCATTTTCATTATATGAATTTCTAGCCACAACCTGCCGTAAGCGAAAATGGAATTATAGCGGCAATCATCAAAAGTGTAGCTTTACCTATCCCAGATCAAGAGGTGAGTCTCTATATGCCTTTGGCACGACAATTGAACTTTGTCTCTTTAGCTATGTTCCGCAATGAACACAATTAGAAGCTTCATTGTGTCTCACGATCCCACAGCCATGCCTCTGTTCTTAGAGCTTCAGGAAAAGTTATCAGTGGTGAGTTGTTGTTCGAACAAAAATATTTACGTGAAAAGAAGTTGTTTTCTTTTGAAAGATTATTTTAAACTTCATGAACTTCTGTCTCGTGTTCTCCCACGCTCTTGTTTATGTTCCATTTCTTTTCAGGCGGAAAAAAGCAATCGCTAGAGGAATATACCTGCTATGTCCGAAAATCTGACAGGAGATATACGGTTCGATGTCGCAGACATATCAATATTGTGATATAGCAACCACTTCCGGTTCATTCCTCTACTGTTTCGCTTTGTTATTTTAATTTTTCTTCATAATTAGATTAATGATCTCAAGTTTTGAAAGACAAATTGTACTTAATAGCCCCGCTAAATCAATTAGGATATTCGAAGCTATCAACATATTAAACATTTATTAAAAAAAGTAATTTAAGTATATATATATATATATAATATATATATGTATATATATATATAT